AGATTCAACGACTACAGCAGGTCGAGGAGCGTCTGGAGCGTTTGTCGATCATGAGCGTGGCGGAATCTGGTGGCCCCAACTACAACGCCGTGAAAACATGGAACTTTGACCACACTTGCTTCGCAGAGGAGCTGGACACGAAGAGGCCAAATGAGATGGCTTCTGAAATAATTCGTCTCTTCTCAGGATCAGGGGGGCCGAGCGTAGAAGATGAGGAGTTCAAGAGGGTGATGGCACTACTAGATCACAAGAGAAGGTGGCATCTGGACGAGGTACTGACAGTGTGGGGAGAATCAGCAGTAAAGAAATTAGATTTCAACAGAGTGGACGCTGAGCATCCGGAGAGGAAGTTCTTTGGAGTCTGCATTCAGTCACTACCGGGAGGAAACTACTACTTCTCGCTGAAGAAGGAAGGGGCTGTGGGAGCAGTGCGGTTTGGCATGGACGGCCGAGAAGGGACAGCGCCTGACAACCCAGAGCTGAGGCTGATGAGCATCTTCCGACCAGGCTTCACTGCCGGAATGCGAAAGAAACTGAGAAAGGGGACCAAAATCCCGGATCATGAGCCAGAAGAGATGATCGAAGGTCCCCTGAATCTGTTCCAGCACATGGCCCATGCTGCTGCAAAGGAGCTAAGAGGAACCATGGCTGCTAAGAGCAGTAAGGGAATTAGCTGTGTAGTAGTAGCTTCGGACGAGGAATGCAAGCCGGAAGCAAATGGGGTCCTGCATGACGGGAAGCCACCTCTCACGTCTAGGTTCTTGTTCGACTTCAAGTACCACTCTCCTTTGTGCGTCATACTAAAAGCGAGATGGGCACCGGGAGGACACATGTCATCGAAAGCAGATATCGAGTCATTCGAGAACGGTAGTCCTACACTATCGCAGTCGGAAACCAGATACGTTCTCCTATCGTCGTGTGTGATCCTTTTCGCACGCCTTCTCCGATGGGACGTGCCGCGAGCTTTCAACGATTCCATCGAATACGAAACCAAGGAGCGTCCTAGAATGAAAGTCACCCACCGCGGTCCGATAGTGGACAAGGTGATCGAGGAAGCGTTTAGTCTACTAAGGGCGTCAGATAACATCAGCATCAACTTCAATACAGTACTGCTGATGAACATAGGGCAGTACGGCACACTAGAGGGCGCAGTGCTGTTCTACCTGACAAGTCACTTCCGACTCAAGAAGAGTAAGATCTTGCCTTCTTTGACATCGCCTTGCGTCTATCGAATCCACGAGAAGGGCAGACTCATAGTGAGCATGGGAGAGTTTGTGGATGACTTTCTAGCTTGTTGTAGTGCGCCCAAGGTCGAATGGTTAAAGAGCTTGATGGTCAACATTTACCCGACGCTTCCGAGGGAGGCAATCGAGGAGGTAACCGAAGAACCGGTTACTATGATTGGCAAGGAGATGTGCGCCTTCGAAGTGGAGGACGACGGTGATGGCAGGCCGGCAAGCTACTTCCAGGTGGACTGTAGGAACAAAGTGAACAGCTTGTCCAACTGGATGTCTGACGACGAGATAAGGAAGCTGAAGAGTGACGATGATCGAGTGCTGACAACGGCAGAGGTGGTGCGCTTGAGGGGAGTACGAGGAGAATGCTTGTGCATCGTGGTAGGGTGGAGACCAGACGCACTCTACGTTCTGAAGGTAGTCAACTTTGGCAATGACGAGACCAGAACGCTAAAGATGGCGAGAAGAATCAACGAGGTGGCGCGAATACTGAAGGAAGAGCCGAAACTGGGCATTCGCATTCGTCGAGATTTGAGCACTCCTTTTGTCTTCTTTCTCATAGTGGACGCCGGATTCCAAGCAAAGCCGGCTAAAGCAAAATCAGCAGCGACCGGAAAGGCTGACTTCTGTAATCGAGGAGTGTGCGAGATACTGGATAACTCAAGCGTTGAGTTCTTCATGGCAAAGTTGGAGTCGGCGAGGCCGCTATTAGCGTTTGGATTAGTAGTGACATCCGAAGAGGAGTTTCGCAGGAGCGTGGGTGAGCAGAGCGTGATGAGAGTGACTCTTCTAGACTGGGGTCTAGAGCACTCGGATGACATCGCTTCTTCCTCTGGTGCTGCAGAGATGCGGGGTTATGTGCGAGGATTGGAGAAGACAGAAATAATAAAGAGGAAGATTGCTGATATATTTAACGAGGACCAACATGCCGGTGTGGATAATAGGGTTAGTAAGGATAGTATGGTCTGGGAGGAACGCGAGCAGGAATTGATTGTTCCGCTGGATCAACAAATGGTGCTCGACTTGAACGAGTGTCATGAGTTGGATCTACTAGATAGTGAGGCAGCTATCCAACGAACTTTGTGTAGAAATATATCGATAACCGGAGAGTCTAAGTTTTTTATTGATTCCGCTCGGGCTAGAAAGTTCTACAGGAGCTCAATGCGAAGGATGGTGCATATTACGGACATTATGAACCCTTTCGACGTCCTCACGAAGTACAAGGCTACAGCATGTGAGAAGTTCCAACGGTTTAGGGAGTTAATGCACGGCAAGTTTAGATGGTGTGTTAAGGGGGACAAGAAACAGGGAAGCCGTGGTGGAGTCTTTGGCGTGGTCCGTGAATTAAAGCGGGAGATGGGATCGGACCCCAGGGCGCGGAAGCCACTAGTGCCCTTGTAGTTAGAAAACTGTCAGGAGGTATTGTTTGGTAAAATTTCGAGGTTGGCAATTAGTACTACGGGTTCGAACAGTGACAGTTAGCCATATACATATTACAAATAATTAATGAAGAATTTGAGACTCTAGTAGTTAGGTGAGGCAGGACGCGGCGTTGACGCGCCCCCTGGCTTAAGTCAGCAGTATTAGGTCATAACTCAAAGGGAAGAAGGTGGAAGAGAAGTAAGGCAGTTGAAAGGATAGAAGCGGGTATGATCGTCATGAGTTGTTGTAGGAGGATGAGCAGTGAAGTGTTCGATTTATAGACTAGGTAGGTGGTAGAGTTAAAGTTTTCTAAATCGCACTCCAGTCGTTTTTTTTTTTCGTTTGCCTAATGAGTGAGTAGTTTTGACAGTAGGAAGTAATTTTACATGAGCCCAATGACCGACAGTAGATTTACGGATACCATGCTAAGTCAGACATATCTCGTCCAGTATAGTAACTCAGTAGCAATTCATACCACTGTTAAGTAAGTCAAGTTTTGCCTGAAAATTTTGGTTTTTTTTGAGGGGTCCTGATTCGAAAAGGGGGCTCGCTCGTTTGAACAAGAGGCAGCTGTGGGTGCTGGTTAGGGGTGCAGCAGCTGTCTCGAATTAGCGTAGGTATAGTAGCAGGGACCTGCGCGTGGAGTGCTGCTAGTAAATAGCTAGGCTAGTAGTCACTCTCTCTCACAAATTCTCCATTTTGGGGGGAGCTGTGAGAATCTTATCGGGTAGGCAGGTAGTCGAATCTGTGAGTGCTCGTTATTTCTTTCTTTCTTCGTTTGTTCGATCGCATCATACAGGAGTGACATAGTTTGTTGGCTGGACATGGCATGGAGAGCGTGGGAAGACGCGGGTGAGTGAAAGTGTCAGTACTACTTTTGTTTACGAGGAACGAGTTCGACGAGGTTGCGACGAGGGTAAGTAACAAAACCGGCTTAATTAGGTATTTATTGAACGAGGAAAATCGTGACTGCATCATGCTCATGGATCCATCTCGCATGATAACTTGACACCATGTGAACGTCTTAACCATCCTTGCGTTTCCCAAACTCCGTATGTATGGCTCAAGGCCTGAGACGTCTGAATAACAAGTTGTCGACTGCATACACATATAAATCATCTTGTTGTTGCGTATATCAAGCGGAAACTCATCTCTGTGCTCAACTCGTCTGAAAGATCCGAGATCCTGACCGAAGATCTACGAAGATCACATTATCTGTCTTACTCGCAGAAGGAGATTTCAAACAGGCACAGTACTAGCAAAAACTGATCTGTCTTACTCGCAGAATGGGATTTTAATCACAGGTGCACCAAATAGATAATGGTCTCGAGTACTTTGTTAGCTCTACTCTATTTCTTCTGCTGATTCATCTCCATGTCCATACTTTCTCTGAAAGCAGAACCTATTTATTATAAAATATGTAACAACTACACCATCAACTTCAATACAGGAAGTCGACACCCCGCCCACTTGTCGCTGTGGTGTCATGCAGACGTACGCATGGTTAACAATGCTGATTACTGGGAGATTCAACCAGCACATGGTGCCCAGCCCTATTCTTGCTAGATTGCATGCGTTGTTAGATGAGAGTATGGAAGCTTATTTCGATGCGTTGCTGATACGGACTACGCCTTTCCCGCGACCGTTCACGCAGATCATCAACATGGGTCTATTTCTGTCGCTGATACTGATTCCACTTATTACGGCTTCTTCTTGTGGTTCATCTTCTGTTGGATGTGTGGATCTTTATTTATTGCATGCATTAATATCGTCTAACGCCTCCACCCACGTTGCGCTAGTACTCTGTCCTTTATGCATTAATGTCGTCTAACGACTCCACCCACGTTGCGCTAGTACTCTGTCCTTTATGCATTAATGTCGTCTAACGACTCCACCCACGTTGCACTCGAGAACCTTCTTGCTACAGCGGTAATATCGAATTGCTCTTGCTTCGGGTTTTTCGCCCTCGCACAGGTCGCTTCCGAACTAGAAGACCCATTCGGCGAGGACTTCTATGACCACCCTCTAGAACACTGGCAAGTCGATTTCGATTGCGCTTTGCTTGATGTAGTTTGGAACTGCTCTTACGCTTTACCAAGAGCTCTCAGTGCTGCGGATGCGTCAAAACGTGCAGAAGCAGCTGGCTTTTGGGCTGGAGGTAGTCGGGACAAAAGCAAATGTGGTGGACCTAGTAGTGCTTCGACTCGAGGGCGGCCGGATATCGCAAATAGTGGTGGCATTCAGAAGAGTGATGCTTTGGCAGGCGAGGGCAGTCAGAGTGAGAATGCTTCTGAACACGAAAGCCAACATGCACGTGGGGTAACGAAGAACGCGCGGACAGCGATGACTCATCTTTTAGTGGCTCAACAGCATTCAGAAGAGGATGCTCCACTGGAAACACGCTCACAAGCCTTGGCCGCAGCATTTGGAAATAGATTGATGCGGAAGAGTTTGAATAATAACTCCTTGAGGATTGCGGTCGATGAAACGAATCATGCGGGGGGAGGAGGCGGAACCGGAAGTGGGGGGGAAGAGAGGGGTGCAGTGGACCACGAGCAAGCGGACGGCACTAGAAGTCCATCGAAACAGGATGAAAGGGGTGGACCGATTCTGAAGCAGGAATCGCGAACAACTGCAACCACGAGTGGCAGAACAATAGATGCAGAGCAGCAGGCGTCGATGATTATGACTCTGGGTCTTTCTTTCCTAGTTAGGCTCTATTAACCACTCTGGGTATCGCAAAGAGCGTCTATATTCATATCATCCCAGCATTTTAATAAGCTCTTCTTTGGATCATGTGGTCCAGTTCTAATCCGAGCACCTCCTCATCCAACGCGCCATTATCTGGACCCATGCATGTACATCCCACGCGCTCGACACAAAACAGTTTTAACAGGCCCTTTGTTGGGGAGGATGGTGGCGTCTTCTTATTAAGGGTAGGCTAAAGGTGTTCCTGGTGCCGTTTGTTTTGCCTCTTCTAAGGGAGAAAGGCGGAACAAACGGGAAAATTTTGTGAACACCAAAGCCCTACCTGTAATCTTAGATCCAGCTGGGAGCCACGACTTTTTTGGACACAGACCTACGAGTCCAGTTGTAGATAGTGCGCGGGGAGAACGAAGCGGGTTGCCGCTGCTTTACATAGACGAAGAAAGGGAAACGTCTTTTGTTGCGAACGCAGTAGGTGGAGAAGGAGGTGGGGAACAACAGCAACAGCATGGGGCGGGGGAACAGGGAAATAATCATGCTTCGGGACCGCCAGCGTCTGCAAGTGTGAACAACAAAATGGAGTTCTTAGGGCAACAGCAGCAGCAGATGGGAGCACATGAAGCACATTCTAGTGGAGGGATGCTAACCCAACAGCAACAATTCGGTGGACCATCGCCGTTTGGGGGCACGTTCAACAACAGCCTAGGACCGTTTGTCGGATCAGGCGCTCCTGATGTTTCAATAGATACAACAAGTGTCAGTAGTACCCCTGGTGTGGGAGGTGGAAGCAAGAGGGCCACCAAAGGAGCGAGCATCCTGAGTTCGCCGGACCAGCACAATCGGGGCGCTCATTTCAGCGCCCTGCCACATTTGAACAACATGAAAAGCATTGGGGGATCGCTAACACCGACTTCTAGTGGCATGGGGCAGGTGCAGATGCAAGGCCAGCAGATGAATCAATTTCAGGTCGTTAATGGTAATCAACAACTGCAGCAGGGTTACAATCATCAAACGCAAATGCAGCAGGCGCAGAACCAGCAGCCACAGCACAACCGGCAGATGCAAAATCCACCACAATTGCTCCACTTTTCCAGACCGCTTGTTGCGCCGAAATTAGTAGGGCCTGGCGACGACGCTTTTGCCGGAAGTAACTCGAGTCCGGGCTCTCCACAGCAGAACAATTCAACCTTCATGCAGCCCAGTCCTACGCGTGGAGCAGGTGCGGGGAGGGTGAACACAGGGAGTGGAGACGGTGTTGGGAGCACTTTTATGAGCAGGGATGTAGAACCGGGAGTACTTAATTAAACCCACCAGGGTGTCTCGTGTGACGTTCTAATCTCGATGTTCTGTAGGTAATCACTGCCTCCAAGGAAGTAAAGTTTTAATTCTGGCGCAGCGCAGCAATCGATAAGTGATTACCTGCCGACGTTGCTGACTTCTGGAGATTCTCAGGCACGACCTCGGAGTCAGTGTAGCCGGTAGTGGGGGGCCGTGACGTATCCCTGTCTGACTTGGAAAGCCGACAATACATTTATATTTTGTGTACTTGAAACTCATACAGGTTTTTCCCCTTCTACTCGAGACTCACAATGCATCTAACTATCTTAACACTACACTAATGCAGATTTGTACTGGTTTCTAATGCAATAATCGAGTAGTAACGATGATCTGTTTTTTATCTTTCGTGCTATTTCACGACAAGTTTAGATTTCTGGTTTCTTAACTTCATCTCATTCTGATAGATTCTGCATCTTTGTAGTGCTTGCTTAAGTAATGAGTCTCGTGCGAAAAGGTGATCGTGTCGAAAGTAGGATATAAAGTTTCAAGTGTCGTTGACGGGAAAGTATTTCCAAGTACTGCCCAACAGTTGATGATCATAGGATACGGTGGGAACAATGTTCTCCGAATTGCTTGCACCAGCATAGTAACAATTTGAAACAAAGGTTTATTTACGGTATCTGGAAAAAGGAGAGCTAGATGGGAGATCAAGAAGGAACTTGAGTGAGGCTTGGAGCCCGTCATATTAGTTGAAGAGCGTGTTCAAAAATCGAGAACGAAATGATAAATATAACAATTCTGTCTGAAGACTCTGCGACGCATGAAGGGATATTCAACTCTGGATCGTATGGAGAGAAAGAGAGTGAGTTGGTATCTCCATTCTTGTGAGAGCAGCGAGGTAGGGGATCTGTTGCAGGAGCGCGAGTGAGAAGTGGCCATCCAATGGTGTTGGTGTTCATTAGGTCTGTGCGCGAGAGCAGATGAATCCGATGCAGGGCTCTGTCATGAGTGTCCCGCAGTAGCTGAGCTTGTAAATCTGGTCGTATTGTTGATGGTGCGAGCTCTATCTATCAGTGATAGAAAACGAGCCATTCGAATTCATTCCCTCGACAGGATCCCCCTCGTGTGAGGATTATCCCTCTCAACCCCTGGTATTGAGTACTCCCTTTTACGTGCTTCCGTGTGATTCGTATGATTGTTGTGCGGAGTCACTTACTCCTGTTAATTCAACGTCGACCATTTTCCATTGATGAGAAGTATGCGCTGCGCTCTCAATTGTCCGTCTGATGTTGTATCTTCGACTCATCAACAAGTACTCCTTCTATAACCAAGACAATTGCGTGAATAACCAATAAGGGATCAGGCGTCTTCGGTACATGGTAAATGAGTCTCGCAGGGGAAGAACCACGAAGCAGCGAGAGTCCCAGCCGGTCAGCAGAACCGCGAAAAAAGCCAAACGTGATCCCCGCCCAAACCAAGAGAGGCCGACCTATTCCTCCTCCAATCGATACACAAATGCCGATGTCGTCGCCTCCCCACGCGGGAGTGGTCCCGCACCACGGAGCAGGCCAGCAGCTGCCTCCTGGTGCGTCGAACAGCACTCTATTTGTTCCCACTAGCGGCATGGCCCCTGGTGGCGCTGTAGGTATGGACGGGAAGGGTGTCCCCGGGATAGGCGGTGTAATGCCGCACACGCCTAAGAAAAAGTATTTCTTCATGCCGCCAATGCCGAAGAAGAAGAAAAAGAACGAAAAACCTCTAGCAGAAGATATTCCGCAGCACATGCGAGCCTACCGAATCAGCACGCGTATGGAACTGGAGAGGGATTTGGAACATGACGTCGAATTACTGGTCCCGGATAACATCAAGAATCAAACTGACGCAACGAACTCAGTATTACGGAGTCAGGAGCGAATTGGACATCTCGGATTCGCCGTCCCGTGGTTCGCTGTTTCCTTCTCGCGTTGGGCGCCCTTGCGTGAGCTTAGTTGCGATGAGGATCCCGAATACGACGACTGGAGTGAGTTTTTTACAAGGCTAAAGTACGGTATAGGCATGTACTTGGATTTGGCCTACCACGAGTCGATCACAGTCTTGGTTTTGATTGTGCTGCATTTCTCACATCAGTACGCGACAGGGGAGGACGACGTGAAAATGAGCAATGGAAAGGAAGAACGAGATGTGTTGGTAGATGAAACCATGGTCGGGCTGTTCACGGGGGTACTACGGACTTATCTACATCTGTTTGTTTTATGAGATTTTTATTATACAGGCGTAATTCATCCAGGCTTGTTACTCATAATCGTACAGATCAGATCGGACTGGGTCGTATTCAAGATCACAACACTCTGGTCTCTTGCACCGTGAACTATTCGACGTGTCCTCTTTCCTATGGATCGTTGAATTGATACCGTGTGCTACACCATAGTGAGTGGAAAAACCTTCGGGCACACATAGCCTCGATCATGGCGCTTCGGTGTAATGATTGAAGGCTGTGTCTGAAGACCTGTCTACTCACACAAACCACCTCTATGATATCTGCAAAGAGCTACCCCTTTTTCGTATGCAACGTGAACTATTCGACGCGTCTGATTTCCTGTAGATCGTCGAATTGATACCGAGTGCTAGACTAAGTTTTGATTAGAAAAACCTTCGGACGTGTATAGCACTTATGTTGTCGGGCACTCCGTGCTAGGTGACACGGTAGCTACGTCTGAAGACCTGTCTACTCTAACACTAATGCGCATAGTTTTCACAAATAGAATGTAAAAGATCTACGGCAGACTAGTTGTTTGATTTGCAACGTGAACTATTCGACGCATCTTATTTCCTGTAGATCGTCGAACTGATACCGGATGCTAGACTAGATATTGAGTGGAAAAACCTTCGGACGTGAATAGCGCGATAGGTTGTTCTGCACTCTGTGCTAGGTGACCCCGTAGCTACGTCTGAAGACCTGTCCGCTCTGACAAATCATAAAAATTCTGACCACATCGTGGACATCTCATGGACACAATCATCGCTACTACATCAAAAGTGCCTCAAATTCAAATTCATGTCATCTGTATATTAACAACCATAAATATAAAAGGTTCTCGCTTTCACCCTCGTCTTCCGAATCAACCTGGCTTATGCACGATGGTGGGACTCGCGGAAAGCCTGTGATAGTTTCGCAGCCAAACTGTATAACGTAATGATTGCTGCCACATCGTTCGACCAGTTCACAAAGTCGAATGCAAAAAGCCGAGCCATATTCAGGTAGATCTCTTTTCCACATGGATGTTGATATGGATGAACAATCACGATCCTTATACCAATTCGCGACTCCAACAAGTGGGCACCAGTGTGATGAGTCATTCAAATTATCTCATAAGGTGTAATGAGGTTACGACCAGAGATATGATCCAGGTGCTTCTGATGGTTCCCACTCACAGATGGAATTGCCATATCATCGAGTTCCTCACCCCAGGACTTTGAATTTTCTCGCCGCACCTTACCACCCAATTTTCTCAGGTGTCGCGTCGCTGGTTATTTGTCGCTTCTCCACCGGGAAGCCATGGCTGAGCTTGGTGGCATCCACGATTTGCCTTGTCTTGGTGGCAAGCTGATGGATAAAAATCATGTCTCCCAGTATGTCGGGAGAGCTGACACTGCAGCTCGAAACGGCGTCGGCCAGTGCTATGTGTGGCTCGTCATGCTCCTTTGCGGCCGATTCCTCGGACATGCCGTCGCAGGACCAATATTGGCAAGAGCGTAACAGAATTTTCTGATCACTTTTGCTTCCTTTGTCTACAGCAGACGCCTTTCTCTTGAGAAATTGATATCGGAGATTGTGTTACCCTTCAATGATGAGTCACTTGCAAAATTCTTACCTACTTTAGCTGAAAGTAGGTGACGAATAAAAGCTTTGGAGACCTTCTGACTGCGGGAGCTGCACGTTGATCACAATGAGTCGCCCGAGCAAAGAGCTTTTCAATCCACCGCTCTCATCAAAACATCTCATCAATCCATCTCCCCTTAGGAACTCTCTCGCGGATGAGGCATTGTCGGACTATCATGCAGCTATGGTGGTCAGGAGCACACCTTTTCCTCTAGCTTTTGTGCGGATGCTGGATTTTGCGCTGTTTTTGGTGAAAATCATTATCCCACTCGTGGTGCACCAGACGGGGCTGCCGCTGCACTGGTATGAATCATCGATGTGAGGCTTAGATGCATTGGATAGTTGGGCTGAGAGGAAATCGATGTGCCAAAGTGTGTGTGCGAAAAGTATGAGAATCTACGTAGCTTTGTAGGGGTTTTTGCAAGTTTGTGATTCCCAAGTCATTTTGACCACTCAAGTAACGCCTTCTCCACTTTACTCCTCCACTTCCACTCTAGGGGCATTCCGCTTGTTTGCTTCTGCGTTTACGGCTTTTTCGGTATTGGGCGTGTCGCAATTGAGCTCGAACAGCCTTACGGCTCCGATTACTACGATCATCCCCTCGAGAATTGGCAGTTGGATTTCGATATTTGTTTATTCGACGTTCTTCACCGATTTGGCTACGACAGCCCTGCCCTAGACTGCGCTTTGCAAAGGAAGCACGATCCATCAGGTGACAGCATAGAAGAAATGTCCCAGGCGGCTCAGCGGTGTGCGGACAAGAGCTGGCAATTCGGCACTACGCTGCGAGTCCGTAAGAACTACGAAGCGAAGCATCCTCAAGCGGCACTGCGGGATTCGGCCAAACGAGATTTGTTCGCTGGCAGCTTCACTGCCTTGAGGGGCATAGGCGGTAACGGCGGTGGAGGAGTTGCGGCTCCGGCAATCCCGGTCGGGGCGAGTATGATAAACCACGTTGGGACACCACTTGGTGACTCTACAGGCTTCGCCGATGACATGGACGACGACGCCCAGGACTACGCGAGCGACCTAGGTGCAGAGACCGACTCTCCAGACGACGACGTGAGCAAAAACGTGCATCACATCAGCGTTTCAGCCAACAGCACCGTAGGGAGTCGTGACATGGAAGAGGGGAGTGACGAGAAACAAGGTGTGACCAAGAAGTCTGGCGTTACGTCGATTAAAGAGCTGAATAGCAACCATGCAGCGGACTTCGTGAGTCAGAATCTCAGCGACCACATCAATGCGCAAGTGCAGCGTCATGCACCGAAGACGCCGAACAAGCGGAATCCCAGGCAAGACCAAGTGCAAGTCCAGACATCGCAGCGACAGGACAAGCGGCCCGGCGGCAGATCAGTTGTGCGAGTTGACGTTTCCTTGCCAGGCGTAGTGGATGAAGATCGACAGGAGGAACGACCGGAGGTGGTGCTGGGAGCCAAGAAAACATGAAATTTGTTTATCACACCTTGAAGGATCTCTTTTCGCAACTCAACTCATTGTTGTATCTTAAACTGAGGTCGAACTGATTTTTCGCACAAATTAGAGACACCCATGGACTTGTGACTCGGCAGAAAACAAGAGCTGTAGACTACGCAGCTTCGGGAAAGTCATTCATTGTCCTACAAGTTTTTCATGGAGCTCTGCAGTCAGTGGAAGAAACCACAGTGGGTGTTCGATTCGTGTCAGCGCCGACACGAACAGCGCCACGAAGGTCGTACTGCTTCACAGAGGCACACTCGGGAGCGTTGACTCAGAAACTGGGCATGAGAAAATGCAAAGCCAACAGTGAGCTGACAATCATGGCGCAATGCCCTGTCTCGCCAAATCTTGCGAGCCATCGGTCCAAAGGAACACTGTGACGATTTTTGCCCTCATCCGAATTCTCTAGGAAATCAATCAAATCAATCACAATTTCATTGCTGTCAACATTTAGCCACGTTTATAGGAAATCAGGTAATCACCTCCGTCATCCCTTCTCTACACCCCAAATCTCGTAGACAAAACAGCGAATATCCGATAAAGCGTTCTTTTTCTGTTTTCACTCCGAAGTACTCTCTACTGGACGACAACAGCAATCTTGTATTGTTGAACAACAACGACTACTAGAAATATCATTACCTACAATACTTGTTGTTGTTATCCAACTAGACAACAGGATGGATCGTGTCAACGAGGAAAAACAGCATGGTGCCGAGCACCATTACAAGAAGAAGGTGTTCCGGAGTGCCAAGCCCGAGAACGATGACTCGCTCATCGACTTCTCCGCTCACATCCACGGCAACAATCGTTTTCACCACACGCGAACGCACAACCTGAACAAACCGCGAAATGGTATGTTCATCCACATGTTACTGACGGCGATAAAAAGGAGGACATTTTTGAAATCTCTGCTCAACCCGTCAATATAACATGTCTGTTGTCTGGTGTTTCATGGGGCCTGGATAAATAACAGTTGTATCTGGTGTAAAGAGTTTTGCTTGACGACAAACCGCATGCCGCTCGAGAGGCCAGTGCTTCTGTAAGCTCTGGCAAATGCAAAGCTAAGTACCGTGGCTGTCGCATTTTGATGTCTACCGTCACCTGTCAGCAGGAGACAAGTGAACACAAGCTGCTTCTATATGAAAAATTGACATCAGCAGATCAAGGCGACAGCTCACAAAACGTCTGAGATCCCAATTTGTAATCCCAGTTTTAACCCAAACATGAGATCCGGGTTGCTCCTTGCCACGGTTTGACTCCAACTTGATGTCTTGGCCGTTTTTAAGAGACCCTAGAGTAAACCTGAAACACGTTTCCTTGATATGGAGCACTGCTGTTTCGTTTTGAAACGTGTGCTTTGTAGTGCGAGACTGTTTCTACACATCACTTCTTGCTGAGAAGCACTAGTACCGCTCACGGTCCCTCTGCGCACGACGGCGCTTGTCTTTATACTGAGAACAACGTTGACGACTCTCTCACCACAAATTTCACACTTGCCTTCACTGACTCTAACCACCAGGTTCTCTTTGCATCACCTCTACCCTGCACTTTCACAAACCCCTCTACCAGGTAAAGCTCCCCGTCACGGCTACCACCGACCAGAGAAGCAAGCTGCTGGCTATGCGAAGAAGCTGGATGTCCTGCCCTCCGAAATTGACAAGCAGATACGCGAGGACACGGCTCCAGGCTTTGATGAACTCGAACAAGAACAACATTTGTTCTCCGAGGAGCCGCATCGATTGCTGAAAGGCAGTGCGTCGATGTCGAGCGAAATGTCGAGCACCTCTTCGTCGGAAGGTGGAAGTCTGGGGTACTTATTACTCATGCTGGTGTGATTTGGTTTCATGTGTCTCCAATTACAGCTTTGATGCTTGTATTCGTTCGTCGTGAGGTTGCTCTTGTGGATGTTCCAAATTGGAATTGATCAACAATCCAGCTTCCCTTCATTTTGTATCATCCAGTCTGCACACTCTCACAGATCCCTTTCGGATATCAACGGCAGCCCGAAGTGAGCCTCTTGTTGGCTGCGCGGCAACGGGAGGAGGACTACTTTCTCTTTGAGATGTTGATGCTTCCGTTCGGAGTTCGAAGAACGAACTGGGTGGACTTTCCTGAACGTGTAAGAAAAGGTAACTTAGATTAATCTCATATCTGGTGAAAAACTGTGACTGTGTGTATCTAGGCTTCCTGGGCATATGGGTACAGGCATTGTTCCTTATGTCGGACTCCAGTGCTGTTTTTGGAGAATGTAGTTGGTCACTTTGAAGACTAGTTTGATACAGCAGCTCAGAATATCGGAGTATTTGTAAGCTGTTTTAAACACCGGTACATGTTGTGGCGTGTCATTCGTTCTAGAGATGCCCTATCACTCGTGGTAGAGCATCTCTTGACTGGTGTCGCGTCCAAGTTTTGGGCAACCTTTTTTGGAATGATTTCCATCATGTTTTCTCATGGTTTAAAAATTTGATGTTTTAAACAGCATTAGAACAAGAAGAAGAAGGTGCGATCGTTTGAACAATTTGAAGTTAACTCATAATGATAAAGTTTTGGATCTGGATAATGATGATGGCCATAAAAAAGGCAGTAATCGCTTTCTAACCTGCTTGCTCCGCAGCGAAGGTTTTCAAGCTTTTGCTGCTCGCAGATAGACTCCCAATTCAATGAAGAAGCTCACTCTATTCGCATTCGCTATGTATTAGAACAGCTCTAACATTTAAGATAAAGAACAAGGACGCTCAAATGGCTCACCTAAGAACAATTCCTGACTACGAGCACAGCTTTTCAGCTGCTGAATCTCGTTCGCGGGCGTGGGCTGTACTATGCCCTCGGATGAAATGAAGCCTGCGCTCTTGTTTCAGAGCAGAAGCCTAAACTTATATCCTTTCTTAAAATAAGTACAAGCATAGTGACCACGCGGGCCCTCATCCTCACTTATTTTTCAATAGACCGCTAAAGTTTCGAGCACAGCTTATAGCATAGCTCTTATAGTTGCAGACTGGCCTTGTGTTGTTCTTAGTAAGTAGACTGACCTGATGGGCTGTGGTGGCTTTCGGGAGGGTCTGGACTTTGCGAGGGGGAAGCCCGGACTTCGCGCCTCAGTGCTCGCCCCTCCGTGCGCCTCTGCAAGAAGATGCGTCCAGACCTTCGGCGCATTCACGCGCCCTTCCACATCGAGGGGCGTCCATCTTCTAAGAGTCAGTTTTCTTGTTTCAAAAAATTTGTAAAAAACATCGATTAAAAAAACAAAAAAAGCTCTGGTCGTATAGATGGACCCATTCTCTTTCGCTCTTACACCTTATATCTAGATGTGCCTTTGCAGCGGCGGCCTTGACCTTCGAGACGTTTTCCAGAAGAATTATATTTCGTCGCCTAATACCCTGAAGATGAAAGCCAGGGAAGACTAATCAGCATAGTGCTCACCTGTAGCCATGGGATAGGTTTATTAGGGCGGTGAGGAAATGCCAAAGACTATCGCTAGAGGTGAGTCACCTTGAGTGATATCTTACGAGGAAGCATCAGCAAGAAGAAGAAGGCTTACAAGCTAACTAGAGAGGAGCGGCATCAACCTTCGCAAGAAGGAGCCGAGGGTCAAGGTCTCTGGCTGACACGCAGGGCGTGGTGGTTTATAATTGCTCTTATTTTTCTTCAAGTTCTTTTTTAGTCCCTGACGCGGGACGTTCTTCCACGGCCTCCGCCTCCTTGATCATGCAAAGGAGGCAGAGTTCTTCTTATATCTGCTCAGTGTAGAAGAAGCTCCTCGTTGCAATCGATAACCGGGTATGTTAACGTCATCGGGCTACTGGTGTGCTATACGACTATGGTAGTTGGGGGCGAGCTCGTTGCGCTTATCTAGTGCATAGACAAGGCAATGCTGTGCATCTAATGTCATGTGCTATATACCAGCCTCTGCGCGTACCTTCGACATTGCAGGGAACCCGGGACGCAACGGCGAGACCTCTTGGCTTCAATAGTTACTCTTCTCTTTACTTTGTGTAGGTCTATCTGATTAGGGTGTTGTTTAATTATACCACTTTCTTCATGCGATGGAGGTCGTGGTATAGTGGTGAGAGTGCCGGCGTGTCGCTAGTTGTAAGCTCTTCTACTAGTATTGGAATAATTATCACATAGGAGGCGTACTAACAACTACAACTATTACTAGAACATCAACGAGTCTAATTTCTGCACAACTTTTCCATTGGAGGAGTTAGGTGAACGCACTATATGCGCGCTCGTCTTTTTGTCGTCTGGTAGACTGCCTGACGATCACTACCGCTGGCTCTAGGCTTTCCAAGCTTTTTCCAAGCTTTGAGTCATCATCATCATCATCATCAAGGTGGCCGGCAGCAGATGAGCGCCACCGCCATCATCGTCATGTCTAGGCAGCGTGTAGGGTTCCTCATAGTTTCCAGCGGCACAATGCTTGCACTAGCCACTATCACAGTAGTACAACTAAACTAGGACTTGTATGGATTGTCAGTCGTCCCTAGAAAGAATCGCGTCATACTTCGTTCGCTTACTCTCGTTTGATGGTTTGCATGTTTTTCCACGACACTCATCATGAAGAATTTCTGGCTGGCTAGAATCATTTCTGTTCTAAGTTCGATTGGGTGAATGGACTTAGATACCCTGTGGGGCGGACAGGTAACAAGATTCGGTTCGTGCAGTTCTCAGCGTGGTACACAGAAGGGGGGACTTCATAAAACTGGGGGGAGGATGAGTGACCAGAGAACAGCAGAACGGCCAATATATAGACACTGTTTCACATGATCCGATATGAAAAATTTCTACATATGTCCCAAGGGATTCACATAAGCTTTCGATGCAGAGTCGGCGCTCTCCCTCGGCATTGTTGTTCGCGGTCTCCACGACTTGGAGACGACATGTGGTACGTGGACAATCACATCTCGCTCGGCCTGTCTGGTGCCATAGAAATCGTTATTGAGATCCTTAGTCGGTATCGGTTACTTCTCAAACAGTCAGTGAAATTCTGTAACCCGACCCCAGCAACATAAAGGATAGCATCATGCCAACGCGAAGGGGTTATCCCGGAGCAAACAGATTTCTCTCGGTGGTATCTGTTCTGTCGGTACTCAGGTCATTGCCCCATCTCAATACCCCACCACACCGCTGTTTCCACCTTGCGTTTCTTCAATAGTGTGAACAGTGCTGCTTTGACTTTTACAGCTTTCTCTTCTTTTTCTCGTTACGGTGACAATCATTCAAGAACTTCTCTACGTCACTAAAATTCCGCAAGATCACAGCCTTTCTACCGTCAACCGACAAGTAGTCCAAAGTAGTTGTCGCCTCACGTGACCTCACCCTCCACAAGTAGGAGACCATGAAGAAGCCGCGTCCTCGGTCGCCTCGCGCGACGTCGCCGCGTGGTTCACCACGCGGGTCCCTGGCTCCGAACAAGCCAGTTCCGCCACCACCGTTACCAGCTGGACAAGCGCGTCCTGGATCAGGCAGTGGATCGGATGACAGCGGGAGTAGAAATTATGTTTTGTGGTGGTATCAAAAACACTCAGGTGAGTCGTAATTCTCAGGGGGGTGGGCGAATTTGCAGTGCTTGCGATCTTTCCGCGCTGGACATTTGCATACTGCTTGAATTTCGAGAACAGCAGGTGGCCCCATTCGCCTCTAATCCCCATACGGTCTCCCACCCCAGGTGGCCCCATTCGCCTCTAATCCCCATACGGTCTCCCACCCCAGGTGGCCCCATTCGCCTCTAATCCCCATACGGTCTCCCACCCCAGGTGGCCCCATTCGCCTCTAATCCCCATACGGTCTCCCACCCCAGGTGGCCCCATTCGCCTCTAATCCCCATACGGTCTCCCACCCCAGGTGGCCCCATTCGCCTCTAATCCCCATACGGCCTCCCACCCCACCCGTCCCGGAAGAGAAAGTGTCCACTCGCCTCTAATCCCCATACGGCCTCCCACCCGTCCCGGAAGAGAAAGTGTCCATACACGGCAAACTCCAGAAGGAAGTCGAAGCAGGTTTGAGGGTGAAAGAAATCGGCGCGGGCATGGATGATTTGGACTCGCAGTTGAGCAATAGTAGTGTCAACATCTTCACAGTCGATTTCAAAGCCGAGCCAGAGGATAAGTACATCGAAAATGCAGTCAACAGTTATAATAGGGTACTACTTAGTTACACGTTGTTTGATATCACATGCTTTGAGTTTGCTATCGATTTGGGCCTCTTAGTGTTCTAACCAGAAAATTTTGAATCGGATCTGTAGGATGCATGCAAATGCAACGCCTTATATGCAATCTCCAAAATCTCCACACAGTGCGTCCGCGTTTTCCGCCACGTCAAGGTGAACTACACCTCACCCCTCGCCTGGAAAATGAACACGCAGAACTGCGATCAAATGAAGAGCAGACTGTTGGAAACAGGTAAACAGTTCTCTGGACTTGCGAACCTGTTTGATCGATTGTTTTTTCATTTGTCCGTAGCCCCAGAGAGATGGCAGGAGTTTTTGGGCATTCTAGCATCCCGAGATCCCGATGCAATAGAGGATTTTGACGAATTGCGGCAAGCTTTGAGGGAGGAACAAAAAGAAGTGAAGAGACTCAACGTACATATACATAGGATACCTTTTTTAGCTGTTCTTGTGCTCAAAGAGTCAAAAAGAAGCGTAGCTTTGTGTAATGTTTTTTCGTTTCTTTCTCTCGCTTTTTTTTTTGCATCCTAATTAAGTCGTAACTTACACCTCGTGCTAGGTAAATGAGTGAATGAGTGAGTGAATGAATGCTGCATCTTCAACATCCTTGAGAACCTTCCGTTGAGGTATAATGCGCATAATCCGCGCAAACTGACCAACACGATAGCTTCATAATCCGCGATAACTGACCAAACGTCATTCAATCTCCCACACCCCGGATACTAGGCCGTCCTGCAAGAACGAGACAAGACGATCGAAGAGCTTGAGACGCAATTGGCGCTCACCAAGCAAGAAGTCCAGGATGCTTTGAACCTAAATAGGGATTTTGCCGAGATGAAGGTGAAGCTCGAGACGGAGGTGGAGAGCTTGACGAGCCAGTTGAGCTCAGCACAGCAGAAGTCAGAAAGTTTGAGTCTGGAGAAAATGGAAAGTCAGAAAAGGATGGTGGAGAAATGGCAAGGTATTGCACTTGGCTTGTGGATGAATTAGAATTTGTAGTTTGAATCCCAATTCTATTTGCTTCCTGTCCTATTCTATTCTATGCTATCCTATCCTATCCTATCCTATCCTATCCTATCCTATCCCATCCTGTATCCTATCCCCTTGCAACTCAATTCCAAAAATCACTCAGGTGACAAAGCTTCAGCCAGCCTGAAGGAATACTTTACCTCTTTCGTCCGAGTCATCTGGGAAGATATGATGAGGAGAAAATTGGATAATGCTTATGGCGACTGTCTTGTTATAAAGGATGAAAACGCCAAGCAGAAGGCGAAAATACTGGACCTCCAAAAGGATTTGGTAGCCGTACAGAAGAGCGACGCGAAGAACAGCAAGGGATGGGAGTTGTTAAGGGGAAGATGTCAGAAGAAGGTATTATTTAGTGTTGTTTGTCATATGAGCATGTGAGAACTAAACGAGTTACAACTTGTGCAACATAAGTACACTAAGAAATCACATTTCCATGATTTGCGCAACAAGAAACGCAACCCTAACCCTAATAAGCCCTAAGCCTAATAAACCCTAAACCCCTAAACCCTACCCAACCCTAAACCCTACTCACATAAAACTCCCATACAGGCCATCGTCATCCTCACGCGCTACCAAGTCCCACACGACATCCCGATATCCTCGAAGACCTATCTCCGACGCGCATGGGCTATATGGAGATTTGCTTTGCCGCATATGAAGAACGAAAACGGAAGGTTTTTGTTGCAAGAAGCGCGCAAGGCGTTTCAGGAATCTGCCAAGGAAATCAGATCCTTGAAGGAAATGCGTGTGCAGATGGAAAAGGACTATTATGGCGGAATCAGAATGTGGATCATGTGTTGCTGCTGGTGCTGTCTTTTTCAAGGATTCGAAATCAATATTCCCAAGTACTAACGGGTCATAATATTTCGCTCGGGTCGCAACGGAATCAGGCAGCGAGAGTTGTCACGTGATTCGCAAATGAATGAGTGAATAACTCGATGGAAATCGCCGAAGTGTCTCTCTTCAGGAGGGGGTTCTCACTTTGACCCTCAATCCTAAACCCTCACTTCCTCTCCGCCTCTAATTTTCCCAAGAATTGAACAAGAACATTTTCGATCGCGGTGTGCAGAGTTCGGTTACGCATGCAGTGGCGGTGATTCGACAGCGAGCTATGCTGAAGCGGGAATTCAAGGGGATACAGGAACGGATGGTCGACGCGCATCATAAGTATGCACTATTCTTGATTCATCTGTAGATGCCAATGAATGATCGGCCTAGGATCTTCTGTAGATGCCAATGCCTAGGCTAGGATCCGGAGGATTTTACCAATTCGTTCTGTTTCGCTTTCCTCCTCACGACCATCAGAAACTCCACTCTGTCCCCCACACAACCAACCAACTATCAGGGAGCTCGAAGCGAAACAGTCCAAGATCATGCAACTCGAGATGGATATTCAAGATAACAAGCAATTGAAAAACGCCACTGCTGAATTGGACGAATTGAAGTGGCGACTGCACACACAGCCTGGCTTACCTCCAAGACAAGTGTTAGCATTAGACCCGAGTCAGACCTGCATGGTTTGTAAACGGCAGGTGATGTATCAGGAGTTCGTGCATGGACCAGGAACGGAGATCGAGACAATCCGAGACGTGCCTGGGAAAACCTATTTGGTTATGGACGAGGAAGAGTTGAACTTGTTTCTTTCTTAGACTTGGAGTGGGGTTGTCACCGTGTGTGGCAGCGAAGCCGAGGCATCCTATCCTATCCTATCCTATCCTATCCTATCCTATCCTATCCTATCCTATCCTATCCTATCCTATCCTATCCTATCCTATCCTATCCTATATCCATCAAGGCATTTTTACGCGATAATGGGCTTTTCCTGTTTACTTGCAATGACATCGCCTATCCCGAAACTCAGATCCCTTCCCACTCTCCGCTAACCCTGCCCATCTCGCCGACCGTCCTCCGAAACATCTATTCCGCAACATATTCAACAAGGGTCTAGACGCTGCCCTCCTCGATGGTATGGATGGCGGCGCTGGCGAAAGGAATCCCTTAAGAGAACGTGACGATGACGAAAGTTCACAGGGTTCACAAGCGCCGGACATGACACAGACTTTGGTGGCAAAAGAGCGGGTTGATTTCGTGGACTATGAACTAGAAGCTGAACAAGAGAAGTACGAAGTCCTAGCACAAGACGTCAACTTAAACATGGCAGAAAGGGGGAGTCCGTTGAAGAAACTGCTAGGAATCAGTAGAGCAGGAGCGGGAAAGAGCAATTATGGCATTGTTTTGCAGATATTGTGGAAGTGTCTTTTTCCTTTGCAACTGTAGTTATAATACTTAAGTTGGTGCTCCGAAGTTTTCTCAGAAAAGTGTTTTCTCTTCGACAACCAGTCTGAGTATCCTGTGTGGCAGGAATCATAAGTATTTTCATCTCGTGATCCCGCTAAACCTCAAAACGTGGCACGCGTGCTGGCGGCGGTTCTCGATCGTTACAACAAGCGAGGGGAGGAACCGGGACAGCATCTACAACGTCCACTGGAGGTATGAATCTTGGACCAGGTGGTACTAGAGCCGCCACACCTCCTCGACAGAGTCGAAACGTTGCACTAGGAGGTGGCCTTGAACAGCCAGGAGCACTTCTAGACGGTTCTCCTGGTCTTGGAGGCCGTGCTGGCAGAGCTGGACTTGGAGGGGCCTCACCTGGAGGAGGATCGCCGGGAAGAATCAGACGAGATATTAAGGCTTTCCGTAATCATTCATCTGGAGGAGAAGCATCTTACTTTGCCACGTTTTCAAGGAGAGAACGCGTTTATTAAGATGCTCTTCAAGAAGATGAATGTGTAAGTAAGGTCTAAAGATAGCAATGCACATCCAGTTTTGGCTAGAATAGGCGGACAGGAGAAGATGGGGAAGTACGCACCAGACCTCTTCGTGGGGTTGGGCACATGCGCGCCATCAACTTCTGGATTGCTGTATGCGGAAGCACCCGAAGGCGAAGTGGCCAATAAACGCGGCGGAGGTCCTTCGACTGCCCCAACCAATGGCGCCAACCGCTCGGATCCGACTCAACATGCCTTACAGCCAAACTACGTGCCTTTCCGACCAGATAGTGGGGTTTCTGTGCCGGCTTCATCAGCTAGGACGTCGAATAGCCCAGACCGTGGATCCCGCAGTCCAGATCGAGGGTCTAAAGGGCAAAGATCCAGGTCTCCAGACCACCGATCCAGAGGTGGAGTTCACCCAGCACCACCAATTTTTCTTCCTGGCCGTGGTTTAATGCGTGGAGTGGGCTTTGGAGAAGGGGGACAACTTCTCAACGCTTTTACGTCACCTAGAAGCAGAAACGAGAATCTTCACAGAAGACGTAGTACTGGCGACAGTGACTTCATGCTACCCAGCTTAAACGCCCCAGGCATGAAAGTGCGGAGTCGCAGTGCTTCGCCTATTGGGTACTCTCCAGCGGATGACCAATTGGCGGAATTTGGTGGAACGCAGAGCAGCTGGATGTCCGCTGTGTCTCAGGGAGGTCATTCGTCGTTTCACAACAACCACGGTTCCGAGTCTGCTTTCCGTACTACTGGCGGCTCCAGTATCTTCCGCACGAGTCCTCGTGGCGGAGTAAAACGTCGTAGTCATCCTGGCACAAACTCAAACACAACCACTTCTGACTTGTTCAACCAGATGCGTGCAACGCATACTAGTTTCGGCAATAGTGGCGGAAACAGCAAAGCGAGTACGCGGACTGGCTTTTTCGGAACGACTGCGGGGAGCAGTGACTTTGCGAGACGGAGTGGAGGGTTCTTTAATGCAAAGGATAAAACTGGTGGAGTTCAATTGACGAAATTCACTGGCGGTGCAGGCCCAGGACAAGCTGGAGCGAGCCCGATAAAGCAAATGAGCAAAACATTTAGCGGTGGGTTTCAGTGGAGGTGAGCGGCAGACTAGTAGAGCAGGAGGTTTTAAATTTATCGTAATTATACGACTAGTACGTTTTGATTTTTGATATAAATTTTTGGTAAAGTCGTGGGTCTATCTTTCTGCTTTTGGGCAGACTAGATAGAACAAATAACTGTACATACGTATTCTATTTACACGAACTATCTAAGCAATGTGAATGTCTTTCTCTTTTTTATAACAGGTTTAGCATACAACGAAACGTAGAAGAGGTTCAATACCATTATTTTTACCGCGTAGATGAATTCAACAAAGCAGCATGATGGCCATGCATAAGCATGATTCATACCATGATGGTTAGGTTTTGAGAATAAGTTTAAGCATACCGAAGAAAATGCACAGGATGTTATGATTTGTCGAGCTAATTGAGACGAATTCGTTATCTTTGTAATATATGCACAGAGCAAAGAATGCTAGGAGAAGTAAGGAGATCTTCACATCACGGAATTGATTGATTTGAGGGGGTAAAAATTTAGCTGCACTAAGGGGATCTTGTAGAGTATGACTATGTTGAGGAGAAGGTCACGTAGTTTCTTTTGAAAAGGGTGCAGCTTCATTGTTTTTACTTGTTTATCATCTTAGTGTGATTTTAGTGATTAGATGTTCAAGTAGTTTCGTATTTGCAGAATGCGAACAAGTAAATGCAATAGTGCTAGAATTGTCGAATTCAGAATGATAATGCAAGTTGCTTGGATGTAAACGGGCAAATACAAAAGTATAATTGCAAGCTTTCAAAAAAATGAACGCCGCATGCGCTAGGTTGTTCGATTGGCTTCGAAAATGACGATGGAAAAAGACGTCGATGAGAAGATGGAAAAAGATGGGGTACTTTTTGCAGGCACACCAGGTAACTACCGCCTCGTTTTTCGCGCGGCATTAGCCCGAACGGTTTGACTGATGCTCTTACGGCCACTCGCGTGGTTTGGTGTCAGCCCACTCGGAATACTGTGGCTCTAACTTCAAGCCTGCTAGCCAGTATAACTGCGCCGTTAGTTAAGCTCCCTTATCCATTGTTTTCTTTTGTTCTTGTGCTCGTGTCTTAGTTCCAGCTGATAAACTAATCGAACTTCGTCGCGCTGTCAGTTGAAGCGAGCAAAAAATAGTAAAAAAGAGACATAGCCATCGGCATCAGATCCAAAAAGGTACTATCGATCGTTCTCGTCTTCGTCACTAGTCCAAACAAAAGTCCGTCATCGTTTTAAAAACAGCTTCACTCCCTCACTCTCGCTTTTGATGTATTCTGCTTTTTAAACTTAGCGTCAACATTGCCCACTCTGTGGAGTCAACTAGTATGTAATTGTTTATTGTTTATACGAAGTGGTTAATTGATTAAATTTAAAAGGGAGGCAGCATACAGCCCTAACGCAAAAAAAAGTCGTCGCAGAACTTAATGCGCGCATTTGGTTGAGTAAGTGGATTGGAATCATTTCTGAGTTTATGAAGATAGCTGAGCCTGAGTCAGGCCACCACAATTTTACCGCGTCCTACTACGGCCACGGCCACAACAAAAAGAAATCAAGAAAGACAAAAGCGCGAAGATGTCGTCGTGTTCTCTCCAGGAATCGTCCTCTTCGCCTCGTGCTCCTCCATTCCCAGAAGCTGGAGAGAAGGCTGCGTCCAAGTCTTGTCGTTCGCGGCCATCATGCCGGTCTATGGTCATGCGTTTCACGCACACTCCCGATGCGAGGCAGCTTATCTTCGTCATGGTCGGTCTGCCGGCAAGAGGCAAGAGCTTTATTGCTCTCCTTAAGGCTTCCCCAAATCCATCTCCGGAAGCATCCTTATTAAGCTGTCCCATGGGGAGTAAGGAGCATCAAACAAGACGCGGCTCAAGATCGATGGGTAAGGTACTAGGGTGGGCTCTAATCTACAGCTGAAGCGTTTCATGAGTTGGAGGGGTATTGAGACCAAGGTCTTCAACGTTGGCAATTTTCGTCGAGCGACTGAGACAGGGGTTCAAGACGCGAGTTACTTCGATGCGCAGAACGAAAAATTCAAAAACAGGCGCGAAGAATTGGCAATGCTGGTGCTGGACGACTTGTTGGAGTGGCTGGGGACGGAAGAAGAAGCAGGAGTAGCAGGAGTGGGAGATGTGCGAGGAGAAGAAGCAGGAGTAACAGGAGTGGGAGCGATGGCTTCGGATGTGTTTTCACTTATGGTGGACACGACTTGTTGTGGATGCTTTTTTGAAGAATTCAGCGTTGATCGTCTGGTCGATGCCGCTCCGAACTTGGTATCTTTCTATCATCTCTAAGACTTGCACAACGACGCATCACCACCAAGATTTCGGAGGTGGAGCTATAGGCCGTTGCGCAATTTTTGACGCGACGAATACTACTCGGTCACGCAGGAACCGGGTTGCAACCGAGATCTACAACCGTTTGGGCCGTCATGAAGTTGGTGTTTTATGGCGAAGGTGTATTTTGTATGTGGTGTCGGAGAGAGAGAGAGAGAGGAAAGATGAAAAAATCAAGAACATGAGCGACGGGGAAAAGATCGTAAACTCCGTGTAGACAGTAATTCTCGTATCTTTCAGCACGTCCTCCTCTCCGCTTGGATAATTGCATCTATCCACCAAGGTAGCACTCTTTTGCTTTCATCTAACGCGTGTCTTCATCGAGAGCATTTGCTCAGATCCTGACGTGATAGAGGCGAATCTACGCGTAAAATTCGAGAGGAGCCCAGACTATGCGGGAAAGGAAGCCACCCAAGCACGAACGGATTTAGAAAGGAGAATAAATCACTACGAACGTGTCTATGAGCCGCTGACTGAAAAGGCTTTTGAGATTTTAGTGTCGTCAAAGGGAGGTCACGTTATGTCGTCTCAAATTAGTGATAGCAGTGCGGCACAGGAATCTGCGGATGCGGAGAAAGCATTTATATCTATATCCTACATCAAGCTGTTCGATCTGTCTTCCCACGTGACGGCGCACAACATTTTCGGGATGGCATCGGTGACGCTGCTGCCGTATTTGATGTTATGAAGACTGTTCTTGTGGCTTTTCCTTGAGAAACCTAGAGTCAGTTCTTTTTACGTGTTCTCGACGTCAACCAGTTTTTGCATCGAAAACTCCCTCTAATGGCAGCCTTACACGTTGGCACGAGACCTGTGTTTTTATGCAACGTCGACGCAGTGGACAATGCGCAAGGTGGCCTCTCATGCGAACAAATTGCGCAATTTTTGCTTTCTAGTGAGCACTGTCGTGCTGGCTCCGAGCAAGCAGCTGTTGGCCAAGCGGCAGTTTTGGACGATTTAGACGACTTGATCGTCTTCAGTTGCACCACAGACTCAGCAAGGCAGTTTGTGCAGAAGTTAGATGGCGCATCTTCCTCTGAGATGATAGCACCTTCAACAACCGGCGACTCATCTACAACAAATCCCACTACTTCTAGAGCACAAAGGAATCAGACTATCCGCATAGCTTCTACGCGCTTCCGTGGGGCTCTGAATCGGCCGTCGGACAGCTGCAGTGCTTGGGTCGAGAGAGCACAATTGCTCACGTCTGTCCTCATAGAAGTGACGCAAACGTGCAGACCGGTCCTTGTCCTAGCTCCTCGAAGCATTTTATTAAGGCCCTGCACAATTCATAGTCAAGGCTCATTTTTCTCTGTTTCCTTCTCATCTTGGAAATCTCAAGAAATGACCTGAAGAAGTGAATTGCTTTTAGCTCGAATTTTAGAAGTCCTCTATACTTACTTCAGCGGTTGTGACCCACCATCTGGTAGTACGATGGGTTCCTCGCTGATCGAGTTTTTGCCACGTGGTGCGTGCTTCGCGGAACGGAAGGGGAGTGGAATGTCGTGAACACGCTGGTAGCATGAAATGGAGAGTTTTTTTTGAAAATGGAAATCGAAATGATGAAAGGGCGTCCCAAAGAATTTTTTGATATTCGAGTTTTGATCTTCTACCCATCATGTTTGTTCAGTTCGGACACAGGTTGCTATAACTGTGTCTGTGATCCTAAGGATAGATTGACTTTCTAGCTACAGCTTCGCATTCAAACAATTATAGAGGCTTCTTATTCTTTTGGCTCGGGAATCGTTTTGAGGATGCTATAACTTGCGGAAGTGCGACGTAGCTGTCGCTCGGTTCGCATGTTCCACTGCGGTCACGCTCACGGCTCTCAAAATGTATCATCGGTGGAGGCTTCTCTCCTGTGGTAGGGGAATGCTACCACGACGAATGACGTCAGATACCAACTCGTTGGCAGTGTCGGTTCTAATCGTAGTCTGACAAATAGGTTGTTAAGAACGCAATCGTATTCACGCAGATCGGTCGTCAACTGTATTGCGCCATTCGGTTTGTGTTGGTTCGCAATCGTTTCTATCATCCTACTGTGTCGGTATGCGAAAGTAGAGCCATTGTGCGGAAAACGATCGAAGCCCTTGCCTCAGCAGGTCTCTCTCCAATAGAACTTGAAGATCTGCGATTCTCGCATCTGAAAAATTGATTATTCTCATCGTCCATCGCGGGAGCTAATGTGTATATGTCGATTTCCCGTCACAAATAAACGACATTTACTGACTAAAAAGTTCAGAAAAGCATAGAACAAGAGAATCGGCCTTATTAAAGAGAAAGCGTCAAAAGGTAGATTTTTCACGAAGAACTTCTACAACAAAATACGCAACGAAACATACTTACCACATACAGATCTCATCTAGAGAACGAAGGTACATTTACAGATCTCTGTAGAAGGACAAATCAACAAGATGCCGTCTTTCGCTCGCCCTTTAATGGCTGTGTACGCCGACAAGAAGGGTGCTTGGTTGCCTACTAAACATCTTGAAGATTCTGAAGAATTAAGGCCACTCCTGTTGTAAATCCATCCTTCCACGTAGCATCGATCCATCCATCCTATCAACACTTACGTCCGCTGCGTAGCGTAAGCATTTAATAGTATCCTCTTCTAGAGGTAGTCGCTTTCTACTACTTGCAGGAACATCAATGAGTGACATCACTTAGCACGCCCCTGTCAGATAAGATAGACTCACTTCATCTGAAGAGTACCAAAAAAGATGGGTTTTGAGTTTGATTGACGTTAGCTACAACCTCTAATAAAACAAGGCATCATGCTGCGCAATTTTGCAAGCGAAGATCCTTTGGATAACTATCATGGTGTTGCGATGAAACAAAACGGCATGCGAGAATTTATGAAGATTATAGTTGGCTGCTCAGCTCCTGGCTGTGGTTTTCACTTTCAGGACTTTGTATTTGTTTCTGTTGTCAGCACTGTCAGGAGTTTGATTCATTCATCAGTTGAACAGAAGATATAGAGGATCCTTTCCCCTGATGAAGATGACACACCCCCAAGCAAATCCTCCTCCATCTTTCACAGGGTGCCGCAGTTTGCCGCTTCGTGTGATGAGTTATCTCATTCGCCAACTCACCTCGATTTTTGGCACTCGTGGAGCGCAGGCAGCCTTCGTATTTCTGCTGATTGGGACAGCTTGCATTTTGACCGCTGTTATTACTTTATGGACATCGGTGGGTTTTTATTGCTAGTAGTGAATCATCAACATTGTCCTCCTAAAAAGTTTGAGGAACTCTACGTTTCAGTTTCTCCACTTTTTTTGAACAGCATTCTACTTGAAGGCACATTTACAGTGTGTTTACCGGGCGCAGCACGTCACTTTCTTAAACAGCATTGATCTTCTTTATCTGTATCTTAATCTTAATCTTAATCTTAATCTTAATCTTAATCTTCATCTTCATCTTCATCTTCATCTTCATCCAAAATACACTCCACACCACAACCATCATCTAATCCCTTCTCTGGGTTCTTTTTTGCATGTGCAACCGATGGTGGAGACATCCAATGGTAAGAACTCGGCGAAGACTCGCTATTACAATGGCTACAGCAATGCCTTCCTGCAGACAATGGAGGCGACTCAAGTGACTCAGAAGGAAAACAAGGTGGCGACGCAGAAAGAGAGCAAAGTCGAGGAGGCTCAGAAAGAGAGGAAAGTGGAGACGCAGAAGGAGAGCAAAGTCGAGGAGGCTCAGAAGGAAAAAGTGGAGAACAAGGTGGAGACCACTCAGAAGGAGAACAAGGTGGCGACGCAGAAGGAAAACAAGGTGGCGACGCAGAAGGAACAGATGGCGACGCAGAAGGAGAACAAGGTGGCGACGCAGAAGGAAAACAAGGTGGCGACGCAGAAGAAAAATAAGTTGGCTACACAGGTGCTTATGCAGATGTACATAATCTCATATTCATAGCAAAGATACCATGGATAAAAACCTAAGAAAAATCAACAGACCACTAAATAAAGGGGGTGAGGTGAATTATAATATATATAATCACCCGTCTACTAGTACTCAAGTGAAGGGGATGCAGCATCTCCTGATTTAGAACGAGGGAAATTGCTCCTCCGGATCCAACGTGGCGAGGCGTGTTCCCTAGGGGAACACCCTCGCCGCCGTCTTCTCTTTTGGTTTGTGCGGTTGTTCATTTGAAAAACTTGTAACAGTGTCGCTCGTTTTTTTTTATGAAAGAACTGAGGGCGGAGCCCCCCGCCATGTCCGTGCTTGTTGGTGCGCGGGCAAATGGTGCGGCAGGGTTTTTTTTTTGGTGGTCTTTCTTTTTCGCTGTCGCCTCGGCGTGGTCGGTTTTTTTTGCCGTTTCCAGTTTTGGGGCGCTCGCCGTATCGGTCGGCGCGGTGCCTGGGCTGAAGGCGTCTGTGCATCGCCTCGCCCCGGGGGAGGCGCGCTTGTGGTCGTGTGTTCCCTTTTTCGTGTTGTAGGTTCTCCAGTTGCTGGGCTGTTTGCTTCTCTCCCATTTTCAATATGGTGAGGGAGCGCGCTGCCCCGCAAAGTGAGCTGTTTGGCTTTCATTCGCACAGCCTCGCTCGCAGTCTACTGCCGCCCCTGCAGGCTTCCGCCTTGCGGGGCAGGGCTGCCGCCTCGCAAGTAGCCCGGGCGGCTTGTCTCGTGGCCCAGGCTTTGGGCGCGCCCGGGCCGGGGACGGGTGTGCCTTAGCTGGGGGCGGTGACAAGCCTTGCCTGTGCCGGGGGTGTGCCCGAGCGAGCCGGAGGGGAGCCCGGGCCCGGGGTTAGCTTGAGCTGGGGGCGAGCGCGAGCCGGGGGTGAACCTGAGCCGGGGGCGAGCCGAAGCCGAGGGTCGGTGAGCTCGAGACGGGGGTGGGCCCAGGCTGGTGGCGAGCCCCCGCCCGGGGGGAGCCTGAGCCGATGGCAAGCGGGAGCCCTTGGGGCGAGCCATAGCCGGGGCCTGGGGCGAGCCCGAGCCGAGGGTGAGCAGCCCGTGCCGGTGACAGGCCTGGGACGGGGGCATGGCAAGCCTGAGCCGCTGGCGAGCTCGAGCGGGGAGCGAGCGGGACCCCGGGGTGAGCCCGGGCCGGGGGGTGGGCCCGAGCTGGGGGAGGGTGAGCCCGGGCGGAGGGTGGCGAACCCGGGCATCGGGTTAGCCGGTGCGGGGGGGGAGCTCGAGAGGGCGCCGGCCCCGCAAGCTTGGGCTGGAGCCTCGCGGGCCCGCGCGGCTGGGCGCCTTGCAATGCAGGCATGAGCGCAGCCAGCGCCCAGGGGCCGCCCCGCGAGCGCAATCCGGCGCCCCGCGGGCCCGGGCCCCCGCCGCGGAAAGGGGCTCCCGCCGCGTAATCTTGATGATCCATCTTGAAAGAGTCCGCCACGTTGGCCGAAACTGGCGTCCCGCGAGCCTGAGGGGGAGCCCGGTGAGCCGGGGCCGGCGCCCCGCGAGCCTGGGCCGGCGCCCCGTGAGCCTGGGCGGGCGCCCCGCGAGCCCGGCGCGCCGCACGCTCGACTTGGCGCTCCGCTTGCTTGAGCTGGCACCCCTGGAGCTTGCGTTGCTTCCCTGCAAGCCCGAGATGGCGCCCCGCCGCAAGCATGAGCGGCCGGTGCCTCGCGGCGAAGGAGCCTGGTCTGGCGCTCCGCGAGGAAGCCCGATTGCGCTCGGGGGCCACGCGAGCCCGAGCGGGCGCCGCGTGAGCCCAAGCTGGCGCCTCGCGAGCTTGAGCCCGCCTGCGCCCCGCGAGCCCGGGGCCGGCGCCCCGCGAGCGAGCCCAAGCCGGCGCCCCGCCCGCGAGCCCGGGCTGGCGCCCCGCGAGCCCGACTGAGCCGGCGCCCCGCGAGCCCGAGCCGGCGCCCCGCGAGCCCGAGCAGGCGTCCCTCGGGCCCAAGCGGGCGCCCCGCGAGCGTAAGCGGGCGCCCCGCGAGCCTGAGCTGGCGCTCCGTGGGCCTGAGCCGGCGCCTTGCGAGCCCAAGCCGGCGCCCCGCAGGCTCGAGCTTGAGGGAGCTCCGCGCGCGAGCCCGAGCGGGCCCCGCGATCTTGGGCCCCCCGAGTGGGCCTCGTGAGCTTGAGCCCGGGCTGGCCCCGTGGGCCTGTTCCTGAGCTAACCCCGCGAGCTTGGGCCCGAGCGGGCCCCGCGAGCCTGAGCCGGCCCCGCGGGCCCGTGCCTGAGCCGCCCCCGCGAGCCTGTGCCCGAGCCGGCTCCGCGAGCCCGAGCCGGCGCCTGCCCCGCGAGCGCACCCCCCGTGTCATTACGCGCGCGCGCGTAACGGAACAAGGACTGGGGCTAAGCTCAGTGGCAGAGGAACAAGCTAGCTGGAGGACCAGACGACAACATCGGAGACGAGGTAGTGGATAAGACGCCTGTGGGTCCGAATGATGGAAACATGCCACCGCAAGCCGATGCTGTAACGATGTAAAGAATTGCAGGGGTCAATGGGTTTTCTCGGTCGTTGGAGTGAGACATGGTCAAAGTTTAGTACTAGGTTCTTATCCAAACTGTAAAGCCCTTTGACGTCTTACAAGAAGGCATACCTCATCATCTAATATTCACGCGCTGGCCTCTGAAGTAGATCCTCTGGTGGGAAGTAGTGAAGAACTAGGCGACTTGGAGCAGGGCTCGAGTGCTGTCGTGGATCAGGAGGAAGATCATACGGTGCGTTTCGCGGATACTGGGATATCTTCGGAGGAGCTGGAGTCTATGCAAGTTGCTGGAGAGGCCTCAGGCATTCCGCTCACACCATTAAGAGTGCTGGCTTAGTAAGTAATTAGTAGACAGGCAATATACTTCTAGTTAGTAAGCAGTTAAAGTTAGTAGCTTACCTTACAACATTTAGAGTAAGCAGTTAAAAATCTACCTCTAAATATAAAGTTAGTAGAAGGCAGGTAATCTACCTCTAGATGTAGTATTTCTTCGTCTCATGCGAGCTCTCTTGGAAGCAAGTCCAACACGCTTGATGGCATCGACTTTGTTTCCAGCAATAAACATCAAGATCTCAACTCTGCTTCTCCAACAATCTATCCACAAGATTTTTTTATGAAGAGCCAAAAGTGGCTTGGTTTTTTTTTCGCTCTAAACGCAGGACGGATCTACGCAACTACCCCGATGCAGGTTTTGACGGGGGGAAGCGGAGGCCTACAACCTCCTCAGGATGGATTATCAGCCTCGCTTTTTTTATGCCCAGATTCATTTTAGTCATCCCTGAGCCCCTCATGCCTCTGTGTTTATATCATTTTTTTCAGAGGAGCGAAACACTTGTTTTTGTTGCCTACCTTCGTCCCTCTGAATTGATAGTAAATGATGGGATGCTCCTCGTCAGGTGTCTATTTACAACCTCTAGATCATGTTATTCGTTCATCATCTGAAGCACTATTCTCTCCGCCCCAATGCTTGCTATGCTCAGATTGATTTTCTTAGTCACCTTTTAATCTTCCCCCGGAGTGTGAATCAGGTACAGATACTAACTCCTGAGGATTATTCTATTTTTTATTTAAGGCAGCCTGGCTGTATTTCAAGCTAGGTCTACTTCTCCACCACTTTTACTAAAGGCTATACAACAACCTATTTACCTCTAACCTTTGATGATGATGGCAACAGCGACTTCCCTTTCACTCAAGAAAGTGACACAGTCGCTACAGATGCAGATGACCACGCTAAGGCAAGTTTTGTAGCGCTAGTTTCTGTAGTTGGTGTTTTTCGGTACAGTAGCTAATGAGAGTACTACTTGTTTCTCTACTGTTAGGCGTTTCTCTGTACCGTAGTCTGTAATGAGAAACGTTGACAACGACTCAAGAAACACTTCTTCTACAGCTTCTAGAAGGCTCGTTGCGCTTCTAGCTCTAGCACTGTTTTCTCTTTTCAAAGGATACTCTTTAGAAGAAGAAGATAAAGCTCTGGCACTGTCCATTAAAATATTCACACTATTTCTTAAGTACTACCATTGATATTAAAGCTCTAAAAAACACATTGACGGCGCTCTCATTGTCGTTTCTCAAGACCCTGTTCTTGCGCCAGCTCCTCAACAAGGCTTGCTGGATTTCATTATCCATCAGTTTGAAGCAATGAGTCACGTCCTGAACGGTGGAGAAGTTCCTGTCCTTAAGGTCACCAACGATCAGAGCATCCTTTCTCCAAAACGATCAGAGGATCCTTCCACCTCAGCAAGATCCTTGGAGGACTCTTTTTCTGGTGCGGGAGCATCCTTCCACCTCAGCAAGATCCTTGGAGGACTCTTTTTCTGGTGCGGGTATCTTCCGTGGACGGCGAATAGTTTCCTATCCCATCGTCCGTTGTAGATTGTAAGGAATAAGTAAGTAACTTCTGTAGTCCTTCTACGGCTGCGAAAATCTGCTGGAGTATGCAGGTAAAACTGTGGACGGCAGATCCCATCCTAATCCTAATCCTAAGCGTCCTCCAAGGAGGAAGATAGATGACCAGCAGAGCACTCTCCCTCAGCGTCATCCTCGGAAGAGGACTCGCTCGTTTTCTACTTCAATTGTGAATTTGATGCGACAAGCGAGGTAGGTAGCAGTTCTAATGAGGAGAAGGTTGTGGTGGGACCTGATGGCGACCTGGTACCGCTGGGACCGCATTTTGCTGCGGTCGCACCGCATGATACTGATGCGCTTGTAGTTAAGGCTATAATTATGTCCGGATTTATCACGATGAAATAGATGACTAATATGTGTATTGTAGTTAAGGCTATAATTATGTACTCATTTATTACGATGAAATAGATGACTAATATGTGTATTGTAGTTAAGGCTATAATTATGTCCTCATTTATTTAATATTACGATGAAATAGATGACTAAGCAAGATATGTATTGTTTGATACGCTCACTCCGTCACAAGTGAGCCTACTCCTATCCTATCTTTGATGAGGATGATGGAAACGAAGTAGACTGTTTATTGATTGTTGGAAACGACGTAGACTCTATTCTTGGTACGAGCTTGTTCTGATGGAAACGCAGACTGCATTTTGTTGTATACGGACACGACCATATCATTGATAAAGGCCCACAGCATGAGATCCATGCACGATATCAGACTCATACCGTTCTTTTTTACGTGCTGCTACTCGATGCACTTGCTTCCATTGTGGAACATACAAGGACTCTTTCTCCCCTATCCTTTTTGGTTGTAGATCTATCCTTCTTGGAGTTTATTCAAGAATATTGAAAAAGCTCCAAGCATAGGGACGAAACGGCTGAAGTCGAGAGCGAAATGGGTCACCATGATGATGAGTCTGAGACGGATGAAGACGAGGGAGAGACGCGCTTATGCCCTGAAGCTACGAACAAGAAAGCCGATGAAGATACGGACAGTGAGGGTCACCACCAGCATGGTCATGAACACGAGGACGACGACGAGCTATGACATTCAATGATCAGGATATTAGAAGCAACATCAGGATACCGATTCTCTATACTTACAAAAATAAGATAAGGAGTTAGAAGTAGCAATATATATAAGAAGATTTAAGTCCTCGTCGTAATTTAAGTAAGTAGTAATTTAAGTATAGGAGTAAAGCGAAAGTGCTTCTAGATGTAGATTTCGGCTTACCGTTAGAGTTGATGAGGATGACTACTTTTCTCGAGATTTTGTAAGGAAGATTTAGAAGGGAATGACAACAATTAGGGTACAACAACTCGTTGTGTTGAAGATCATGTAGAACTACAACCTGTGGTGCGTGTCACTTTTCTCTACTTTGACATTTCTCTAACTCTGACCCATGTGGAGATGAATGAAACTCAACTGGGGACTCTCGTGGGTGTGGCGATCTTGCTTTGTTTCGCGTTTTCGTGCTGCTGCATTGCAGGTATCGGCTTTGTCCTCTTCCAACTCTATCTTGCGTCCAAATTTAAGAACAAAGCGATACGATTACTAGGATAGTTGTTCGTGATGATGAGTAAGTACTACTCAATCACGAAGCAGAGACTCGAAGTCGAAAGGGGAGAATATCACAGAGAAATCCACGAACAACGATGATGGGCATATCTATGTTCTTCTACATCAAACTCTCTGTAATATTGTGGTTGTCTATACCTGCTCTTATGGCTCGTCTACTATTTCTAACTGAGTACAACTCTTAACTACTATTTCTAACGAAGCTCCTCCTTCTGGCTCAAGCAATGCAGATGCTATGCGCCGCGTACCTGGAGTCATCAGCGGAAATGGGGCCGTCAGCACTGGAGGAGATCTTATGACCACTCCTGGTTAAGTAGTCAGTATGACCACAGACCTCCACTGGAGATATCAGTCTAATCAGTCAGTAGGCAATTCTTAGGGGACACTGATTTAGTTTCGGGTAGATTGAGAGACCACTGGAGATGATATTAGTCAGTGCTGCACTTACTTGTTTCTTTTCACGGTTGCTTTTATTCATAGTTTTACCTTCGTCAAGGACTTTTTTCTGTGCTTGTCGGTCAAGAAAGCTACGGTAAAGCTTCTCTTGTCGACAGAAGAGCCTCAAACGCTTTCTAAGATTTCGGCATCGGCTGCGAGTGGGGAGAGTGGTTTATCGGTCGCTAACGAGAATGACGCCGATTCTTCTGAGACGAGCGAGCTATTGGTATGAGACTATTTTGATTTGTAGATATTACTATGCTATTGGTCGGTATGCTAGCCAATGATAGACTCAATGGAATGGAATACTACTACTTGTAACTAAGTACTTGGCGCGACTTGGATTTCCTTTTTCTTTTCATCCCAGATGGACGACTTTGCAGCAGCCAAAGAGCAGGATGACGCGGATCAAGTGGAGGAAGAGAAGAGAGAAGGTACTTATTATCATCTACATTTTTTCCTTTTTCTTTGCTTTTTCTAGTTAGGTCTGCCCCACCACAATTATACTGGTTTCTGGTCGTCTGCAGAGAAAGCTATCAGAGTAAGAGAGGGAAGGTGCCCAAACCTCCTTGCTTATCCTGTTTTGTGGTCGATAGTTATCCGAAAGAATCAATGTTCGTCTGCATGAGAAAATCCATCGATTGAGGTGAAGATATTCCTCTTTCAAGAACATGCACTTTCTACTAGTTCCGCATCTTCAAACTCTCCCAAGAACTTCGTACACTCTGTAAGTATTTGCATACTACTACTCATACTTACAATAAATGAGTGACTGATATGAATGCCACTTCCACCAGGTCGTGCATCCGTCAGAGAGTCTGCCAAGAATGATGATTCGCATCATGGGGTTCGCAAAGCGCGTCCTTCGGCGTCTCGTGCAGGTGGATCAGCAGCTCGCGGATCGGCTATGCTTAAGGCCGCGCATTAGCTTTGTCTTTGTTTCACTTAATGTGCTGGATGTTCTTTTTTATCGTAAGATCATTACAACTACTTTTTGATTTGATTGCTTCTTGAAGGAGTATTTTACCGAAAGGTCCAATCCGACTCGAGTAACATCGTCACCATTTGTATCTTACCATAAGGCCACCATGATCTTTTGGCAGAGTCTGTCCAGTAGAGTAGATGAGTAGAGTACCTAGAGTGGAGAGACCTAGAGTGGAGAGACCTAGAGTGGAGTGGATCCTATCTTCTCCTGAGTCCCTCACTTCTAACTCTTGCGCAAGCGGCGGGAAGCGTGGTAGTGGATACAAATCGGGATCCCTCTCGTTGGGGGAGGCGCGTGGCTCAGTCGCTGTACCCTTCGGGGCTTCCGACGCGGAGAATTGAGAATAGTTCTGATTAGAGTCTATTATAAAGACTGGAATAGATACTAGGACAGTCTATTATAAAGACTGGAATAGATACTAGGAGAGTCTGGAAGATGCTTCAAAAATAGACCGATGATACTGAGCATCAAGAATTATATGTGGTAGAGACTAGCACTAAACCGAAAATACAGACGATGGACTAGAGTCGGTCTCTTGGACATATGTAGTGGTACAGGCTAGAAAGAAGCACTAGGTGGAGAGTGTTGTACTTAGAAATTCCAACCATAATATAGGATTCTTGTACAGTAGTTGTGGTAGCATGTTGAAAGATGTTAGAACATACGTGGTAAAGGGATGGGAACAACAGTTCAACTGTTCTGTATCCTGATTGTAGAAGAACAAAGTTCATGATCTGGGCTACTGCATGCAAAGACCAAATAGAACCCGAAAGCAAGCGCTCATAGTACTTGTTCAGATGAAAAAGAGAGTTGAAATCACCTACAGCCTCTCGCCACTGTACTTGTCGTAGAAGAACTACCGATTAGAAATTATGCATTGCCCATTGACAGAATCATGCACACGTCTATGATACAAAGAAACGGCAACATCTATGGCAGCATCCTGCACAACATTAAATCGGACCACATCTTCGATTGTAATCCATAATCAATCAACAACATCACCTATAGGAAGTTTCTCTACTACCGAGATCAAGTACAGCCATAGATTCATGAATTGATCCTCACACCGATAGAGGGATACCCAGAACATCCAACACGGATTCTTCACTATGAAAAACGTAGACCCGCAAGCATCTTTAGTTATGATTATCAAAAAATGTCCAGAATGACTACGTACCCATCCTACCTCATGGTCAGGCCCCCTACATTATACCTCAAGCATGTACATACAGAGTTTTATTCAAGAAAACGATTAGCCATCCTGTCCTGCAAAAAAATTGCCCTTCAATGAAAAGAAAGATTACACCCAACCGAACCCACTCGACTATTTCACATTCTAACTTTCCCTGCTATTCCAGAGACAAAGACAAACCGGCAATATTCACACACACGACACTGACATAAACTCATGAACTCAGCTGATATACACAGTTCCCAGATCTGTCATCACATATTTCAGACCTCCAAAATTCCTTTACATTTACGTGATACTAAGATCATTCAAGGGTAAGAGGACTGGAGACAAGGACCAGAAGTACTTGAAAGTAAGTCGATCCACTCACTTGTACTGCTGCTGATCCGGTGCTTAATGCGCAGGGCTGAGGCGGAAACCCCTCTAAATCTATTCTTCACCGAGATCGGTACGGCACGAAGGTAAAAAAGGTCGCAGAACCGACTTCGTCAAACACCTGGTAGATATAGACATCTGGTACTTCGGTAGCTCTGATCCTCGGTCGTTGCAATGCGTATCTGCACCGCATCGGTAATATTTGGTAGTGTCGCTAACCATGAGTGTAAAGACTTCTCTGGACCACGGAATCCGTGAAATGTATTCGAGTCGTCGAGGACCCAGCACCTTCCCGGTCTTTGCCTATGCTTGACCAATGAATCAAACTTGAGACACTCCTTTGTTCCTACACTAAATATGAGTAGAAGTACATCCACCGGAAAATAGAGCACAACTCTACAGCAGCATCACCGCTAACAAAGTGAACAAGACAATCATCGAGTGCTGAAATAGTACAAAACGAAGAAGATGCCGTCTCTTACCAAAGGTCGCGGTCATCACTCGGTGATGTTACGGGATTTCGCTTCCGAAGATCCGGATGAGACCGCCACGTCGCTGTTAATGCATAAAAGAGGATCGCTGCTGTCTGATTCTTAAGGCTTAAATTCAATTCTGTGCATCTTAGTTTTTTATCTTGTTTGATGATGAAGATTTTGCTGCTATTGGTATCGACTCAAGAGCCATTGGTTGTATCCTCCTTCTTGTTTTTGAGAGGCAGTACTTCTTTGCTATCTAGGCATCACTTAGACTCACTTTTAGAGGAGGGAACAAGCAATTTTGCAGTGCTTTTTCAAATGGGGTCAATCTTTTTAGTTCCTAAACAAGGTCTAAGACTTAGACGATGAAAGACAGCCCATGCAGGGACCTGGACACTACGATCGTAAGAGCAGCAGCGCCATGCCATTTGATGGAGACTTGATGATTATGCTGAAGCTGTTTGATGACTACTTTTTCACTTATACACTTTCACCCATATGAATTTTTTGTTTTTCAATACAGATTGCTAATAATTAGGTGCTGAGATAAAGTAAGTAAAAGTAGTGTCCATGATTCATTGTTGCATTGCCTATCCTATCCTATCCCATCCCATCCTATCCCATCCCATCCTATCCTATCTTATCCTATCTTATCCTATCTTATCCTATCTTATCCTATCTTATCCTATCTTATCCTATCTTATCCTATCTTATCCTATCTTATCCTATCTTATCCTATCTTATCCTATCTTATCCTATCTTATCCTATCTTATCCTATCTTATCCTATCTTATCCTATCTTATCCTATCTTATCCTATCTTATCCTATCTTATCCTATCTTATCCTATCTTATCCTATCTTATCCTATCTTATCCTATCTTATCCTATCTTATCCTATCTTATCCTATCTTATCCTATCTTATCCTATCTTATCCTATCTTATCCTATCTTATCCTATCTTATCCTATCTTATCCTATCTTATCCTATCTTATCCTATCTTATCCTATCTTATCCTATCTTATCCTATCTTATCCTATCTTATCCTATCTTATCCTATCTTATCCTATCTTATCCTATCTTATCCTATCTTATCCTATCTTATCCTATCTTATCCTATCTTATCCTATCTTATCCTATCTTATCCTATCTTATCCTATCTTATCCTATCTTATCCTATCTTATCCTATCTTATCCTATCTTATCCTATCTTATCCTATATTATCCTATCTTATCCATGTTTACTCCATGTTTACTTAGTTCTGTATCTTAATCTTTCCTCTCCTTTTCATACAAAACCGCAGTTTGCCGCTTTGGGCTATGAGCCATCTGATCCGAAAGTTGACGAGAATCTTTGGCGCACGTGGTGGCGAAGGAGCATTCGTTTTGCTGTTGCTCTCGTCCGCTTGCGTTTTAACCGGGGTTATTACATTATGAGATGAAGGATTTGCTTTTGGTTGTGGATCTTTGATTACGTTTTCCAAGAAACAACACTCACGCCTATGTATGAAAATGTTCCGGCAGCACTAGTACTTAGTCGTGCTTCATGCTTGTTAAAACGTTATTGATGACGTTGAGTTGGCCGCATAACTCTAATGACCGCTCTCGGTGCTATCTTCCATGTGGAACCGGTGCACAGGTCTCACGGCAACCTGCGTGGTAGCTCTAGAAGCTACAATACGTTTTTGCAGACGCTGGAAGGGGACAAAGGGGAACAAGGTACAGTGGAGGTGGTGGAGAGCGACGTGGGAGAAGACACGAATGGACTTGATATGGCTTACAGTTTTGCGGAGAAAGAAAGCTGAAATAATAAGTATACAGTCCATATTTTTTTTTTTTTCAGCACAGATTTATTGCTCTCTTCACAAAAGAAGGGTAAGTATGCCTACGAGATTTTTTTCTTGGAAATAGATCGCTCGTCGTCTAATATATGTGAAGAATCAGCAAAACATTCCGATGGTGTTGGTGGACTGCCGACAGCGTTTGAGGGGGATTGGCCGAGGGGGCTTGAAAGGAGATCTCCTGGGGGCGCAGGTGACTCGGCGACGGCGGTTTCGGATTCCGCGACGAAAGATTCGGGTGCTGTCCTAGGAGATTTATGATAAAGTTGCTCCTTTATGATCGTCGTAACGATCCTCTATCAATCACATTGCAATATCTAGAAAATTTACAATTTTACTACTAGTACAACAGAATATGCATTTAGGCATACGCATTATTACATCCTGATCACATACAAACTACATCCTAATTTTACATAACTATATCCTAACTTTACATAACTACATCCTAATTTACATAAGTACATCCTAATTTACATAAGTACATCCTGGTCACATAATATCCCGATTGCATCATCCCCATTATACCCAAAGAGCTTTCCTCTGGGTATGCTCTATCACGCTGGGTATATCATCATCATCCTGGTGACCTCTGATCATATAACTACATCCTGAAAGCATACCTGAAGAAGCCCCATACGTACTTGTAAAGGGGAAGCATTTTCATCACATAACTAGATCCTGATCACATAACAACTGCTAATTATATATCTTCTATACCCGCCCCTGATTGGGTACGCTACTGCTTCTACTACTACAACTACTATAGTACCTGAAGAAGGCCTTCTAAAGAAGGTGAGCGGGCATGTCAGTGCGGACCCGACGGTCGGCGGACCTGGTGACGAGCCCGTTCCTGTGTACGATGCTGGAATGTCTGTGGACATTGATGGTGGCGTAGAAGCGTCTGCGACGGGCCCTCTCTTAAGGCTACCTCTGAATCATTCTGAACGCCATTCCTGGCTCTTTTTTTTCTTGAAAATAGAGCCAAGGGTGGACTCAGGGATGCAAACGCGGTAGCTCTAACTCTGGCGTCCGTTTCGGAAGTGGTGGGGGAAGCGGTTTTGCATTTTGACGATGACAATTAAGGGATGTAGATCTACTTGTAGTTGTACTTTTCTAATTCATCATCCTAGTACTTTATAATTTGAACCTTGTTTCTTGAGAAGCACCTTGTTTCAGGAGAGGCAGGGATGTTGGAGGGTACTATTCATTTTGGGGGAATATACAGGTACGATCGCATCGAAGTGCAGCAAGTTCTGAGTTCTAGGCTCAGACTGTTTTTTATTTGCTGTAAGAAGAATCACTGCAGGACTTTGGTCTTCCTCGGTCTATCTCATCATTGTCTTCTTGTAAGGGAAACCGCGTTCAAGGTGCGTAGATGAGAGCAACATGAATATACAGATGCACCAGGTAGCTTGTGGGTTCTAAGAAAATGAAGAGATGACAAATCCAGCGATTGGCGACGGTGGTCATGTTAAGGCGAAACAGAAACCTTGATAAAGAAGCATCTTCGTATTGAATAAACATTTCTAAAAACATCTAGTATTTGTAGGTGTACTCTTTGAAGTTGAAGTTTTCATTCTCTATTTGTTTCGGTAGCTTCTTTTTGTACTGTACTAGTTTCCACCACCATGCTGCGTATTTCTTCCGAGATAACAAGGCTCGAATTTGAAGATCAACCGATTTCCTGGTCCCCCTGTGGTTCTGGCGCCCATGATACACACGACCGAGACAAAAGTTGTAACCCATGCTGGCGGCGCAAAAACGAAAACGACGGTCCATCAAGTCTTTGATTCTGTCACTGGGGAAGTGCAAGGAGGAGCAGTATCGGTGAGCACGACACAGGTTAAGGAGATAATCCGTTTCTTTTTCTGAGGTGTAGAGTATCAAGACAGGTTTCATGGTGGAGATCATAGTCGATTGATTCCTCTTGTAAGTATTCAACAAGGAGGACATAATCGATCCCTTTCTCTTGTAAGTCTTGTATCATCCTTCAAGTATCTTCATATACCAGAGGCTTTCCTCTTGAGAATGGATATGATTAATATAGATTGTTGAGGAATATGATTTTATTTTTCCCATTGATAGACACAGAATTAGATTACAACAGGGCGGCTCTAATGTAAGGGCAGATGCGGCAACTGTGGATGATCATGAGGACGAAATGGAAGAGTCGGGTGATGGTCTAGGAGTTGCTTCTTTATGATCGTCGTGACGATCCTCTATCAATTACAATGTTGATCGTTGTCCTCTTTACAATTTTACTACTAATACAACAGAATATGCATTTAGACATATTACGCATTTGCAAGGGACCAGAATATGCGTTTTTTAGAGATTATACGCATTTACAAGGGAGGACCTCTTTAGAGGGATGCGAACGCGGTACCTCTAACTCTGGAGCCTGTGGAGGAAGCGTTTTCGCATTTTGACGGTTACGAGTAAGGGATCTAGATCTACTTATACATAGTTGTCCTTTTCTAATTGTTCGTCCTAGTACTTTATAATATGAGGTGTTGTACTTTTCCACCTTGTTTCAGGAGATGCAGGGATGTTGAAGGGTACTATTCTTTTTTGGGGAATATACAGGAACTACTCTTTTTGGGGGAATATACAGGTACTATTCATTTTGGGGGAATATACAGGTACAATCGCATCGAAGTGCAGCAAGTTCTGAGTTCTAGGGTCAGACTGTTTTTTATTTGCTGTAAAAAGAATCACTGTAGTACTTTGGTCTTCCTCGGTCTATCTCATCATTGTCTTCTTGTAGGGGAAACCTCTCTAGAACGCGTTCAAGATGCATAGATGAGATCAACATGAATATACAGATGCACCAGGTAGCTTGTGGGGTCTAAAAAAATGAAGAGATGACAAATCCAGCGATTGGCGACGGTGGTCATGTTAAGGCGAAACAGAAACCTTGATAAAGAAGCATCTTCATATTAAATAAACATTTCTAAAAACGTCTAGTATTTGTAGGTGTACTCCTCGAAGTTGAAGTTTTCATTCTCTATTTCGGTAGCTTCTTTTTGTACTGTAGTTTCCACCACCATGCTGCGTATTTCTTCCGAGATGACAAGGCTCGAATTTGAATCCTGTTACCCCTGATGTGGTTGTGGCGACCCAGACAGAAGTTGCATTCGATGCTGACGGCGGAAAAACGGAAACGACGGTCCATCAAGTCTTTGATTCTGTCACTGGGGAAGTGCAAGGAGGAGCAGTATCGGTGAGCAGGACACCAGTTAAGGAGATAATCCGTTTCTTTCCCTGAGGTGTAGAGTATCAAGACAGGTTTCATGGTGGAGATCATAGTCGATTGATTCCTCTTGTAAGTATTCAACAAGGAGGACATAATCGATCCCTTTCTCTTGTAAGTCTAGTATCATCCTTCAAGTATCTTCATATACCAGAGGTTTTCATCTTGAGAATGGATATAATTAGATTGTTGAGGAATGGTTTTATTTTTCCCATTGATAGGCACAGAAAAAGATTACAGCAGGGCGGCTCTAATGTAAGGGCAGATGCGGCAACTGTGGGAGACGAAATCGATCACGCAGTACTATTTTTACCGAAACCTCCTCCGTGACTTTCCTAAGGTCTACTTGATTTTATCAGGGGCTTCTCTGGAGCACTTCTTCTACATACACATACACTATGCATTGCTCTACTTCTTCATCTGACAGGAGTGCCCTACACTGTGGCATAATTCTTCCTGGCTCAATATCTTCAGGATAAGTCGATGGGAGGTTCCGGAGATGCTGGCAAACAGTCGATGGAGGATGCTTTTTCACGACTCCCGTTGCCGGTGGCTGCCCATGACGATCACGAGGACGATCATAAGGACGATCACAAGGACGATCATAAGGACGAAAAGGAAGACGATCATGAAGGCGATCACGAGGACGAAAAGGAATTATGATCGTCGTTTAAGCTTCTCTTAGAGTCACTGAATTCTCTCATAATTCTTTTCATGACTGAAGAATAACTCAAGAAACTTCACTTTGTTCTTTACAACTACTACTTACTAGTGACTACTTAGGAATTACTAAAATTAACTCTTCTCACTGACTCTTCTAATGTCGGATGAGTACCATTGTTCCGGTATTGTGGTTGCGATATGGTCCTTGCTTATCGCGAGCTTCCTGATTGTCGCTGTTGTGCTTTACTGCGTCGTAACCAAGGTGATTGAGGCACTCTACGGTGATAAAGACAGAAGCAGATCTCGATCGCGAAGAACTGATGTTATGATGAGAGATGCTTGAGAACGATGTTAAACGAACACTAGAAATGGAGGGGGACGACATATCCAATGGTATAACACGAACTACTTTTACGTCTAAGCGTTGCGCTTCGTGACTTCATATTATTTGAGGCTGCAGGGTGTCACCGTATAGTCTAGGGTTTGGCATGCTAGCCAATGATAGGGGTTTGTGATTTTGAATTTTTTCTTGTCTAATCAGCAATGGACAGCGGATCAATACGATATTACCGTGGAGAACTGCGAAGATTCCGGGATTAAGGGAGATGAGGTATAATTTCGTAGCATTTTCAATACTATTCTGGGTGGATCCAGGGAGATGAGGTACTATTAGATTTTGAATATTCCGGGATGATGGGAGATGAGGTATAATTTAGTAGCATTTTCAATACTATTCTGGGTGGATCCAGGGAGATGCATGAGGTACCTCTACGTGTTTGAAGGTTGCTTTTACCGAACAGCCGAACTTAGAGATGATACTTGCCTAATTTTTGTTCTCACCTACTTTCATTCTTTGTTCCTTTCACAGGTGATCGACGAGATGGAGGAAAAGGACGAGACGCTGAACAACGCGGTAGAAGCCGAGGAGAGAACGAGTATAAAGATAATATTTTTTTTTTCTTCTTATGAAGCGAAAAAGTGTGCTCATCCTCAAGAAAGTAGGCACTTTCTAAGTAGGAAAAAACCTCTTTTCTTGAGCATGAGTACACTTTTTTCTGTCATTTATCTTCTCATGAATCATGGATGGTCCAGTTTTATTCTCTGCAATGGTCTAGTACTGAGTCTAGTCTGTAGAAGTGGTACAAGTGCGTTAGTGGAGGTCTCATCAGAAATCATGATACTCAGGGTCAATTCACTGCTCTTCGACTATTAAAAGCTTGTGGTCCTGCAACGGATCTTCATTATCAATCTTAAGATCTTCATTGTCAAACAATCTTTACTTGAAGAAGCTTAAGATGCCGAAGCATGAACATCTCACCTCTACCTAGGTGAAACAACGGAGCCGAAATCCTCTACCAAAGTCGATGCGAATGATGAGACGCATATGGATGTCAAGGGAGCACGCACATCGGGAACCCGCGGATCGACCCGATCGAAAACTCTTAAGGCGGTCTCATGTTTGTTAACCAAGATACCGAAAATCGTACACCATTGGCCGAGTGCATCCATCGTAGTCGATCTATCGGAGTATACTTAGCACCCGTCAAAGTACGAGGTAGCCCAAGTGAGTACCTCTGCACTACTCAGAAGTTAATCTGCTCTATCGCAACTCAGAATTAGTTAGTTCAGTCTAATCCCTGCGCAAGTGGCTACAAGACGGGGTCGATCTCCTTCGGTCAGGCAGAAGAACGGTTTGGCTCCGTTGTCTTTGGAGGGTCAGACGCTGAGGCTCCTTTCGGTGCATCCGATACTGACTCTAAGTAAGTGTTCGACACTGAGGCTCCTTTCGGTGCATCCGATACTGACTCTAAGTAAGTTTTCGACACTGAGGCTCCTTTCGGTGCATCCGATACTGACTCTAAGTAAGTGTTCGACACTGAGGCTCCTTTCGGCGCATCCGATACTGAATCTAAGTAAATGTACTGTACAAGGGTGAGTAGATGAAAGGAAGTGCACTCCCACTCCGTATGCATACGCTTAGTTTCGATGAATCAGGTGAGGGGAAATATATGTACAATTTCGGTTCGTTTGATAGAACTAGACGGGGTACTACTGTCTCGATCTGGAGGTCGAAACACTGTACTAATTTCAAGACTAATGCTGGAAGTGAACAGAGGGGGGATAAATGAGCACTACCAGAATGATACAAGAAAGAGTTAGGAAAAGGATTAGGATCAATGTTCGCACTTCGACTTATTACAACAACTCCATGTCATATTCGCTTACAGCTCGAAACATTAGCATTCAATCGAAATTGCATAGCTATAAAAGTCTTATGAAAGAGATGCATAGCAACCCAATGAATTATGAGATAAACATGAAGTTCCGCCAGACATTCTATCTTATCAATCAAATTTACTAGCAAAAGCAACCATGAAATATAAAATCAGTTACTTTTCCGATGATGAACGTAATCTTGCGTTCAAAATTCCTAAACTTACACAACCAAGAGCTTCAACAATCTTCTATTCCGCGTTCCGTACAGCTCCCCATGTAATTCATTGTGCATCCCAACATTCATTCGATATTAAACCACCCATATTAAAACACCCTTGGTGTTGAAAGACGCATACCCAAAAGCCCAATAAGAACATCGATTAGAGAACTCAAAGATCCATACGCAACGACCCCTACTGAACTCACATCAATTAGACACTTGAACTTGACCATAATCACACACTTGAACTTGATCTTTCACATGCAATACTGCAAAGCAAGAATGAGAAAAAGATATTGCCACGTAGGTATCCATGTCCCAGGACAGACCACTTCCATACCAAGAAAGATTCTGCCCAGACAAACTTAGAACACCAATTGCAAAGCCAAGCGCTTGGAAGACATGCATCAGCCTAAGGGACATGTATCATTCAACTCTGCCAAAAATTCGACGCGTGAGTGTCTGCATCCAATCCAGTGTGTGCATCTGAAAAACAGAAGAGTGTATCATCACGAATCAGTTGAGCGAGCTCCGAGGTGGAGTGAGAGAGGAAGCTGCAGGATGAAGCCAGCCTTTCTTCTTGAAAAGAGCATGAAGAAAATGGTGGCTTTGGAAAAAAACGGTGTGCGATGGTAAACACGATGGAAACCATTTACTCTCCGTTGTCTTTGGAGGCGAGTAAAGTAAAAGTTTAGAACTCCACCATGATAAAGAAATCGAAGTGCCTTTTCTAAGAAAGCATATGAAGCAGCAACAGAATGGACAACCACCAAGAACAAGACGATTCACTTCTACGGTCCTCGGACCTGCGACTTCCGAACTTGTTGGATGAAGTCGCGATGACGCAAAATGTTCCCGACTTGACGGAGATCACCAAGACTGAGAAGTCACTTCTTCAAGAACGTTACGAGAAATGCGAAAAACAATTAGCGTTGGTTCGGGAAAATTAAGGCTAGTAACTATCACTTAATCCTCCTCACAGGAATAGGTTTATCGCTGTTCTTCCGTGTGGAGTATGCTGAGTGGATTCACCTGAGAAGTCAAGGGGATTCGAATGGGGAGGCAGGGAACTCGCCCAACCACGGATAGTGAAAAACTGCCTCTAAAAAAAAGCGAAGGAGGCGATGGCGGGACGACAGAAATACATCGCCTCCTTGCAAACTAAGTTACTCGAAGACACGGCAAGGCTCAAGGAAGCGAGGTTATGAAGATGGGATTGTTTGGTAATAGATCTATCTATCCGTGTATCATAACAGGAATAGATCTATCTATCCGTGTATGACAAAGGTTACGATTTGTAGCTGCCCAACTTTTCTCTACGATAGCACGACAGCTTTTCTTGTTTACTTCTTCTAGTTCTAAGAATCGCAGCAGCCTACGATCCGCAAGATGGAGGTGACCCAGGATCTGGACGTCGCAGGAAAAGCTTCTCGCTGGAACAGGGAGGTACTGATAGCAGCTTTCTTGAGGATGATCTTCTCATTAATGAGGCGGACGATGAGGAAAAGGAACGCCTGTCTGGAGTCCGATCGCCGAGTAGTTTGGTACGCCATCGTGCGAATCAGAAAACGGCACTACTCAATCGGGCAAGGTTTGTTAAGGCTGAGAGAAGATACAAGGAAGTAGTAGTTCTCCCTGAGAGGACATCAAGTGCGCTACGAAGAAGTTCCGAACAAATTATAATTCGATCTCTACTTCTTGTTCTAACTCCTCCGTCTCTGGTCCCTCCGACAAGAAAGCACGCTTAGAACAGCGCGATCGGGCCACGCGGGATCTACAGAAAGCCGCAACCATGCAGACTCTGCTTCGAGCTGAAATTTTGCGGTACGAGCGGAACGCGAATGAAGCCAGTTCACAGGAGCGAGAGAACCTGAGACTAGGTACGACTCAAACGTAATTGAAAAGACATAATCTACTCAATAGATCCTTTGCGAAGACATATTCTATGCAATAGAGTCTGAGGTTACGTACGACTTGAGCATATAATTTGAAAAGACATAATCTATTCAATAGAGCGTTTGCGAAGACATAATCTATTCAATAGAGTCTGAGGTTAGGCACGACTTGAGCATATAATTTGAAAAGACATATTCGATTGAAGACAATTAGACCTCGTTCACGGAGCAGCTCGAAGACAATTAGACCTCGTTCACGGAGCAGCTGTAGTTGCATTTTTATTCTCAGTTGTATTCAAGAAATCTCTAACCTCCTCCGCGAGTTGTTTCAGCATTCCCTGACAATGCATGACCAGCTTAAGACTGAGTTGGAACGAGGCAACGAACGCGAAGATGCCTACAAACGGGAAGTGATGGTGCTCGAGGATGCTCATCGACGACAAAGGGAAGCGAATAAGACGATTACGGTGATGGAGGTCGGATGAAGAAGGAGCACATTTTTTTAGATAGAAGATCATGATGCTTGTGGTTCAGTGAGTTGTATTGATGTTGAGATACATTAGAATGATTTCGTTTCACACCGGAGCCTATCCGCAGAATCGTTCTATCTTCATTCATATGGTTCAAGAGCTGCAGCGAGCGTGTAAAGAGGTTGCGGAACTAGAGCAGAAGAGCTGTGACCTGTCGGAATTGATGGAAAAGATTATGGTGAAGTAGTGCCTTGGTTGCTAAGCTTACTGATATTTAAGAATGTCGTTGAGCTGGAACCGGTAGGTTAGTTTCATAATATGATCTCTATGTCTCATCTCTATGATTTGGATTCTCCTTATTCCATCTTGGTCAAAAAATAGCACCCTCGTCAACACCTATAATTGGTCTCCTTTCATACCCCAACTCGCCGAAGCGGTAGAAGACAACGAGAAGCAACTCGAGCGCATGGAGGGCAGATACGTTGACAAACTCGCGGGCATGGCGAAGGCGTGGGAACGGCGGTTTGCTAGAGAAAAGGAGGATCGAAAAGCCGAAGTTGCAAGAGTTGTGCAGGAGAAAGCCAGAGAGTTCGCAGAAATGGAAAGCAGATGGACTAGGGAATGTGCTGGGTATCCCTACGAATTGGGATAAGTGCACTTTTTCATACAAATTCTGTAGTAGAACTAGAACACGAAATCATGGGCCCTGGAAGAGCATGGTCTTCCAATGACAAATCAAATCGAAATTCAAATCAAACTCCTCCTGCAGCCTCGAATCCGCTTTGGCGCAGACACGGCGCGAACTTGGTGTCGCGGAAAAGGAAATCGCAGTTCTACAACCGAAGTGTCATGGTCTGCAGGTCGAAAAGGAGCACTTAGTCCAGAGCATCCACGATCTTCGTCAAGATCTGGATATCACGAAACGGGATGCCAATGAGTGGCGTTCTCGCATAGAACGGTTGCAGAACATTGCTGGCTACAGCAAAAAAGGAGACAAAGCGGATGAGAAGTATCTGATGATGGCCAAGCAAGTGCGCGATTTGCGAGAAGATTAAGGCAAACGACACCGCATCCTCGACATCATTCTTGGCTCTTTTCCAAAGGGGAAAAGTCGTTAAGGATGCGGCCAGGGAGGCGAACGCGGTAGCTCTAAGGAGAACTCCACTTGCACGAAGCTGTCCGCGATGTTAGTTTGTACGATTATCATTAAGGCTTGCGCCGCAAATTCATCTTTTAGTTTTATAACGTGTAAGTATCTTTGAGACGCAGTTTTCAATGGGAGAAACGCCCAAAGATGCGGCTCAAGATGAATATAGGGAAGGTCTAATATCATCTACGATCGTTAGGCATGGTCTCTCCTGCTGCAGGAGTTGTCAATGTGCAGCCTGGTCGAAGCAATGTTGGTCCTGGTGCAGGACGTGGGCTAGTGTCAATGCCGGCAGCAGTGGTGCTGTCTCCGACGAGTGGTGTCTCCGTGACAACTACTACAGCTCCTCCACCAGGCCACCCTTTTCTACCAACAGTTGCGGATATGTCGGATCCCACAAGTCGTTCGTCAGCTGCACCGCAGCCACAGCCGCTCAACAACCTATACCTCAGTGGCAACACAAACGTTTACAGTCCTCCAACATCAAGTAAGTTGCCAGAAGCAGCAGAAGGACAAGGGAGTAGTGGACCAAACTCACATAATGCATCTTCAGCACATACACAACAACATCCTCAGCAAAGAGACTATCCTCCACGACAAGACTCCTCGTCTCTTCGCGCGTGCCTAGAGCGTGAGGAAGCCGTTGCGCGTGATGTGGCGCTAGCTAGAGACATCGGACGCAGCTCAGCTGCGGTGGAGGCGGATCTGAAAAAGCAAGAGCGAACCTTAAAACACATCACGGATCGCGAAGATCGCTTAGAGCGGAGGGAAGACATATTAGAAAGCGAGTTGTTGCGGTTGCGAGAAGAATTGAGGTGTATGAAGAAGAGTAGTAAAAGTGGAAGAGAGGTAGTAGATGAGAAAGATGATGTAGCTGCTGCGGGACCTGCTTCTGCATCATCCTTTTCCATTTACTCCAGAAGTGGCGCGCATACGAATTTCGGGAGACCTGCTAGTTTTCCAACTCGGATAGGGCAAGCAGGCTCTTCAGCAGTAGCGTCGTCTTGTAATGCTGGTGCTGCGGCTGCCGCAGCTGAAGTAATCAATCCTCCGACAAATAGTACTGCCACCGCTGGGAAGTTCAAAGAAGGAAGCCATGCCGAAGAAGCTCCACCATTGATGTCGTCTGGGGATGTGGTAGATTTAGTGGCAGATGGAGCAGAGCACACGCAGACTCAGGCGAGCAATGGAAATACGGGTGGCTCTGGCGTCACTGCGGCTGAAATGCGCTCGCTTCGTGACGAGTTGAAAACAGCAACTGAGGAATTGCGCGAATTGCAAAGGATACAGTCAAAAGACCCGGAGAAGGAGAACCTACGAGAAAGACCATTGTCTTCTAATAGTCCTCATCAACGAGGAGGAGTTCTTATTAGTAGTGCACCGTGTCAGCCTCATCAGAGCCCTTATCCTGCACATAACCACTTGCTGCAGTCACCACCAAGAATACCATCAAGTCGACATCAACATGAAAATTCAACCGATCCTCCTAGAAATATCACCGTGAATGGACGACGTCGGAGCTGGTCATCTCAAAATACGAACTCGCAGAGCAAGAATGAGGTTGGAGGAGGTGGCGTGGTGCCGATCTTCACGGATGAGGAAGGCAACGGGAGTCGTGTGTTGTTAAGGCAAAAGGTGAAGGTTCTTTATCTTTAAGTTCGTTGATTTCCTTGGTGATGCCTAATGACTCCTGCTCTTTCTTTGTGCTTGTGCACCTCTAATCCTTCCTGCAGCTCCATCAGTCCTCGTCCCAGCACCCTTACTCAGAGGCGCTGATGGCCAATTACGAACGCAAATGTTGCCCGGGGTCACCATGACTGGATACAGCACAATAGACGGACGGCCACTAGCCCACCAGTTTGTGCCACAGGTTGGACAGCAAGACAAAGGAACGAAATCTAAAACTGCAGGTTCAAAAGGCACTACCAATGAGGAGTCAAAAGCCAACAATAGAGTACCAGTGTGGTCACGTTCGACTGCTAGTTCTCGATCCAAGCAGAGTAATAGAGCTGAGGCTGCAACTAGTACGCAGGTAAATAAAGCTCGACACAACTCTCACTCACAAGCCTCACCAGCTCCAGCAGTAGGACCTAATAAGAAGGCGAAGGCGTTTGAGATTGCATATCCGTCAACTCTGGGAGGTCAACATTTGGGTGCGAATTTGCTGAGACAACATATTCATGGCGTGGACGATGCGAGAGCGGCATTGGTGGGAAATGGTCTTGGGGTTGCAGCTGGTGGAACATTACTGTCTGCGAGGGCGCCACTTAGTTTATGAGACAAAGAACTGCGGTTAACGACTTCAACAGTAAATTCGTATTCCTGGCGGGATTACATACTTCCCACATATTACTTTCCCATTGCAATTTAATTAGTTCCTACTAACTGTAAGCACCACTACACAATAGCTTCGACTACTTCTAACCTCCTTTGTTCCCCCAGCCCGTGGCCGTGCAAACAGCTCTCCCCCAATCATGGAGCCACCGATTTTGTCGCACTCTGCGAGACTGATTCCAGCAGGTCTAGAGGAAAGAAATCACACTCCTCGAAGTGGAGGTCTGAATCCACCAACGTCTGCTAGAGGAGGTGGGCGCCCTAGTACAACAACTCCTGTGGTCGTTGGGAATAAAACTACAATTTTTAAGGCTTAGAAGTTACCCTAGAAATCCTCGATCTGCTGAAGCATCCTGAAGAAGTGTCGTGAAGAAAGAAGAGAGCAGGATGCTTCTCAAGATGGATCAGGGTGAGCGCTAACGCAAGCACCTCATCAAGGACGACTAACAATACGATTCGATCTTCCAAGATGAATACCATCGTAGCCGGGCGCGTTGACTTGTTGGACATGAATCAGATCGTAATGCCTCTAGGAAGAGGCGAAAGCAGGAACAAAACATCTTCAGTGGCGCCATCGTCTTCAAAAAGAACGCAGAGCTATCCTGCAGGATCTTCTACTAAAGTGACTAGTAGTACGATGTTGAAGGGCGCGGCCGTGGGAGTGGGTCGTGTTCCAACAGGACCAGGACAGCTTCAACAAGAGAACGCCATGAGACTGCAAAGCACCAGTCGCATTCAGAATTCTGCGGCATTGTCTCCACGATTTGTAGCAGGGAATGGCATGGCGAGTACAGCACGACCGCATGGTGGAATCGAGGAGGGAACAACTTCTATGACTACGTTGAGAGGCAGGGTGCAGAGCGACGAACTGAAGCGGGTTCAGCGTGAAGTAGAGATACAAGACGGCTTTCGTCGAAGGGTTGATAAAGACGTCGAAAAAATAATGGCGCAAGATGATTCAGATTTTTAGAGGGGGCATGTTATCGTTTTTTTTGAAAATAGCTTACTGATTTGGCTTTTGCTTTAATTCTAGGGAGGTGGTCTGTCGGTAGACAGTATGATCTATTAAGTTTAGTTTACACACAGGATGGTCTTCACAAAACTTCGATGGGTAGCGTATTTTACTCAAAAAAGCGTCGGTAGTGTAATTCTGTCTAGTCTGTAGCGTAAGTACGTTTTCACGACCAGAACTTCCATGAGGAGAGGTCGTGTGGATCGGAATTCTGTACATTTTCTGACCTGTATTCTGCAAATGGGTGTATATATTACTCAACATGATGACTTTCTATGACAGGCCCGCCTTCGGGTTCGGTACGCGCTTGACAGCGTGGCGAAACGTCATCAATACGCGAATTAGCGTGGGATGGGGTGTGCGCATCATCCGAACGTGGGGGTGTGTTTGTATCACAGAAAATGGCGTCTCTCGAATGAAACACCTATTGCTCGAGAAAATGTGCGGTAAAAAAAGGACACTCTGGAAAAGAAAGTCTATTTCTGAAAAATAGTCCACATCGATAGCGAACCGCAGTAGTCCTGTAAAAAATGTCCTTCCTCCTCGGTCGATCGCAGGGACCGACGAACTCCTCTTCGAAAACGACGGTCCTAGCTGCAGAGGAAGACCGCGTTTATCATTCTGGGACCGAAGGTCACGTTGTCGCGCCAGAAGATGTTGTGCACCTTCTCAAGGAGACTCCTCGACAGTTTCTGGAAGAACACACACCTAGGAGCAACGCGTCTTCACGTCGTCTAGGGGCTTTACAGGTGAGAGCCGCCAAGGCGACGGAAGCAGCGAGAGCAGTTACGGAACAAGCTAGGAAAGATGCGAAAGCGGCTTTGAGTTCGTCGTCTTCGAGTAGACTCTCTTCGGCTAGGGGGAACAAAGCTGCGGCGAAGAAAGCTGTTTGGGGTAGTAAATCGTCGTCCTCAGGCAATGAGCAGACAACTAAGGCCGATGCTGCACAGCAGGAACCAGGGGAGCAGAATCCTACTATTACCGAAGATGGTGGCACTAAAATTAACGTCGAGTCTTCGACAGCAGCAACAGCACCAACAAGAGCATCGTCATCTGGTGCAAAAGAGGGTAAGAAGGGCCAATCAACAAAACGAGGTAGTACGACGTCTGCCGGAAAAGGTGCGTCAGCAACAAGACCTTCCATGGCTGCCAATAGTAGAGTAGGTGCGAAAAAGAGCACTGTCGTAACTTCCAGCACAAATAGGACAACATCAAGTGGAGTCGATGCGACTCAACCATCTACAAAAAGGCCTACTACAACCACTAGTACTAGAGGTACGGCCTTTACTTCCGCCAGAAGTTTTAGGCAGACTAACATTAAAAAGAGTACAAGGGGATCTTCTACTTCGAAAATGGTGGACATTGAGGATGTTATAGAGAGTAAATATCACAGTGTTAGAAGTACAAGCGCAGGTCGGGATGCAAGCAGCAAGATTGTTGAGGACAAAGCCGAGGAAGTGGAGAAGGATCGAGTCACGCAGGTGGAGAAAGCGGAAGATAATGCGAACAATGCTTACGGATCCATGTGCCCCAACATGCTTGAAGCGTATCATACATCCATGTGGCGAGAACAAAATTAGAATTGATAAGGGAAGGATAGTACACTTCACAATGCATCCCTTGTAGTAGATATAGTTCTTGATGATCCATCTTCTGAACATTTCTAATGGGAGGACACAACTGAAATGGCTAGTGGCAAAAGCTCCGTCGTTCCACCCGACAACGTCCCGACAAGCGAAAACAAGACCACGGCAGACGAGAAGACAATAGATGCTGTGACCACTGCTAAGAAAGAAGATAACAAAAAGAGTCAGGCAGAAGGAGAGGCACATCTTCTGTACGGACCAGCACGTGCCATCGGTGAAGTAACGTTTCAAAGGCTAGACAGTGTTAAACTTATGAAGGAGGAAGAGCTTAATCGTTCCACCGATGAGCAGTATGAGATGTAAGTGTAATTGTAAAAGTACTAGTGAACAAGTTCACCTTCAACATAGTTTGTTGATGTAGCTAGTCTACGTATTAGTTTTTCATGATACCCTTTAATCTCTACATTTTTGTAAGGATAGACGACTTGTTTTTTCATCTAATCCAGAGCAAACCGTTACCAAAACTAGCGATCAAGTCGTTGGCACCAGAGCAGACTATATAGCGACGAGGAGGAGGATGAACCTCGAGCGATCTCGCATCGAGAGCATCGTACAGGCACCTTGGACATCGGATAAATTGCTCAGGGAAATGCAGGAGGAGGCGGCAGCATGGAACAATATAGACTTAAGGCTCGTTGGAATAACAATTTTAAAGTCCTTGTGCAACAGGTTGAGAAGCATTTCTCTACTCATCGACTCCTCTGGAAGGTTCGACATTTCTCTTTAGGAACAATTAAAAATACGATGAACGTCGTAAAAGGTGAACTACCCTAATAGACACTTCGACAGGCGGGAGGGCGTTGCTGAATCAATATAGAGCAAGTGCTTCCTCTGGAGGAGGCGGGAGCAGTAAGAACACTCTTTTGTCTTTAATAGGGCATGACCATTAAGGAAATCCGTCACGCGCCTGAGTTGTAGTCAAGCTCCTTATTCGATCTCGTGTCTTCAAAAAATGATGATGATAACACTGGCATCTACGTGGTTCCGTGGTCAAAGGAAACTGATAATTCATTTTTGCATTTTGAGCCCCTTTTTTACAACAATAATTTATGTCTCTTACCGTTACCAGCTTCTAAAACCTAGCACTGCTGGTAATGAAGTGCGGGACCGGACCCAGATGACGGGAATCTCTGACGCAGGTGCTATGGCGCAAGCTCAAAAAGTAGCCGAACGTGTAGCAAGCGAAGACTTACGGGTACAGTTTTTCACTGTCCCACGTTGACTATGCTGCCCTCCCTTCTTCAGTGTGTGCGATTAAGATTAGTTCTTCTAACTGCGAGGTTAGTGAAGTTAAATAACCTACAATCTATCTCATACTCCATTAATGGGGAAAATGGAGGGGAAAGAGGGCAAGTCGCTCGACCAGGGATATTGAAAAGCTACCTCTAAAAGACGCTCGTGATAGAATAAGCCACGTGTCGATCATGAGCGGCGAATCGATTTTGCCTCCAACTGGCCAGCCAGCAGTTAGAAGCAGCGACTACCAAGATAGTACTGGACAAGCTGCTGCGTCCTTACGCCAGGGTCCCGCCAAAAGTACTGGAGCTGGACAAGGTGCTGCGTCCTTACACAATGGTGATGCAAAAGCTTTTTTGTGTGAGACCGATGAAAAGAAAGCTGACTCTGACTCTAGTACCACTCAGGTCGCCGAAGAAAAACAACGCGAACAAAAAACTACTCGCCAAACCGATCCGAAACTTCCCGAAGGTGAATCCCACTCAATATTGAAGAAACAAGAACCACCTCCACCACCAGGAGAGGAACGACAACCAGCACTTATGCTCTCGTCTAAAGGTGAGCCAATCCCCTCCGATGACGAGTCCAATCCTGAGTCCCACACGGGTGCGATTTTAGGATTGGTGGAAGCGAGGTTGACGAACTTGCATACAGAATTCTTGAGGGAATTGCAGTCACAGGAAAAACTGGGGATAGACACACCGGTGTCCGAACAAGAAGCACAAGAAGCTCTGTCGCGTCAAGAAGCGACTACTACAAAGTATGAAGCATGGGGAAGGTTCTTTGGTCATTGTAACTAAATGTCAACAAGCTAGTCGAGTGCTCCAAGACGAAGAATAAGTCGAGTAGGTCTCCCAAGACGAAGAATTAGTCGAGTAGGTCTCCCAAGACGAAGAATTAGTCGAGTAGGTCTTCCAAGACGAGGAATTAGTGATATGAGTTCATCTTCTAACTATTCCAAGGAGGAGCAAAAAAGAAGGGGAAGAGGAGGGTAACGCAGGAAACTGCATGCGACGATCAGGATGTGGTATTTTCTTTTTTCGCTAGGGCAGATTCATCTACACGTTGACTTGTAGTGCAGTAAATATGTGTTTGAATATGTGGATCGTCTTCATCAATAGTTCCCGCAGCCTGTTCCTTACACTTTATGATCAGACGCGGAAGACCTCGCCGTCGCCATCTCGGAAGTTCGCTAGAAAAAAACAAGAGGGAGCCTCTCAGGTTGAGGTTGCAAAGTCACCAAATGCGGTTCCCCAGACTTCACCTTTATGAGATAGTTGCACTGTCGGTCCTTGAGTGATTTTTTTGATATCTTCACTATCCGGAGGCAATAACCCTTAAGAGGACGGATTCGTAGTTGAGTCTGGGAAACTCATTACTGTAGAGTAGTGTGTGTTTTTCTAATAAACACAACTACGACTGCCAGCCGTTTTCAACCAAGTAGGATACGGCAACCTGGCGCGTTCGCGAAGTCCACTGAATCTGCGAAGCGGAAGGCCATGAAGCCTGCAGGTGGCAAGGACGTGGAAAAAGATTTATGATTGGAGAGATGGAGTGAGATTCTCAGAGAAGTATTTTGCGTAATTAGGTTTACAACTGACTGCGTCAAATACTTTTATGTGGATTGCTGGGTATAATTTGGCGCAGCTGTCACCACTATTAGTCATCTGAAATATCAATATTGCGGAGTTTTGGATGTTGACAAGTTCAACTTGAAATTTCTTCTCAATAACAAAGCGGGGAGCTAAGCACCTATTGGGCATTCAAGCAACCGCAGTCGGCAGATGACCCGTTGGACGCTCAAGAACGGGAAAGCATAGCTCCACAGATGGACAGCGAGAGCTTAGAATTATGGGAAGACATAAACACACATGCCCAGAAAGCGGGCCCATCAAGGGCCCGCTGCACTGGGCATAGGTTAGCAACGAGACAGATAAGACAAACGGGGTAGAAAGTCGCTATGTCACCAAGCTGGCGACGCGCGCAGCTTTGTTAGTTTCGACAGGCAGCGTGCTCCCGCGTCATATAAATTGCGCAGCTACGATCTGCCGCTTTTGTATTTTTCACAGGGAGGCCGGGGAGGTTGCGCAAATTCACAAGAATTCGCGTCACCTCCACGAGAATGCATCGAAAAAGTGGGGCTTTTCTGAAGCTAGCAAGCTGGCAGGCCATGAATAAGCGGGGACAAGTTGGCTCCGAATGGACCAGTACGCTGGCCATGGCTATGCTAGGAAGCTGGCAGTCGCTGTGGCTAGGCGAGCAAGCTGGCTACCGCTACTTATGGCTAAGCTAGCAGGCTGGCCATGGCTAAGCTAGCAGGCTGGCGCGGCAGTGGCTAAGCTAGCAAGCTGGCTACGGTTAAGCTTTCAAGCTGGCGGCGGCTGAGCTAGCAAGCTGGCGGTGGCCAGGCTAGCGAGCTGGTGTTGACTAAGCTAGCAAGCTGGCCCCCTAAGGAGGAGTGGCCTACTATTTATTAGCCCAAGTCTATTGCACGTGCTCCTTAAGGAGCCTCCTAAAGGAGCACTTTTGGCCCTTAGAATAACTTTCTATATGAATAGAAATTCCTTAAGAAATGCCAATCCCTTAAGAAAGCCGCTTAAGAAAGCTTCTTAAGGGAGGCTCTTAAATAAGAGTTTCTTTCAGGCAAACTGCTTCTACTATAAATACTAATATTTTCCTGTAGACCTGCATTTCTACCTGTAGTATACTTATTTCCCTTTCGGATGTCAAGGGTCTCTCACCATCAAAATGAATGAAGTAGGCAAAATTGGGGTTGCCATCTTACCACGTAAGCTAAAAAGAGCGTCGATCTATCATCAGTTTCAGTTTAGCATCATAATCATTCAAAACCATCTAACCTCCCAGCTCAAACGTTCCAGACACGTTTCGATCGCTTCTAGTGTCGGGCCTCCGGATGCGGATATTAATGGCCCACCATCAGCCCTGTTCGAGAGCAGTGATTTGATGCACGCGAAGAACGCTGCAGAGGCTGTAGTTAAGGCTAATCTATCACTATCGTCCCATGTGAACTGTGCTGAGTGTGGCCACCCTTGATTTAAAGAGTGAACTAAAGGGGAAAGACGGGAACCCACTCTACCAGGCAAAGTGAAAAACCACCGCTAATTTTGCCGGGCGCCTAGATCTTCCGCTTCTTGACGACGAGGAAGGTAGACCAGTTTCCAGAGCTTCGTATGGGGAGATTGATGACGTACCGGATGAAGAGTATAGTTTGGAGAAGGAGGAAGGGGGTGCCCTGGGTTTTAACGGTGGGGCAACATCCGCTAGCTCCGCGTATTCAAAAGGACCCCCGCGTCCTGCTGGTGCTCGAGAAGCTCTACATTTGAAGAAACTGGCAGCGCCAAGATTGGGTGGCTATTCTCCTCAGTCGGCTTCGGGCAAAAACTCACCACTGTCCTCTAGTGCTTCCGCTCTCTGGCATGAGGATGTGCCAATGTCTTCGAATCCGGCTCTGCAAGCAGGTCAGGTCGCAGGAGTGAGCTTGCCAGCTATGGCGCCTTCGCTATTTGCAGCGAGGTCATTTCTGCGACCGCCTGCCGGGTTGAGTTTTTCGCCTAACTACATGTCTGAAGCTGCCTCACCAGGCCACAGCGGACAAACTACAGGAGGTGATGATAGTAGACTTACAGCACCACGTGGGAAAGCAGGAGGTGGCGCGGCGAGAAGTAGGTCGAGAAAACAAGGTCCTCCAGGTGACAAAAGAACAATCGATGGTCGAGGAAAGCCAACTGCTAGAGTAAAGTCTGGGAGCCCATCACCTACTAGGCGAACAAGAAAGGGAGAATCACCTAAAGCAGAGAAGAGCAAGAAGGAGCCTCCAGTAGCTCAGACATATCTTCAACAAGTGAAACTGTCGAACATCTTCATTGATAAGAACTATGGACCGAGTGCGACAACTAGTCTTAGCACGAATCTTGGGCTTGTTCAGAAAAATCAAAACAGAGCAGTTGACCCTTCTTCACCAGCCATGCCAGCACCTAGCACCTCTTCTATGAGCTCGCCTAGTCCTCTACTACTGGGTAGTAGATTTCTTGCTCTCTCTCCACGACCTTTGACTGGGAGTATCTTTCCACCACAGAGACCTCAGGAATTGTACCCTTCCTCTTCGCAGCAAGCACTAAATATTAAGGCTCACCGTTAATATCCACTTTCTGAGGCATCCTGAAGAGGCTTTTCAGGGGGAAAAAGCAGCACCCAGGACGCTTCTCGAGGTGGTTGAGGTTGAGCTCTAAAAATAGTACAGAACTGAAACCAACAAGGAAGGGATCACCTTCACCGGGTCGATCACCTTCACCGGGTCCTCACAAAGATGCTCAAAAGGAAACCAAAACCAAAGCAACCTCTCCTTCTTCAGCAAATGCTCGTGTAGTAGGACCCGGAACAATATTAGCGTCTCCAGAGAAACCTCCTGGAGGAAACAATGAGAAATCTGGAGGTGGAAGCATCGACACTCCTGCTGGGATGCAGATCAACGCGCTAATGCCCCCATCCTTGACAAGTCTGAAGAGTATAGAAAAACTTCTCCACTCGTCTTCAGCACGCGGTAGCGGGTCGACTTTGCCGGAAGGCGCGGGCTCGCCCGGGGGAGCGGTGGCTGGAGGGGTACTCTTAGAATTGCTACTTTTGAACAATTGTAACATATGCTTACTTTGTACAACAACAGATATCTAGGAGACAGGTCCCATTTTTCATCATCTTCTACTCGTATCATCCGCATCTTCTACCACAACTACAACCAGCCTTTTCCCTTGCAATTGACGTTGCCACGAGCTGCTGGGTTCCGTTCTCTTAGCCCAGGCTCGCCACAAGACAGTGCTGTGAGGAGTCCGACCGATGCATCAGAAAGGCCACTGAAGCAACGAGAGAAAGCGGGGAAGGGCAGTGGCGGGCAACGGAGGTTATGATCTTGGATGGACATGCTCATGTTGTTGATCTTTTATAAGTCAAGGACTTTATTATAGGTATAGCTTTTTTTGAAGCCTCTAATTTACGTCTCTCCCAACCAAGGAGCCTCGCGTGCTGCACCTCCCAGTCGAACACGGCAACCAATAGATGCTCCACGGGTACGGGGATTACGTGCTTCCCAGTCCATGTCGAGCCCCTTCTCCCCCGACAACCAGTTGAGCGACAAACACAAAATCACCCAAGCAGCACAGGAAATGAAGCCAGAGGAATTGTGGAAATCGCAGTTAAGGTCCTATGAACCTTTTGTTGGACTCGCAGATATCGCAGATATAAGTAGATCCGAGATGAGGAATAAGTCTCCTCCACCACCGCTTGGAGCTAAAGTTGAGGATCCTGCTAGGGGTCAAGAGCTGAGCCTTACCAAAAGCGGGGGACCACCTTTGAGGGCGAAACTTGCAGCCTTTCCAGGCAATGGATTGCCGCTGATGGGCATGACGGTACTTGTCTTCAAGCAATGAATGGTCTATCTAAATCTTCTATCTATCTTTAGCTCTCCTACTCTACAACTGTGAATGTAGAAGTTCTTCACTTCTTACTCAGAGGAATAAAGTGATATCACATTTAAAATTGAATCCAGACTGGCAGTATATTGAAATACTGGCAGTATAATCCACCACTGCCACCAGGGAACATCGCCAATATCACCCAGAGGAATGGCGCTGACTTCGTCTCAGATGCTTCAGGAAGGAGGCCGCTTGTTGAGAAATAGCAGCTCCCCATTCGGGAATAATATGCGCGTGTCTCCTCATCTGAGCCGCTTCGAGGATGCAAAGCAACAAATGCAACAGCAAGAGGAGTTTTTGACGAAAATGGAAAACTCATTTAAGGAAGAGGGTGGATGTGGCGTGATGTGCAGTATGTTTTTTATGCCAATGATCTTTTATGACTAGCATACAATCATAATTCTGTAGACCCACTCCCACTTCTCATTGTTTCCTCTCTCATAAAAAACGCAGATCCACTACCTGCGCAACAGAACAACCAAGATGATCCTCTTGGAAACAGCAGTACGCGCGACGTAGACGTCTCTCTATTGCGGGAGGTGGAGGGGTTATTGGATGCCAATAGGAGTCGAATTGAGGAAATCCTGGATGAAAGCAAAGGCGATTTGAATGACTTATGACAGGATTTTAGTTCAAGTCCACAGTGAATTTCCGAAGAAAATTTACAGAGCTCTGCAAGTTGGCATGACAAGACTTTTGTGAGTTGACAATTTCGAACAGGTCAAGATGAATAGTAAATTGCGGTATCAGTCGTTTTTCTGAAAAACCCGCCGCGTCTCCTCTTTCATTCTTCGGGCAAGGTTGGGGTCTCAAGGATGGCGTCGTCGTCCGAAAGCCTCAGCAATATGTCCAAACCGCCACATCGAAGGCTACAACATCTTCAATAGTTACAAATCGACAGCGTACAACCAATATCAACAACCGAGAGTCGGTTGCGACGATCATTGTTGATGATGCTGATCGAGAGAGGATTCTAGGTAACGCAAACCAGGAGCACCAGCAAAAACAAGTACAAGAGGTAGGAGACGCTGAGATTATGGGTTTCCAGATTGCATCCGGCACGAACATCCCTAACTCTTTCCCAGCTTGAGAAGAAGTCAGGGATGTTCTGAAGAGTGCAATGGCGGAACCGCTAATCAGGCTATTTCTGTAGCGGCAGAAATGTCGAGTATCCTGAGCATAGGCGGTGGCGACATCTTTAGTCCGGTTTCGGCGATTAGCAGTGCGATAAGTCCTCGTGTCATTTTGTCAGGGACCTCACCGACAGGTGCTGGCGGAGGTGTGGCTAGCTTGGCACACCAGCACAGGACAAATGCAGCAGACCCAAAAAGGAGAACACAATCGAATATTTCAACTAGTACAGGAAATGTCGTCTCTGGGTCGGCGAGAACAACAAGAGCCATGTCCTCTAGTAGTGCCATTGGCCAGCAGGGAGGAAAAGCTGCAAGTAAGGGTCGTACATCAGCACGTAGCTCAGCACGTGTTACTACGAAAGGGAAACTGAACTCAGCGAGACAACAGGAAACGCTCAAAACCACTGGTACAATATTAGCACCTAAGCATTTTGGGGCACCAGGGAAGAAAACGACTCCGACTGATAGTGCGATACTCGCTGTTCCTGACGAGCATAATCCACGCCACACGGATCGCGCAGTTCATCCTCACGACCTTCACCATTCACAACACCCCGGCGACCATCAACCAAGTCACCAACATAGTTCCAAGCCCTCGCCAGACAGTAAAAGTAGTGTTCAAGTAGATGGAAGTGCTGACAACACCTTCGACGTTTACACTTCTGAGGAAGCTTTGTTAAGGGAACAAAAGCAAGCGGCAGTTCAAGCCCTTAATAGCATTCGAGCCTTGTTGCATGCAGCGAGCAAACAGCCGAATACGACGAATAATAGTGTGCAAGTGGGATCAGGGACTGCGGCAACAACGCCCAATCCTTCAGCTAGGGCGGATTTGGGGACGGATTTAGACGATGGGCTGGGTCGCGACGTTTCTCAGAGATTGGAGTTGCATTCGAATCTGTTGTTATGATGGATTATTAGTTTTTATGGTAGTAGATTTCTTGCTAATAAAGGTCTAAATTTTCTATGATTGGTGGTTGTGTTACAATGATGTTGTTGATATGGTCCACCTCTAAGATGATCTAGTCACAGGATAGTGCTTAGTGTGGGTTACTAATTTTTTTTCAAGCGGTGGATGTGGGAGTACTACCTACTGTCTGTTGCTTTTATTTTCTCCTTCATAAATCCGCAGTCTACGTGTCTCTCTGGGGATCGGTGGGGACCATGAAGATCCTAACAGCTTTTCAGAGGCCGATGGTGTTTTGACGAGCAGGCTTGCGGGACCTGCAGTTGGTACTGAAAGTACGCCGAAGACGACGAATCTAGCTCCGCAACGGTTACCACAGGCAAAGCAACCAATAATTACCGATGATCATGAAATATCGTTGAAAAGCAAAGAAGTACCAGACACAAGGCAGAACTCTGCTACTGCGTCTCAGGTTCCTTCGGACACAACAGTTCTAGTTGGAGACCGAAAGGATTGCAAGGGAGATTGCAAGGGGGGAGACTGCTTCTCAGCTGACATTCCCTCAGAGATTCCGAGCGAGATGGACATGCCTTCTGACAGCGGCGGACAGGTAGATGCTGGCGGTGGTGGTGGTGTTGCTGGTGGTCAAACAGGTCAAGATGAGAATGTTGCTCTGGCGGGAGGAGCTTCTAGTGGTAAAGATGAAGTGAGTGCTGGTGATGGTGCTGTAGTAGGAGTAGTGGAGCAGCCTGGTACTAGTGGAGATCCTGTAACAAGGCAACACCCTGCGGTAGACATGGAGGGAGACAATGAGGCTCAGCAGTACACGCAGGTTGTGTCTAGAAGTTCATCCCCTGCTCGACAACTAGGAGGTAAAGGAGCCGCATCTGCAGGAGGACTTCCTGATGTGGCCGTCGGGTTGGCTTTCCCATCTCTGGGAGCTTCAAGAATGACGCAGTTTCCACCATTGCGACCAACTACGTCTCCTTCTCTTGCCGGGAAGAGCAGTCAGCAGCTGTTACAACTTAGCAGCGCTCGCCTGAGTACGCCGGGACTTGGGAACAAGGGACAAGCAGGCGATAGTAGTAAGGGCGCTACGAGTGGCGTACCTGGCCAGCAGCTGCAGGGGGACGCGCCTAGTCAGCCACAAGCTCCGCTCAGTCCACAATTTGGGGGCGCTAGTGCTGTAGCAGGGCGTGAGCGTGTGGAGTCGTTTGGCGATCCAAATTTTGTGGTTGAGGCTATTGCAGACAAGGGAGTAGATCTGAAAGAGTTGAAGATGGCGGAGAAGACTGCAGCAGACGAGACTCACATGCCGGCTCAAGCGTCAACGTCACCTAGAAGTCACATATCAACTACAGTAAAAGGCCAAGAACAAGTAGTACAAGAAACGCCGCGCGCCATCGTCCAGACTGTGCATTCGCCGACTGAGGGTCAGCATCAGAATGCAGGAAGCCAGCAGCTTCCTGGGCCGGAAGATCTTTACCCTGGTGCGTCGCCTGGTCTAACAAGCCGAATGGCGTACTTGGAGGATAGGGTCAGCAGATATCTAAAGGGAGAGGAAATATCCCCGCGCAAACCTGCCGAATACTGGGAAAGGAAACAAGGCACGAGAAAAGGACAGGGGGGCGAGATAAAGGGGACGCAGGCCGTAGCAGACAGCGTCGAAGATGGGAAGGCAAGTGGAATGAAGATGGAGGACACTACGATAAGCAGCGCCGTTCCCAAAAACACAGTAACAAAAGCCCTCTCTCCTTCCCAAGCTCAGCATCTGGTAGGCGCATCTTTTTCCGGCTCCTCATTACGCAACCAGGCGCAGCAAGAAGCAGCATCTGTGTCTGTCGAAGAGGTTGTGCAGTCTGTTGCTGAGGGTTCGCAAGAAGTTTCGCACTCTGAGCTCTATACAGGCGTTTCGAATTCGCTTTCAAACTCGGCGCTTCAGGTTGGTGGTGGGCACTCCCTTTCCAGTTCGCAATATGCCTCGCTGGGCTCAGGTGGGAATGCATCTTATGAGAACAGCTTGGCTTTCTGAGTTGGTAGGGAATTGGAAACAGAGGGGTTTTGTGAGTGTCAAGACACATAAGCTTCAGCTTTTTAATGTTGAAGATGAACTTGTCACTGATAGGAATTTCGACAATTCCCCATAGATGCTCCTTTTCATACCCTCTGGCTACAACCCCCTGTAGCGGACAACGCCTCAAACCATTCGGGGTCTCCTGTTTCTGCTACGTCACATCGCTTCGCTGACGGTGCGGAAACATACCACACGATGTCGGACGGCGGCTTCCATAGTGGCACTGAAGGTATATATCAGAGTGAGCTCGATCTAGACCACCTGTCTGCGACCAGTGGCGACGCGCTCGCATCTTTGGAGAATTTTTCTGCGACGAGTGGACGAGGACAAGAGTACGCGGCTACGAGTAGTCGAGAGCAAACTACAGCTGCGCAGCAACAGGATGGCAATGCTCACGTTGCCCATGAAGGCCAATATGCTGTTGACATCCTTGCAAGTTCAGTATTTCCAGTTCCTGAGGCACTACCTTCTCCTGCGAATGCGGATCTTCTTGGCGATGGCATCGATGTAACTACGCAAAATTTCACCAACAACCTAACCCCTTTGCTGGGAACAACTACATCTTTTCAGCCACCACCACTATTGGCAGTTGAGTCGGGTGATAGTGTGCAAGTGCAACCTATGTCGACTGTGCCTGTATCTGTAGGCGAGCACCACCCTTCGCATTCTTTTCCTGTTCAGCCATCACCTTCAGCTAGCAGGGAAGACATGGGAGCACCCGCTGGAGCTGCAGCGGAACAACAAGTAGAACCTCCTCGAACTCTAGCAGCATCGTCTACCAGTTCAAGTTTTCCAGCTTTCAGCCCTACCGACGACCTTCTAGGAAGCACCAGACGGCTCACTGCGACATCAAGACCCTACAACCATCAGCAAGCTGGACGTGCGTCTTTGGATACTCCGACTTCTCTGTCGATATCTGTAGAAGACTTCAATATTGCAGGTAGCGCAAAGAAGGTTTTTTTGAGGGGTGATCAGAGGCGGTCGGAATTAGATGCCTGCGTGGAAGAGGCTGGAGAACAAGAAGATGCGCGTGAGTTTCATAGCGTACACCAAGGGCAATCTGTTGCAGGAAAAATGTCACAGGAATCGGCGGCGTTTCACAGTGTCCATCAAGCGCAACCGGTTGGAGGAGGAGGAAATAAGACATCCCAGGACTCTGTAGCGTCGTCCGTTCTGGTAAGGGCAGCTTCTGGGTCTGGAGACCGTGCTGCAGTCTCTCAGCACTCTTTTCATAGCGTGCAAGATCTTGGGATCCAAGAGCGCCAGAACGAAAGTCATGCCCGCATCGTAGAGGTGGAGCCTCGATTCTCATCGGCGTATTCACATGCTTCGGCTGTTTCTGTGGCCAACCTGGACCAAATCCCTCCGGCCTACGTAGTTGACACAGCTGCAGGAGGGGGGCCAGCAGTGGCAACATCTTTAAACAATACGGCGAACACAGCGCCGCCTGTCTCTTTCTCAAACAGTTCGTCTTCTCGGCATCCAAGACCCGTCAATTCACCCGATCTTAACAGTGTCAGTGTCTCTTCACAACAAGAGGTTACTAGTAGACCAGCTGCAGAGACAGACGCAATAACTACTCAACCAGAGCAGCTAATTGCAAATCGACCTCGAAGTTTTCTGGTTCAGTCTCTTCCTATCGGAAGCGGCGCCTCATCTGCCAGCACAGCTACTAGGTCAACGTCGAAGATCCTATTGCCACCCCAGCGCGAAATCGCAGGCATCAGTAGTCCAACAGTCGGTGCCAGACAAACACAACTGGCGACGTCGATGTCGTCTAGAGTGACCGGCGTTGGCCTGCTAGAACAGCGTAGAGTTACTGGAAGGGTACCGGAGCCTGCAGTTGGAGCGCAAGGAGAGCGGCGGATGACTACACTTATGACGAACGGCAAGAGTCTTATTTTTAAGTCGTCATCATGCTTGGAGAAGTTACTATCAGGTGGAGTGTGTAAGTACTTAAGTAACAGGTGCGTGCTACTAGGAGTAGCCCTTCTTCGGAAGTGAAGCATGGTATTAAATAATAGTCCCGTCGACAATTTCGGAATACTGATCTGGGCAAGATTCCACTCCACTAGGAGTACAAGTACATGCGAGACAGCGGATGCCTCCTCATCCTAACGGGATCCTAGCGTAGCGGACCGTCTCTACTAATCTGCGAATCCCTGGTTTCCGCATCTCCGTGTCTCCCAACCTTTCACCAAGCACGTCGCCTCGCAGAACAACAACGCATCAGACTAGTCCACCGCTCTTACCTCGACGCAGCATCTTCGGTGCCTCGTCTCCACTACAGCAAGGAAGGCCTACATTGGCTACTTTTGGTAGTAAGGAAGCGCCAACTTCACCCCGCGGGGCAGAGCAGACCCTTGCAGCGCCGCAACCTCGACAAGTCAGAGATTCCACACTCGGGGGTGGTCCCAGTCCCTCAAAAGTGTATTCCGAAGCGACGTCAATGCTAGTTATGAAGATCGTGTGGTTTCTAGATTCATGTGCAAGAATGTGGTCTAATGCATTGTTGAAGAGGCTTCGGGTGGGCTTGGAGACTTTGGGTCGTTAGGGCATGAGCCTTTTTTGTGCTCTTCTCTTAGAAAGCACCATGCACGACGCATTGACGGAGCATCTTCTCATAGAAGTCTCCTTCTCTAACATCAACTCCACTTTTTTTCTAACATCAACTCCTTTACCACTGTCTCGATTAAGACAGGTTTTGCGCCTCTCGGTCGTTGGGAACCGCCGGCTGAGTTGTTGGAGCAACAAGCGCATGTACGCAAGTCAGTGGAGCAAGCAGCGTCGTCGGCGACCCAGGAATTGAAGCAAAGAATGAGCGTGGTGAGATCACGGTCGCCGAGTGGTGCGGGCTTGGTGAGGGAGTTATGGCCAGCATTGTTGTGCTGTAGCTAGTGACTGAGATGGAGACCCAGACATGCTTTCTTGTGGTCGTTTTCGTTCTCGTGGTTCCGTGAACATCAAGCGCGACTCAGAGTATGAACAACGTGAGAAAACTTTTTCATCCCTAAACACAAGTGTAGCTCCGACTGTGATCGCAAATAGGCAGCCCTTCTCCGGAGCACCATCACCTCCAGCAGTTGTGCGCATCATCCGAGGCACCCAAAGTGCCGCGACGCAGCTGGCTACAGTTCCGGAAGAACAAGGCTAGCGAGAGTACGGGAAGAACGAGGGTGGTAATGGACATTTAAAGAGCGTGGTTCAGATTATTCAAGTGGACTGCGGAGGTATTATAGGGTAGTTGAGGTTTCGATTTCGTTAGACTTAGACAATATGTTGGTTTCGTTATGAGCGTGGTTTCGGAATCGGAGTTACTTATTTTTCTTGGTACCTACAACTAATGATGAGCGAACTCTTTATTGGGGTTTATTTTGCTCCACGAAGAACTAGAAATGAGGGTATTTAAGGTCGTTACCTTTTCTCGGGCTATTATTCTGTAAGGAATAGCAAAAGTCTTTTTATCAATTAGAGCACGACGTGTGGGCTATAGATTCGCATTGCGTTCAGCGAGATGTGCTGGAGATAAGAATTTGAGAATACATTTCCCTTTGTTTGTGTTTTTTGGTAATTATACTGCTTGATTGTGTGTACAGGTGGAGCAATCCAAATCAGCGCGTTAGTTTGTACTTATCTATGGTGCAAATGCTAGTATGAAGAGAGTGAGCGCACATAGTGCACCTGAATATTCAACATTACATCAACATGAACGCACTAGAAATGTAAAGAAAGAATGAGACAACAACATTTAAAGATTTTGACTATGGTAAAGATCCTTCTTCATGGAAGAAAAATCGAGACGACACGAGCATTCAGATTCATGCATCATCCAAGTTGCGCACTACGTTTAAAGGATTTTTCTGTGTGTGGCTATGCATCCATGTCTGCTCGGTCATCTTGTAGACCCACACCTAACCTAACCTTTGTCTGTGTCTGTGTGGCTTGCGAGAATGACTGTAATTGTGTTCTAAGTTCTGCATAAAAGCATGCGCTTGGTGGAGGATCTTCAATCATCACCGTCTCCTCGACTTTCGCTACAGAAGGCACTGATCTCTTTTCCCTAGCTTGCATCTACGTCGTCAAGTTGCTCCGTTCTCAAGTTGCGCCGTTCTCAAGTTGCTCCGTGGTACTGAAAGTAAGTAGATTGTAGTACACGCACCAAGAACTAATATTGTAGTCCTGGACACCAGCATTGTGCAGGTAACTGCGTCACCAGGAGGAGTCAACTCTATTTGTGGTAACAGAATCTCATCATGGCGATTCTATTTGTGGTAAGAGAATAAAAGAATCTCATCATGGCGATTCTATTTGTGGTAAGAGAATAAGTAGGAGGATGAGATAGAAGAACGATCATAAGTATCGGTGGAATGTACATTGGGCTGGTGAGATAATCAAGATCTTTCTTCTTTTTCTGTTGGCGTAGCTAGGATAACACTGTATGACTTGAACCCAGGATACTCATAGAGAACGACGGTGACTAAATGTATCGATGACTGCTGCGACTGTTCTATGTATCTATAAGTTTTTCTTGCGTTTCTTCATGATATTACTCATGTTAAATCGCACATACACGACAACATGCAAATGTGAGCCCTAAGACTTAACAAGGAGAGCAGCACGAATTACTTACTCAAGCTCGTGAAGCAACATGATGAAGAGATCAGTTTCATCAACGGTCGAGGATTCCGATCCACCCTCTGGCGCAGGCGGCCGCGGAGCTGGGCGGGGTCAGACAAGCGATGGCCAAGTGGTGAGGCTTGACAAGTCTGAGACGCGGAAGAAAACTGTTGATCAAGACCGCACCACCACTACTAGATCGGAACGCCCGAGCACGTCGCGTAAAGAGCAAGAGCTTAGTGGGGAAGGAAAAAAGCGAACCGACCCAGATCAAGACGAACGTGCTCCTCAAGGATATCATAGGCAGCACGGTGGACGACGTAAGTCAGGTGTCCGTAACAGCCAAGCTTCGCGTCAAGACGACCGTGAGCAACGTCCCCGTAGGTCAGAACGTCAAGCGGATGATCCTGACGCTGAGCGGAAAAAGTTGAAGGTCACGGATGATGATCGTAAGACGAAGCCCTCTTCCTCCATTTCCGAGAAATGGCCGTCTGAACCGAGTCGTGAAGAGCGTGCACTTCTTAGGGCACACGAGAAAGAGCGCAAGGAGGAAAAGGAGTCACTCCAGAAGGAAATTGACAAGATGAAGCTTGGCTGTGAGAATGACGCTATACGACTCGAACGTAAACAACGAACACAAGTTTTGGGCAAGTCTGAAGAAGATACAAGGATAAAAAGAAAAGCTCGCGCACGCATAGCAAAAGAGCTCGAGGAGGAACGTGGGAGGGCCATAAAGCGACAATTCAGATACGATGTTAGCAAGTGTTAAGGCCCCAGCACGAAAATGATGTTGGTTTCGATTTATAACAACTTCTAGCATAAGCATCGTTGGGTAAGTAAGTATCTTTATTGTGGGCTTGTTCTTGGTTCAAAATACAAATAGTTCCTAAGATTTGGAACTATCTCGAGAGAGGCAATTGGAGGAGCTTCGCAAGCGAGAGCGCCTTGCCAAACACAAGGAGGAAGGCAAAGCCTACCGCGAGGAAGTGCGCAAGGCTGAGAGGCTGCGGGAGCAAGAGAGACTACAGAAGAAAAAGGAGTATGAGAGCGGACGACAGAAAAAGATGTTGGAACAAGATGAAGCTGTGGCTCCTACGAGGAAAGAACGGCGTGGACCTAAGACAATGATAGGAGAAAACAAAGACTATGGGGATTCAAAAGCGCTACGTGGATCGAAGTCTTCTGTGCAAAAGCGAGATGATGAGGACGCACGTGAACCCGTTACAGCATCTTCTTCCCTGTCAAGGGCAGACCATGTCTTGCTCGAGCCGCTGCAAGATCTGGCGTCTAGTAAGGAGTCGCGAGTGGAAGCGTGCGCACCACCATTTGACAGCAAGAAGAATGAGGATAAAGATAAGTCACCTCGAGGAACTGGCAATGTAGTTAGCCCTTCTGCCGAAGCGGATAATGTCCTTGACAAGGACGCGGACCCGATAGAAAGGACGCACAAGGGCAAGGTGCTTCCCCGGACCGAAGTCATTAGGGAGTCTGTTATTAGAGAGACGCAGCTAAAATGTGGTGAAAAGGCTTGTGCTGCTCAAATTGTTGCTGCTGAACTACAACCTACAGCTGGGCAGATTTCGACAGAAGGCGCACCGGGCGAGGCGGCGTCTATATCCAAGAAAAATCAAAATCAAGGTGCTTCTAATATTGAAAAAACTAGAGAACAGCGACTCAGAGATAAGCGAGTAGTGTCGGCGAAGCGTCGTGGCATCGTCTCATTGCCCACTGTCGAATGCTTACACCCGATGAGCGAGCCGGCTGCGGGAGTGGGCGAGGACGTTGTGGACACGAAAGAGGAAGAAGCACAGCAAGATGCTGAAGAGGCGACAGCCGAAGGTTCAGCTACACAGTCCTCCATGAAGCCCGCGGAGCCTGGCGTTGTAAATGCAGCAGATTGTGCAGACAGTGAAGAGCGTAGTCAAGAAAGTGGCGCGAAAGTGAATGGTAAAACAGGCGAAGACGGCGGGAAGAGAGAACACGGAAGCGACGCGCCTGCGGCTGTTGACGCTCCACGACAGGACGACCCGACCGACGCCGACGAGGCAAAAAATTCTGCGGCTGACGAGGAGCAAGGCTCTGCGGCTGACGAGGAGCAAAGCTCTGCGGCTGACGAGGAGCAAAGCTCTGCGGCTGACGAGGAGCAAAATTCTGCAGCTGACGAGGAGCAAAACACTGCCGCGGAAGAGGAGCAAAACACTGCCGCGGAAGAGGAGCAAAACTTTGCCGCCGACGAGGCGGAAAACTCTGCCGCCGACGAGGGGCAACAAGCTGCCGCTGCCGAGGAGCAAAATTCTCCCGCTGACGAGGAGCAGGAGTTTGCCGCTGACAAGGAGCAAAATTCTGCCGCCGATGAGGAGCGAGAAGACGCCGCTGACGGGGAGCAAAGCTCGACCGTTGATGAGGAGCAAAGTTCTGCCGTTGACGAGGAGCAAGAGCATGCGGAACTGGGTGAGCGTGCTGCAGATGAGGAGCAAAACTCTGCAGACGAGGGGAAAAGTGCCGCTGCTGACGACGCGGGCGAAGACTCTACTGCGGATGTAGGGGAAAAGCAAAACGACGCGTGCAGGAATGCAAGAATCGGTGATGCTGACTCCTGTCAGCGCAGTAGCGAGGAGGATTGCGCGGAAGAAAACTCTGGAAGTTCAGAGAATGCAACAGCCTCTGGTTTGGGAGAAGCACATGACGAGGATTCGCAGTCACAACAACTGGACGAGCATCGTTCCAGTAGAAACTGTTCTGAGGCTAGCGATATTGAAGAAATAGTCGACGATGAAAACAAGGCTGCGGAAAATGAAGAGGATTCAGTTGTTGACCACGATGAATCTGGTGACCAAGCGCACACTAATAGTGAGACAAATCTCCCTGCAGAGGAAGAGGAAAGCGAAGTTCCCACACAAGATGAAGAAGATCATCTCCCTGCAGAGGAAGATTTGACTTGTTCTTCGCCTGAACTGGCAGGAGAAACAGAGGAAGCAGCGTCACCACTATCGCCTGCTCCTGCGCCCCCTCCTGCGACAACTACACAACGTACCACGTATATTAAGGGGGCTAGTAAAGGCTCTCGTTGTAACACGGCGTCATCTTCTACGTCCGTAAAGCATCCGTGTGTGGCATCCTCATTTACAGACTCTGCAACTACTGTGGTAGACAAAGCGGAAGAAAACTGCGTTCGCCCAGGAACCGGTGAACACCTCTTACTAGAAGAAGAAGTTAGCGCAGAAAATGGTGGACACCTCCTAGGAGAAGAAGTTAGCGCAAGAACTGATGAACATCTTGTACTAGAAGAAGATCAAGGCACTTGCACTTCATGCACCCCTGTCCCCACTCTGAAGCAAGCTCATACGGCATTCATGTTGCTTTTTGACAAGTTGACAACAGACTTTGGTGGAGATGTCGAAGCACTACCGACTGAAGAAGAGCGTGGCGTTGTTACAGACGTCTTGGAACGCGTGAATGAATGGAAAAAATCACAAAAACGAGTTACCGTGGACGCTGAATGGTTGCAGGCATTGATTGACGCCGCTCCCGAAAATGAAAATGCTAGAGAACACCAGGAAGAAAAAGCTCAACCCGAACACGATAACAGTTGTAGGAGCGGCAACATAGTTCTTGAGCACAAGCAGGAACATGTTGTGGAGAAAGAAGACCTATCTTGCCAGTCATCAGTGTCTACTATTAAGGCTGATGATTCGTGAGTCCTTACTTTTGAGCATGACCCATCCATGTGAGGAACATGATGTTGGTTCTGTAGTTGCGACCGTGCGTAGTCACCTAGCCGAGTTCTGGAGTCAATCTATCATAGAAATCTTTTCTACGATCAATTGGGAAGATCTCGGAATGCTAACTCGCATCCTTATTTTCTAAGAGTATCTCTCGCAAAGACTGGGGGTTAGACCAGTCGTCGCCGTCGCTTCAAACCCCTTTACCGTTCCTCGACGATGCGCCAACACAGGGAGAATTCCGATTGCGAACGTACAACGAGCAACACGAGACGCAAAAGCACTTTTCTCTGCAAAGTGTAGCGGCGACATGCAATGAAGTCGTGGGGTGTCCGTGGTGTCGCAGACCCCTCCTCATCATTCCAGAACAGCAAGCAGCCGCTGAGAAAATGGCGACGCGCGAGTCAGCTTTAGTTGTAAGGCTAGAGGTAAACAGCGAACGTTCTTGGAAACTAGGAGTAGATTGAACAAAAGTCTAAATTGTCAGCGTTGATTCGCGCGAGTTTTTACTTTCTGAATTTGGTATCCGTATCTTGCGCTGCGCGCCCTGGCTGAACATAGACAGAACTAATCTCTTCAAAGAAATACTGAACTAAATCCGACGAAGACGATGACCTTCTTGAAGATATTCATATTGATATTTTCTAAGTCATCAAAATCAAATCCGCCCATGCCTTCCAGTGAGCATGAACGAAACCCCAGAATTGTGGAACACGAGAACGTGGACTGGCAGAGGATGGATCGACATTGCGAAACACTCAGCAGCGACCACCACAGAACTTCTTAACCTAAATTTCGAAAAGCCAATACCAATGGGGCTGACGCGACAGCATCAGCAACTGGACATCGAATATATAATACTCTCGCGCTGCCAAGAATACAACCCTGCTGTTGATCTTATGTTGAGTATTACAGTCTTCGTTTACTTTCAGTCTTTTTTATCCAGCGTATGCGCCTGCGTCGCACAATTACGATTAATTTGACAAGGATTCAATCACTTTTACTACGTACGGATACGGAAGCCTTCGATGAGTCATTTTTACAGTCTTCTCTCCTCTATCAACCTTAAACCTGTCAGTGGGGTTCTAATTTCAGACAGGGGACCAGCGTGATGAAATTACCAGAACCTCCAGGAGCTGGGGATAAGAGAAGCGTGCCGCGCAGTCGCTTCGCGCATGTAGCTGTTCTATTTATGGGTTGCAGTATTTTGTTCTGAAAATGATGAAGCATCTTTGGCCCTTTCTTTCATCTAGGAGGAAAGCATGCGTGTTAAACATGCGCGTCTAGAGCGATAAATATATGCTTAACAAAGTCCTCTAATTTAGTCGGGGCAAAGTTCGAGTACGTGCTTGGCGCCATGGTTTTGGGCGAATCTCTTCGAGAGTCGAAGCATGACGTGGTTTTGTTGCATTCTGCCTGCGTGCCCATGGAAAGTCGAGAGGTTCTACGCGGTTTCTACGACTACCTGATCGAAGTCCCTTTGCTCGATATCAATACCAACGTCGCTTCGACTCTGTTCAGAAACCCCGATAGAACACGTTTCAAGGGCGTCTTCACCAAGCTGCAAGTGCTGGCGCTGGAATGCTACGAGAAAGTCTTGTTTTTCGATCTCGACACAGTGGTAAATTAAGGCTTCCCGCCCTAATCCATCTGCATAGACATTGATCCCGCAACAGAAACAGTATGCGCCCCAATTCTTGGTACAAGGGAAACGCCGTTCAGGCATGATATCCTTGCGGGATCCCTGCAGGGATGAATTAGGGGAAGCTCTAAGTAAAGAATGTCAGCAATGTGGACTTCTTGCTAGAGCGGGGCCACGCCCCAGCAGCACTGCAGAGGGGAGAACCTCGTCGGTACAAACGGTACCTGCGAGAGATGAAAGCAAGGAAGCAAGCGACCAGATCTTCTTCTAGTATCAGGACTTCAGGCGTAGGAGAAGCGTCAAAGAACGTGATGGAACAAGTCCCTTACCGGGCCTTTTGGTCCGATTACGACCGTAAAGTGTGGCCCCCGAATAAAAACAAATGGGGTCAACCTGTCGGTCAAAGCTATCGTGAGCGGTTGTGGGCGCATCAACAGGCAAGCGGTATCAATTATGGCCACCAGAACTTCTTATTTCTACTAGGCATCCTCCGTTGGCATCTGCCTCATATGTGTCCGGTTATCTCCCTCAGTCATACTTGTTCATTTAAATGAAGATGCTTCTAGTTACATTTAATGTAATACATTAGAGCAACATCAATGGGAATGGGAACGCTCAACAAGAAGAACACCATTTAGAGCAGCATCAATCGTGAAGACTAAAAAGACTACAAATCCGTAGTAAGGAGATCTTCTCTAACTTCTTGCTGGCGTTATGTTGTTGAAACCTTCGCGCAAAGTCCTTGAGTTTATCGAGTGGGAGTGTTGGGACAGCATGCATCCGGAGCATTACGCTACGCATATGCCGGAGCAGGAATATCTGGGCAGATTATTCGCTGTGTTGTTAAGACCTTCTTATTTCTTTGCGGTGTTTTTATAGAGTACGTGAGTGCAGCAGGTAACAATCAAGCAATGAATCAAGTAGAAATTATATCTTTTTTCATTGTCATTCTTGATGCCTTTTCTCTAATGTCAGATCTCGAGTATTCTTGTTCGCACATGAATCCACCATGCACTGCAGCAGCAACAGGAGAACAACATCAGCATTATGGGTCAGTACAATTCATTTCGACAAGTCGTAGTTTCTTGCTGTTTCCTTCTCAGGATTGCAAGAAATGAATTCTTGTTTTGAGCTCCTCTAACAACAAGCTGTCTTTGAGCAGAACCGGATATCTCCGTATCGTCTGACATTGGGGCATCGACGGTCCACTATATCAGGAATGGAACGTACTAAACCTCCACCACGTGTATCAAACCCTGCAAAGTTACAGGCATTTTCACCCTCTAGGGCTGCAGCAGCCAAAGATTTGGAGCTTGTGCCACGACTCTCATTTGTTGGCGGACGAGGAGATACAGATACCACAATTTCTAGAAGTAGCCTAAATTGCGTCGAACAAGCTCAAGTAGGGGCTACAACATCTTCTTCAACATCAAGTGCCTCCTTCGAGGGTTGGTATCGCTTACCCCCTACGTTTAACTACGAAGTCGATAAGGCCTACCGCATACCCTTCGACTTTTCCACTGATCACGCGAAGCTAGACTTCGCTGACATCGCAGTTCTGCACTTTAGCGGATCCGAATGCAAGCCTTGGACGTTGCTTTTCTTATGTCTCATTTGCCGTTGATTTAATTTAGCTTATAGCCTCTTCATGATTAATGACCGGCTAGTCGAAACACATTACATCAAGCCTGTTTTTGTGATCTTGTTTTAAAAATAACCCTGTTTCTGCAACCTTGTTTCTTTGTCTACTTCTACCCGAAAAAGCCAATCTTGATCTTCTAATATCCGACGCATTAGATTCGCAGACACATAAAGACGACTGGCATCTGGAGAAGATGGCCATGGAGCTCAAAAAGTTGCAGGACATGTATGGAGACTGGATGCATGAAAAGAGTTCCTAGTGATTTTTAGCGTTGAAATCGTAGTTGTTTCTTTTAGCGTTGTTGTACTAAGCACAAGTATAATTAAGAAAGTGGAGGCTCCTAGTACTACTGTAAGATGGTGTAGTTCCTTGTTAGTGTTGTTGGGTTCTTGTGTAATATGGCTTCTTAGGCAGTCAAGTAAGGACTGCAACACGGAGCGTACACGACATGGCATTAGGGTTGTTGCTTCTATGACTGGTCGTCGGCAAAATATGTCCCTACTCCTTTCCGATCATCGTGGTCCCTTCTCCTCTCCTATCATCGTGGTCCCTTCTCCTTCCGGATGAATAGAAGTATCCTCTTTCATGTTCTTCCGACAAAGCTCGGTGACGTGCGTAATCACATTGCAGAGAATATCGAATCGCACTTCAAGGAGACAACGGATACAACGCGATCAATAATGTGGCGGGCTGTCAAATATTGGCTTCAACTGTTGTTGAGGATCTATACTCCTGAGCCGGACAAGCAGTGAAAACGATTTTTCAGCGATGATCGTGGGGTGTGGAGCATCTGAGGAAGACTACGAGACGATCGTAGTTAAATGTTGGATGAAGATTGCACTTCAACTAGATTTAAGGGCAGGCTAAAGGTGCTTTTGTTGCCGTTTGTTATGGCTCTCCTAAGGGGGACAGCCATAACAAGCGGGATAAACGAACACCAAAAACCTACCTCTAATAGATACAGGGCTTCTCATATGGCCAGTAGTTCTTTTTCTAGCGATTCATGTTCAACCTGCTACTAGCGCAATTTGGAGGGACGAGCTCGGACAGCCTTATACATATTTAGATACTGATTTTGTTTCGCTTTTTAGCTACTTTATTCTTATGTTATCTGACCGAGACCTACTTCAAGCACACTAAATGATCACTTACAACTAGGGTTCACAGCCTTATATTATAAATTCATATTTTCGGGAGGTAAGCCAAGAACGTAATCGATATGAACTAAAGCGCCCCATCAACATGGATGAAGGCACATTTTGATGAACAAAAAGTTGTATATTGAAGTAGCTTTCCACAAGATTTCTACTCCACCAGAATGCTATACTGCCTACCCCTTTTTTCTAGTGTTGAAATGTTTATCGCAATGTTCGATATCCCTGCAGTCCCAAATCAAGAAGGTCATTACCACATGATTTACGACATTCCCCGTTCCAAGACGTCCCCGTTTAACTTATATTATAAAGATGTTCTTCTTTTTTACGCATAATATGCAATCATGGATCTCCTGTACTCGCGCCTGCATCATAATCATCCAACTGTAAGATAGAAATGAGAAAAGGATGTGCGCCACGCCCAAGGCGCACCTGCACTGCGTCTTGATCAACATGATTACGTACGATGGACAAGGATAGAGGCATTGAAGTTCCTTGTGCTGGTTCGTACGAAGGAAAATGATGATCTTGAGGTGATGTAATGCCGCGTTTATGTCGGTCCGCCTATTTTTGAAACGCTCAAGGAGGGAGTAAAGAGTTGACAGCTCAACAGTTTTGCACGAGGAATGAAGAACACCAGAAAATAGCTCTACATCGGTGCATCGATATGCCTATCCTATTTTCATTTCTTTGCGTGGAGGAAATTATATATATAATTACGACTGATAAAAAAGCATAGACTATAGCTATAGCGGTCGAGGATCGCACAAGTGGGACATAGCATTTCCCGAGCTTGGATTCGTGGAGAAAGAGTTTGCGACGCTGGGAGGCTTGGCGGAAGACTTTTTTAAGACATATTTTACTGGTATTCGTTTCTGTTTCATTCTACTTACTCCAAAGGCAAGGTCAGTGGGGCTTCATTTTACTTGAGTATTAACGCAAAGGCTGCGTACTAGTAGGCGGCCCAACATCTTACGTCAACTGACTCCAAATTATACTGCAAAAGTAAGATGATAATTGCAGGAGTCTGTCCTGGAGGTTCTCTTTTTAAACAGAATCGACACAAACTAGAAGTATGATAGGAAGATTTAGATTGCGAAGAAGATCAGCACTACGTCACGACCTCTTCTAATTCTCACACAAAGAAGGGAATCAATGGCAGAAAAGATGGCATTCTGCAAAAAATAAGGATACGGCGCAGGTGGTTACGTGCCGCCAGGTGTGGAGTCTGTAGCCAATTCGGTTGTAGAAGAGGATGCTGACACTAACGCGGCAAGGCGTCGTGGTCCAGATCCCGTGGAATCGTTTTGCTTTTGTTGTTATACACAAGAGGCAGAAGAATTTCCTGGGACCGAGAAAGTGAAAGTCCTACTACTAGAAGCTTTCAAGCAGCAGTCCAGACGATGTGGAGACGTCGGGCAGAAGGAGAACTGGTGCAAAATATCATGAAAGCTCTGGCTTTCGGCTTAGAGCAAGGTTTCTTCGTAGAGCAAGGTACGACAAGCCTAGTAGAGCCTTGCGTGTGTCAGCAAAGACGAAGTTGCCAAAGTTGTTGATGCAGCAAAACGACCAAGGATCCCCTACGGCGAACATACGGATTACACTGGGTTCACATTCCTATGGCGATCTGGAATGAAATTCCTATCCTTGGAGACGACGAATAAGTCGTGAGAATGCAGGAGACTCAATAGAACTCTGGGCCTGGAGGTCGGTGGAAAAGCAATCTGCACAGGGTTTTGGATTAGGAGGGGAGGGGGAGGAGGAGGGGACTGCTTCTGTAGAGGAGGAGGTGGAGGCGGACGCTGCTGCTGTTCCTGTAGAAAACCCGGGTCTAGAGGGCAGGAACACGAAGCAGGGGGCTGCTGCTGCTCATGCACATGCTCCTGTAGCTGTAGGCTCCAGTATTGAAATGCGACAAACGAAAAGGCCAAGTCAAGAACGTTGATCTCCATCGCATTCCTTACAGGTCCTAAACGATACGACGCCAATTGATCTTGGAAGGTATACAAACAAGAACAAAAGATAACTCGGGGGGCATCAGAAGTGCTGGAGAACATCCGTATAGGAAAGCATGAACAAGATGATCACGAAGGCAGCATAAACAAGATGATCACCAACTAGGAAATCGAGATGGGAGCAACGACACGTTTGCAGCCTTCGTGGAGGTCTACTTAGATATAACCATAATCTGTTCGATGAAATTTGGCAAAGATCTTCTTTCTTTGTATCTCTAGCAATACAAAAATGTCGTGATCCGAAGAACGTCATGAGAGCGGTTCTCCCGAGTTCATGAGAGCGATCCAGATCGTATTTCCAATTTAGCAGCTTCTGTTGAGGTTGAGTGTGAGTTGCAATATCTGTTGCAAGAGACGAAGTTGCAAAAGATCCGCCTTTGCATGCGTGCTACAGACTCGTAAAAGCTTTTTTGCTAGATTGATGCAAAGTTATCGAACTAGTGCCCTACAACCCTTGCTCAATGGTTGTCGCCACAGCCACAAAACTATGCCATCCAGCCGCCCACCCTCAAGATTTCATCCCCTGTAGATGAACCCTTTCACGAGTCGGCTCAGTGGTTGCTTGACGCAGGCGCCTTCCTTCTCTTCGTTCCCTCCTGCTCTTACCGACTGATGAAGGCAACACCACTGTTGTAGTCCACGTCAGGAAAACCGACTGACTCAATACTACCTTAGTCACTGAAAGAAAGGTCACTGACTGAGGTAGTACCACCGTCTTCACGGCCAGAAAAACTTTTTCTGTCTCATAATTGGGGATATCTGATACTGATGGGTCACTAAAAAGGCCACCGTCACGGGTACGAAGATACTTCCTCGTCTTCTAGTTCCACGACGATTCGTTGGACTCGAAAATCTCATTATAAGCGCAATTCTTTACTGCTACAAAGCTAAAAATGATCTACTACTAATACTACCTAGTGCTTTCATCGCAATATCAGATTTGACCGAGCTAATCATTCTGAATACGAAAACAATTAAAATTTATTAGAAGAGAAATGATAGTGCTCTTCGTCAAACTTTTAATACTCGACAAAGATAAACTACAGGGTCATCAAGAAAACAGAAGTCTAGTGGGGTCATTCGTAGAATTAGATATCATGGTGTCAGACGAGCTCGAGTGTATGCGGTGTAGATAGAAAATCTGTTCTTTCTAATAAACCACGCTATTCAATCTGCAATAAACCACGCCAAATCGTACTTTTGCAGCTTTGTAGTGCGCTTGCTCAACCCTCTCAACAAGGCAATCCAATAAGTATACACGAGCAGGCATCGAATAGACACGAGAAGCCCCTGCGCTAGTCGTGCAAAACGATCACGTCAACAATCATGGAAAGCACCCGCCTGCATCGTTTCTAAAACCTTTTATGTACTTATGAAATTATCGCACGACCGAGACCGAGTACAGTGTAAAAATAAGAATAACTCGAAAAACTCAACTTCGATATCTTGGTAAAAAGCTGTACAACATCTTCAGCTTGTTCGTGACATTGTAACAATCGCACCGTAGCTGCAGCTTGCTCTTCTTCTTGTTGACAGTGTTGTTGCACCATGATTGCTGTGCCAGGCATCTGCAGCCCTTGCTTTCGAAGTCGCATCCTTCCTGTAGGAAATCGAAGTTTTCTCTTTATCTTCGTACCCTCTAGGACTAGGCCCAATTTCTTGCACTACCTAGTAGTAGTAAGGTCTACTTTGTTGTACGTGTACCGGTAAACTGAAAATCGAGCTAGTGCTCCACTTCTAGACGTCTAGACATCATACTTGTCCGCAAGAAGACAAACATACAACACTGTGAATTCGAGTTCGAATTGCTTTTTGCAGCTAGTCTCATGAGGTTCTGTCATGACTACTTGGTTCGAACGAGTACTTCATAGCGCACAAGCGAGTCTCAAAACCTCCAGTAGAGACACGATTTGATGCTAACTGCTGCAGTCTGTTCCAGCCCAAATTTCTCGTTTTTTCCACTCGTCTTTCGTGTCAACTTCCTCCGCTTGGTCTCTTTGTTACCTCTCGAATGGGTACACTACTACTACTACAGGAACATCGTGCTTCGCGCCGCCTCATCATGTAGTACTCTGTTGTCAACAGCCGCTTGTAGTTTATTTAATTTGTTCCTCCTGTGCTGTAGTTTTGGACACTCTCAGTTCTTGGAACAGCATCAATAGTGCTGATGTTCGACGTATAATTTCAAGTCTAGGAGGTACAACACTTCTATGTACTTTGTAAGTAAAAACTTCAACTTCTAACGACTAGTACAGCAATACTGTTATTTCAACTCTCTATGTACAAGAAGGGATATTCATCCGATCTTGACGCTACTGCAGAAGTACACAACATTGGTATACACTCAAGATTATCAGATTTGAAATTTTTTTTGATTCGCAGAATGAGCATCTTCTAGTTGTATGATTTCACAATCAACAATGGTATACAAATACATTAGAGTAGATAAAATAAATACCCAGCCGCGACAGACTCTCCTATGAGGCGGGTGTGCTTGATGAGCATGAGCATGAGGGTGTAATGTTTTCAACTATTCAATAATGGTATACAACGTTCTCAACATCTCAAAGATTCACAACTTTTCTTCATTTCCTCTATTTTCATCATCTTCTTGGAAATTTAATAGCAAAGAAAACTCCAACAACAGCAGGCACATAGAGGAAGAAAATCGCCTGTACAACTGGAAAATTTTCTCACTCACGGCCTGCCAAACGCGGCACCCAGTCGACGCTTTTCGGCGCTCAAATTTGACGTGACATTGCTGGTCGTCGATCCTGTACTTCCACCTGTGGAGCAACAGCAGAGCCAAGTGAAGAACGTCACCCCGAAATTAGAAACAACTTCTCTTGTCTTTTTCTTTCGGGTGACTTTGGAGATGAATTCCCTACACACATAAATTATCAAGTAAGTAAAAAGTAAGTAACAAGTTACAACTAGTACTACTAGTCAGTGCCAGGAGTGGTACGTAGTGGATTAGAAAAAGAATATTAAAATAAACTGGATGTTGTGGATTCATCTTGTGACCGAGTACTGGTACGTGTGGTACCACGTACCAGTAGTATTATTTTGATGGTTTAGTCCCTCCGAATAGTTTTGTGGTAATGAAGATTGTGTAGTTTCGTCCACTGAAGATCATAACAGCGATGAGGACGAAGACGAGGAAAGCGTAGCACCATACCGGTCCATACACATCTTGCGATTCTTGTTGTCGGGCGTTCGCTGAAGAAATTATCAAGGATTGATTTGTATTTTTTTGATGCGCGTACTACCCATTCATGAGGTAAACGGGCAAGGAGAAGGAGCTCTATTCACTTGACAGAATTCATCACTATCATAAATGCAAGAAACCGTAGAGATTCCAGCGCACATACTAGAGAACAAGTACCATCCGACAGGAAAAGGAAAGTTGGATTGCTCCGTTGAGGCGCTTCTTCGATACCACCGTAGGGAGGACAATCATAAGGACAATCCTCCATGTCTGAGTCTCCTTCGCTGACGTAGCCTTTTGTTGATTAGAACTTCAATATATTTTGAGGGGATACGATAGATTCGAGTTCTAGTTGTACATTGCATGAAGGGAAGATAGACCTAGAGTATAGTTCTGCGGGGAGGTCGGTGCCCTGTGGAAGCAATGTGATTGAGTGACTAATTCTTGACTGATTGATTGACTTCTCAGCATTATTTTTAAGGGGATTCTACTCGTAGTACAACATTGATAGATAGGTTTCTGGGCAATGACTACATTAATGCTCCACCCTGCTCCACGACATAGGAAATCAAATGATTTATTAAAATTCCTCGACAATGATCAACATGATGCTGAAATTGAAAATCAAAATTAAGAACTCCCATCCTTAATCTATGTCTCCTGCCTCGTCTGCATCTTCGACAGGCGTCCCGAAAATGCCTGCCTCCGCGTATGCATCCGTACGTGCTAGAAGAAGATCATGGTGCGGTTCTTCGTATGCGCTATGATAGTCGTTCCCTGCTTCCAGCAAAGCTTCTTGGACATCCTCTACCTGGATCTTTTTCTTAGATCTAATCCACAAAAGTCTAAAACAGGAGTCCCTTTGTTTTCTCTAGCGATCCAGTACTGTATACTATAAACAGTACCTTTCCTCTAGCGATCCAGTTGTACTGTATTTACTATTCAGGGAAACATGATGTAGTACAACACAGAGAGAGAGAGAGAGCCATAATTTCCGCGTTGTCTTCGTCCTCTGAGTAGCTGATGTCATTCAGCGAGATACTGGAGAGGGAGAACTTGGACATCTTCTTGCAAGTGCCTGCTGCTTCTCTCCTCTGCATACAGTTTGTGGAAGTAGCCCAAATATCGCGTATAGCCTTGCTACTTCTCCTGCTGCTTCTCTTTCTTTCTTCCGTGCCCAGTAGATCCTGGAGTGACTGCACGTCCTCTAGTAGTTGTACTTCTGGTGCAACGACCAGTTATGGATAAAGTATGGAGTTCTTGTTCTTACAATAAATCTGATATACAGGGATGTTGAGGTCGTGAACTTGATAACGAAAACGAGGATGATGAACTTGTTGTAGTTGTAACATGAATCAAGAACTTGTTCATCCTCAAAGTTCGTGTAAATATCTCTACTTTCCCTATTGGCTTCTCCCTTCGTTCACGTACTGACTCCTAGGTTTTGGTTGAGGGAAATGAAATTTTTGGATGGATTTTGCAACACGTACTTCTATACTCACATACAAGCGGGGTCGAAATGGTGGTGGATGAGGTGGATGTGAAACACAAAGGGTACAAGTTGTTGACAGAGAGACGAAGTCGGCACCATCAGTCGATAGAAGTGACAGACATTCTGCCGACGAACAGATGTCCTCTTGTTTCTTAACCGATGAACTTGAGTCTAAAGATCGAGCTCCTAGAGCTCCTTTCTCACTTCGAACAGAGCTTATTCCCTTCTGCGAAATTCCAATTCAAACTGAACTTGTCTGATTCTTCATCTTCCTCGCATGTACGACCACTACATCTTTCCTCAGTACGAGAATATTCCCTAGAAGCATTTCTTGCTTTGCCCGCTTACACGAGACGAGGCACACCGTTCGGGGACGATAAAACATAGAAGGTTCGTTCAAATTCAATCCTAAAAACTATCGAAACGACCTGTCCGTAGAAAGCAATCATAGTAGAGTGATTGTGCCACGAAGAAGGATTCTAAAAATTCAGTGTTAACAATAATAACATGTACATGGATGTCTTTGTTGTATTGCTCGTCCCACGCCCTCATGCTCATGCGCTCTCAATAAAATTGAAATCCTTTTGAGGTGCTGAGGTTTTCTACAGCTTGAGGACCTTTCGTGTTAACAATTCATTTTCGTGCGTCTTCATCTGCTTCTTCGAAGGAGGTTGGAAAAACATCGTAGTAGACCTGCTTCGGACACGGAGCAGCAGATACACCAAATCTTCACGCTGCTCCTCGATTCTTCTAGTACTCAGGCGTAGTTCAACTAAGTTGCGATGATTCGATTGCTCTAGTCGCCTCTCAAAATGACCAGATTGCCACATTACTGCTCCTCTTCACAGATAGACAATCACCGCTCCTCGATTCTGATGATTGCCACTAGCAGTCACGTCGTCTGCGAACTTTAGGTTCGCTCTTCGTAAAAACCCCTTCACGGCAGGACCAATTTTGGCTCGATGGTTTTCGGAATTTTAGAAGTAGAAGTGGAACGAATCAATCTCCAACAAAAGAATTTCATTTCCTGAGAAGATGTTTTCTGCTTTTGAAATTCTATGAGTTCAAACAATTGAGAAGTTTAAGTATGTGTGCTGATGCTAATCAATCACCCGGATACAATGTGCTGCTCTGCTGCTTGATCATCTCAATGTATCTAGAATACTGAAACAAGTCTAAACCATTTACGTACTGAAGAGAACGAGAACGAGAAAAATACTCTATGATCTAGGACAAGAACGATCCCCAAAACCTACAGAAAAAAGTAGAGGTGTATAAAAGGAAGAGGTGTAATATACAATTACTTCCCTAGTTACAATAGGACTAACAAAAATTTGGCCATTAGAAGTTGTAACCCAGAAGATGTATATGATTCTTGTGCTCTTCTTGATGTCCTACACCTACTTCATACACCTACTTCATCCACTAGTCCATAAGAGTGATTTCCCTGTCCAAATACGACACAGACTTGTTTCTCATTAGAGGTAGGTTTTTGGTGTTTGCTTACCCCGCTTTTATTTATGCCTTTCTCTCTTAGGAGAGGCATAAAAAGCGGTAAGAAAAGCACCTTTAACCTACCCTTAATCTCAGTTTTGTTTTTGCTGAAGGTATCCAAAAACGCTTCCAACACCTCTTCCGCCTCGCGGACGTACAGCCCATGCAAATCCAGCTTCGGATACCGCCAGGTCGATAGGATGAAGGTGGAAGACGAGAGAGTATACTCCTTCCTAGGAAGGGAAAAACTAGCGAGGGCGTACTAGAGAGAAAAGGAAGAGAAGACAAGGAAAAAGGGAGAAACAAGAAGGGATGACTCAGACGAGGTGTCAGGCTCTCATCTTACTAGTTCCAGGCTCTCATCTCAGTTCATCGTGTTTCAACTTCGAAACAAAAACGAAGTATTGCTGCATTCACCCTCCTGCTTGAGTTGTACTTACGTACAAGAAGTAGTACGTACAACTACACGCTTGAGTTGTACTTATACGTACAAGAAGTGCGTACAACTACACAAGAACTCATCATGGGGCATAAAATTCTGCAGCATCTGAACCAGAGGTTTGTAGTCTCCCTTGCTTTCGTCTTTCTCCGGCATATTTCCTATAGTTGCTCTGGGCTGAAGCTGTGGTCGGATAACCTCGATCGCTGCGAGAGATTAGAAGGACGCGCATGATTAGAAGGACGCGCATCAAAGAAATGGTAAGTAGATATTCAACACCGACATCGACGTCGTGGTTCTAAGAAAGACCGTCTGTTTGAACGATCGTAATGCGTCCACGCTTGATACGTCTACCTACCCTAAGAACACAGCTTCATCCGTGTCCCAACGAAAGCCAAAAGACCGCTACTCTTCTTCTTGTACCCTTCTTCTACTATCACTCTCAAACCTTAAAGACAATTCGCCTTTTCCATTCGTGCCCTTGCTGCCTTCAATTCCTTACTGTAATCGGACGCCTTGCCCTTGTCTCCTCGTTGCCATGGTTAGAGGCTCCGTCATCGCATTCTTCAATACAACATCCCTGACCCGGAAAAAGAGTCTGTGTCAGGGATGTTGTTACAACATGCTTTAGTGAAGGCTGTAATGTGAAAACCCTTAACACGCCTGTTGACTCTGCTCCGCATACAAGGCCATCTTATCCCCTGCCTCGTGCGCCTCTTGACGGTAGGCTTCTTGGGATGAAGTTTGCCTAGAACTACAACATCACAAATAAGTAGAGGACATCTTCTTGTTATTTTTACCGCATATTAAATTTCTATTTCAATTTCTTCTACGAGCAGCATAGAAAGCAGCTATCTGCATATGATTCATATTCTAAGTACTCAGCAAGCTGCATATTGATATCCAAATTCTAATTGATTCATTCCCAACTACACCTCCAGCAGATGGATTCATGTTTGATTTTCTAAATTCTAATTGATTCTTCCATTCCCAACTACACCTCCAGCAGATGGATTCTTGTTTGATTTTCTAAATTCTAATTGATTCTTCCATTCCCAACTACACCTCCAGCAGATAGATTCTTCATAAATATTTGTCGCCGAAGTATCGCTCTCCCGTGTCTTCGTATACTGCTTGGCCGTAACGATTTGGAGTTACACTCCGTTCTCCTCGATCCGGACTCAGGGTCGTTCGCTGCCCCTTTCGTCCTCTGTCATTGTCTGGGGTGCGGTCGTCCCGCGACCCACAACACAGCAGATTACCCATTTTCTTCTAGTCCTTGTTGTTGTAGTGGTTGGGTACGGCTTGTTCTCTTGGTTAAGATGACGAAGATGAAAGGAAATCTATTTATCATAGATGATTGATTCAACAAGAAATAGGGATGACTGAGTGTGACAATGACGTAGATCTACGTGCTGATGCTTTTTTGAAAGAAAGAATCACATAACAATGTCAATCCTGCTTTTTGACCAGTGAAGAAACGCAAGAGATGAAGAAGATATCCGTTTTTCATTTTTCCAATTTTATGTTGCACTTCCAAGTAGTACAACGCTTCCTGCTTTTCATATCGAGTAGTTCAACGCAGTAGTACGAGCCTCATCCATGGTCTTGTCTCAGCATCTCCAACGCTAGCTGGAGGCACTATGTTTGTGCCACCTCCTCCACAGACGCTTAAAGGAGCAAAAGTTCAACAATCTGTATAAGTCTTTCTCTGCCTGCAGCTTGTCCTCGAGCTCGAGATGCCCTCAGAAAGAAGCAACCAATGTGACGTTCTCGATTTTTTTTTCTTTCCTGCTCATTTCAATAGTCTGTACACAAACAAGAACCTATTGTCTTTCTGCTGAGCCTTTATTCTGCCGCACCGGCACTTGGAGTTGCGGTGCTGTGTCTGAACTCTGAAATATAAATTTTATTTAAAGAGTTTTTTTTGCGCATGTCTCAGGACTTCCGTCACTGTCCGCCTGATCGTCTGCCTGACGGCACTCTCCCCAACTTTTGATACAAATCTTCTTCCAGCTTGCTTCTGCGCAGGTGACAGCATGTTCCAGACCTTGTCCTTGTTCTTCTCTAGGAAGAGATCCGGCCGGTGCCTTACTGGTGAAGATGAAGAGCCTGAAAAGCCTTTAGCGAAGTCTGAGAGCATTTGAGGCCATTTAGACGTGGTAACGGCAAATTTTCGAAATGCGGCGCTCTGGAGTAAGAGGTCTTTTAGGCCACGTTCGAAATGCCGCTCGTGTTGCGCAAAGAAGGTGCGAAAAAAGAAAAACGGATTCATCTTTTTCTTCAGAAGATACTTGATACTATAGTAGAAGCGAGAGTGAGATTGAGTTTGAGAAGATTCTGATGAGATAATTCTGATCGTGAAAAAAAAATGGGAATATTTCCAAGACTCCAGCAATGTAGGTTCTTCCTCATTCCAATGATGTCTGGTGCGCATCCAGAATTACGAAAAACAGCAAATCTCAAGTACTAACATTAGATTATTTCATTCAGTCAGTGCTAGAAGATGAAGATCGACGTTTATTTCATTCAGTCAGTGCTAGATGAAGATCGACGTTTTTATGACAGGATCTGCTGATCAAGACTTACTTTTGTTGCATGTTTTTTGTCCCGATAGCGATAGACCCGCTATTACTGTGGTCCAGCCGCCGACCTGCGAACACTGCCTGCCTCCACATGCGTCAAGACACTACCTGCATGACCAAAAAAGTGCTTTTTTTTTGATTACATGATTGGAAGTCCACTCCTTCCGTCCTTTTTCTCGTCTGTCAATCACATGCAGAGCCACGTCGTGGAGCGAGGTCCTGATATTATTATCATTATTATGATCGCGCGCGCCCCTATAATAGACAGAGTTATAGTCGTGGGTGTTCTCGTTCGTTCCCTTTACTCCTTGTCATGTCATGCCACCTCTTGTGTAGCTATAAGTGTCTACCTGTGAGGCCCTCCAGTAATACAGTACCGCCAGAGGAGAGACATACCACCGGTTATATGTATTGCTTGGTAAAGTAACCACAATTGAACATGACAACAGAAGAAGCCAGCCTTTTGATTCTGAAGGTTGTTTCCCTCTCATCATGAAACTCAATTACATGAACACATGAAGATACTACTTCATACATCTCCTGTCCTTTCTACAACGAACTTAGAATTAAAAGTCACTTTCTTGCGACGACACCCTCTTACTCTTTTTTACCACCACTGCACTGCACCTCCTCTAGGTTTTCACAACAAGTGTATTTGCTTCTAGCTCTCCCGCACCTTTTGGAGGGTCAGCAGTTTCAACATCCGCGTCCTCGGAGAAGCTGTCGAAAGAGCCGTCGAAGAAGCTGTTTTTTTCGAGCTGCTTTCTGATTTTTGTTATTCTTAGAAATGCCTCCGCGACCCCCTCCAGAGGATATTGAAACTGCTGACCCTCCAAATAAAGGTACGGTAGAGCTAGAAGATCCGCCCTGTTGTAGTTTGTGCGGATCCTCGCCCTCACTTTCACCATTGTCCCAGCCGAACATTTGCAACGTGTTGACGCGGTGTTCGAGCTCTTTCCAGAGGTTCCGTTCTTCCTCTACTTCGTGTTCGGGGTCATCTTCTTCTGGCATTAGTCCTGCTTGCTCTTCTCCACCATCTTGCTCTTCCAGCACCTGCACCAGGTTTTCGGGCTTAAGAAAGAACTACTGGTTCTTTGGCTTCACCTGTGTCCCTTACGCGATTACCACTACCGCTTTTGATGAGACTCTGGGCAGCATAGCGACCGCTCTCATTCAGGTCTTGCGTTACTCGTCCTCGGCGTCCATTGAGCCCTTGACGATTCTGTAGACCTGTGACCTCCACGAGGTCAACCACTTTCATAATGCTCCAGCACACCTGCAGGTTTACGGGTTTAAGGAGAACGAACTCGCTCGAATTTAGTGTCGGCTGAGGGCTTTTCTTCAGCACCGTCCTGCCGAAGGGTCTGCACTGCAAAGCGACCGTTCTCATTCAGGTCTTGCGTTATCTACCCTCGTCGTCCATTCAGCTCTTGACGATTCTGAAAAGAGATGAAGGATTTATATCGAAGAACAAAGTTATTTTGGTCCACCATGGTACTACGCATACAACACTAATACAACATCCGGCCCATACTGAGCCCTCGGGTCACGACTAGCTACTTCTTACTTCTTCCTATACAAGTATCTATAATGAATTCCTATGGAAGATGGTGTATCTTCAGATCTTGGAGATACCGTGATCTGTGATAGATCTCTCAATATAGCCTGTGATAGCACGGTCTATGATGGACCTTTTAGTGATTAATATTTCAGAAGAATCTTTGAGGGATGAATCTTGCTTTCTTCAGGGATCTTTGAGAAACAAAGGGATCTAGTATATGGGATGTTTTCAATGTCCACTTTCATCTGGATTGAAATTTATCATGCGTACTGTTGTAAGTGTCCTGGTAATCATGTTAGCACTAAGAAAGACAAGCAATGGGAATACAACTACTGAATTGGGCAGCACTTTCCGTCCTCAATCCCACATCTTCTTCACGTCTCTCCCTCTCTCTCCCTCTCTTTGTCTCGCGCTGGTGGGTCATCTCAGATTAGTGTTGTCTACGACTTACCGATTAATTGCTTGATGTTCGATGGTATCTGTCTACTGTAATGAGTGATTGATTGACTTTTCCTTGTGTCATCTAAATGGTTCACTGACAGTGACAGATCGATCCTCGAGACCGACTGCTTCACTTATGACCCTCAGAAACAAGGCTCATTATTTCGAACACAGCTACTGAACAAGAACTACTAAACGGGACTTCTTTGGTGATGATCCTAATGACTATGACCAACTTGGCGTTCCAAAAAGGATGCTGATGAAGATTTTGCTTCGAGTCTTTTCTTCAAGCCTTTGGACCGCACAGAGGAAGTTGAAGCATTCCTTTGTTCAACGACGACACCTCAAAGAGTATTTACGTCGAAGACCACGAGCGTCAACTTGTTTCTTCGGCTTCTAGGTCATCACGTGTAGTTGTATCAGCAACAAGTCTCATGATGGTTGCTACCGTAGAATTGGAGGAAAAGTTACGTCTCAGTCAGTCATAGTCGCCAATGATCATTCTATTTCCACTTTGCGAGAAGATAATCCCCCAAGTTCATCTATCTTTCTGGCATTCAAGTCCATCTATCTTTCATTCTATTTCCACTTTGCCAGAAGAAAGCTCATCCTCTAAGTTCCTCTACTAAAAAGCGTGTATTCTTCTTCCGTCTATGTAGATAGGTCTGCCGGTTCGGGTTCCTGTAGATGGGAAGTAGTTAGTACTAGGTAGTTAGCACTTGCTGCAATTCATTAGTCGGGAGTTCTAGTTCCTTCTCGTAGTGTATTCTTAGACCTTCAAGTCTACTTGCAATTCATTAGTAGGACCATCCCTTAGCTGTAGATTACAACTTGCTGGCCCTATACAGAAGATATAGTTCGTCCTTTCATAATCTGTTCACCTTAATACAACAAGTCAGTACATCAGTACAACCTTCATCTCATCAGTACATCAAGTGCTAGTGATGTAGATGCACGTAATGATTATGACATGTAGCACCCGAACCAAAGTAGGGATCGTATTGCACAGCCCGACTCCTAGTCACGATCATCATGCGTGGATGGTGTCTAACCCATGATGCCAGACCATCCTCGAGGCACTTCTAGTGTGCTCGTAGTTCCCTAGAAGTTTATGAGCTTACATCAACATCATCGATCATCACACCTTCTAGCAGTAGGCACTTTATCGTATCTCCCAAAACACCAAAAATTTCCTAGAGGACGACATCACCATCTCCTTTAGTGCCGCTAGTATATGGTTTTACTCCTCTTTTTTGTTCATTCTTCTTACTTAATACTTCTTTATTAGCTTGTAATTAAACATCTTCATCTTGTTGTAAATTTGGTGGACAAGGAACTAACATGATCATTTAAAAAAATCGTTACAGATAACTCGAGGTTGTAGTAGTAGTAGTAGTAGTAGTAGTGTGCCCATTCATGGGGTATAGAAGATGAATTAGTTGTTTGCTCCTTCACGTTTTTGTCTACTCCTCGCTTCTTTTCCCTTTGCATCGGGCCAAGAAGATCCGCCAGACCTCTTCGCCTTACTCATCAGGAAGATCAAGCCTCTTTCAAGTGTCACCTCTCCATCAACTTCCTGCAAGGGTTGGAGTTTTCCTGGTTATTCTTACCTCCTTCTATTGAAGCAGGCTTCTTTCAAGTGTCATCTTTTCATCAACTTCCTGCAAGGGTTGGAGTTTTCCCATCATGATCTTAGATCACCTCGTCATCCTGCAAGAGGCCTTCTTCATCAGAGTCACTGCTCCAGAAGTTATCTTGAGCAGCAGCAGCATCAGCGGCCTTATCTTGAGCAGCAGCACCCTTGTCGTGCTTCTTACTCTTGCAGTAGAAGTAGATTCCAATAGCTGCCGCGAGGACAGCCAAAGTCGGAAGCACCACAATCAAAGCGATTTGCCAACCTGCAAGACCTTCATCGTTGGCTGGTGGAGCAGGGTCGGCGATCGGAGCAACGGGCTCGTCTTTCGCCGGTTCCTCAGTGATCGCAACGATTTCACCTTCAAGCGGGACAAAAAAACGCACCTTGCGAAGTTCGCGCACCAAGAGGGTAGTTGGCTCTCCGTTGATGCGGAAGATGACCAAATTGTTGCGGATAGAGTGGTTGCGAACAGCGTTGAACATGCGCGTGAGATTCTTTTTTATCGCCGCCAAAAAACCCCCTTCAAACAGCTTGTTGCGGTTCAATTGGTCGAAGACCAATTCTTTGAGCTTTTTCACCGCCTTAGCACCATCTTCAGTGGTGAAAACACCAAAGAAGCTCTCCGCCTGCAAAGCGTACATCCTCATCAAAGTCTTCAACAAGTGACCCTTATGGGCATCTACAAACTGACGCTCCGCCTCAGGACGATCAAGGAGTTTCCCTTCCCCTGCCGTTAGAGTGATTTCGCTTCCATCAGCTTCTTGGTACCAAAGACCACCCGGAAGCTTGATAGATTTGCCACGCACGTCCACCTGTCGGCCACTTGGTGCACCACGGAGGTCCAGAGCTTCCGGCGTAATTCGCGATCGTCTCTCTTCCTCTGCCTCTCGTGCCCACTCAGCCGTGCGATCAGCTGCGGCGCGAGCACGCTGTTCTGCAATTGCCACAATGCCAGTTTCCAAGCCCATATCGTCACCCACTGTGTGCGGGATTCTGGTACGAACGCTCGGGACGCCTTGGGCGTTCAAAGGGACAATGGCAGCACGGAATGCACCTTCCCAGGCGTTTTTAAGCACGGAGTCCATCTCTTTGTGCATGTTGCGAATATTGGCGTCATTTGCACGTTCCGCCAACATAAACTGCGTCATTTTATACGTAACGTGATGCATAGCGTCAACGAGGTAATCCATCTGGTTCTCCGAAAAAAGCAGCTCCTTGACGATCAATCGGAGCACAGCAGCAGACTCCTTCAGTTTCAACAAACGCAAGAGAGCGAAGGTGGATGTCTCGTCGAAGCGGAAGAGAGAAGAAAAGGTGGCTTCGAGGAAAGAGGTACGCATCTGGTGCAACTTGCTGTTCGAAAGAACGTAGATGGTATACTGGGGAGTAGAATTCTCAGTCTGGGCATACAGCATGCTCTTGGCATTCTTAGCGAAGAGCTGAGCAACCTCCTGCACCTTCAATGCAAATTCTCGATCGAAGATATCCTCGAAAATGCTCAAGTTCTGAGACACAACGCGTTCAACCAAGTCGACCAACTCCAAAAAGTATCCACGGTTGTCGTGGGGGACGTCCTGTTGCCCTAGGGCACGTCCGAAGTTATCTTCGGTGATTTTTTTCTCCAGAGCGTTCCAAGCCTCTGCGTACGAAGTAGCACCATAATCGCTCTTAGGCACTGCGACCATGTCTTGGACTTCATTGGTTGCTCCGTCGATTGTGAGGGTGACTTGATCATTTCCCTTGACAGCAGCTCCCGGGGCCCCTCCCGTCGTTCCAGCGTGTTGTTCAACGCGCGCGGTCAGCATCTTTCCGAAAATACCAACTTGAGGGTCATTATGGTCCTTTGTTGCCTTGAACAACACCTTTGCCGCATGCCAGATCTTCTTCCATCCCTGAGTGCTGGAGGAACCGAAAATCTCTTCCTTGACGTGCTTCAGCAAGATCGGAGCAATCGGACTCTTTGCGAGTTCGTGCATCTGGGTCAAAAGGTGACCCAAGCCGTGCTTGCGCATGGCGGCAACGTCCATCTTTTGGACGCTCTCGAGCAAGGGGAGCATACCATTGGTGCCCATGAACTTAACCAACTGCAACACCTGGAGGTTTTGTTGAGTACAGCGGTAAAAAGATGAAATCGCGATCACATAGAATCACATAGATATCGTCTTTTTTACTCCTCAGAAATAAAGAGCTGTATAAAAAATATTAGGTTATACCACAGGCGTGGCCTTCTCAGTGAGCTCTTCGGTGATAGTGCCCTTGAACCAATCCGTTTCCACCGACGGCGCTCCGACTTTGTCTGCGATAGCGCTCACAAACCCCTTCTTGAAGCAGTCGACACCTCCGTTTTCTTTGCACACCTCGCTAGCACTCACCATGCTGTTCACAGACGCCCTCACCTCGTCAACCTGCAAAGCATTTTTTACAGCAGCAACCCACGAGTCTTGGTGCATGCGACCACTGCGGTTATCGACGACGCCCTTGACTTGGTCATTGGTGAGCAAAGTGCCATTAAGAAACATAGACGAGTAGGTCTCCTTCGATTGAACCCAACCCTTTTCGACTTGCTCGTACGGAGGCATCGCGGTCGAGCTCGGAAGTGCCAAGCCACAAGTGGTTGTGGCGAGCAACAAAGTACAAGCAGTCTTCATTTTTTTCCTCTTTATACACGTTGATGTAGGAAGATACAAACGTTGTGCTAGTAGTAGCAGCAGTAGTAAACAAGGTCTTTTTGTTACAAGTAGAAAAAGCGATAAAACTAATAGCAGTAATTCTCCTTCCCGATGATAAGTAAATTCAAACGAAGTCAAAGTCTTGATGAAGTTTGAAGCTAGTTTTAGTAGTTGTTTTAACAGCTCGCAAGCGAGATGCTCTCTAGTAAGCGAAAGAGTTCAAAACAACGAAAATGGCTTTCTGCATTTCAGATTTATAGAAGATGCACATATTTTTGATTGTTTAGATCCGCTTTTTTCTGTATGACTACAATCTCAAATGATCTGTTGATAGGGCGGGATCTTCTTTCTTCTACCCAAGAAGGATCTTCGTCGTGCTGTGCTTAGCAACCACTTCAATATGGGGATCTCAGCTTCTTGATGATCTTGAACCAACTAGGGATCGAATTTTGTCATAGATGTAGATCTAGATCTCCTTTTCTTCAAGGACTTATAATAGGAACAATCGGATCATATTCGTCGTGATCTTCACATCTACATACGTCCTAGAAGCGGATCTTGTAACAGAACAACAATGTCCTAGAAGTCCTGCTGCGGAGTCACATAATGCCGCCAGCAGGAAACGACCACGAGTCGCCCTGGATAAGATCTTCTTGATTCTCCACCTTCATGCGTAGTTCCTTCCCCCGAACTGCACATCGCTTACAGCAGCTTCTTTAAGTCATGTCACTAAAAAAAGGACTAGGATGAGGATCGATCAAATCTTCATGCTCTTCGAAAGGTTTTTGCGCCTGTGCAACATCGATCTGCAGTTCAGTCTGCTAGTATAATGGTTTATTTACTCCTCTACTTTCATTCTTCTTACTTAAATAATACTTCTTTATTAATAGCTTGTAATTAAAAGTCTTGTTGTAAGTTTGGTGATGATCATTAAAAAAAGTCGTCAGATAACTCGTGGCTGATATAGATAACATCGAGCCAGCCAATATAATATTAGTCAAACAGGTTTTTTAGAAGGTAGGATAGATTGATGTTCAACAAGTAAGAGATGGATAGATGGTCATGGTTCTTTGAATGAAGAGAATAATTAGAAGTCTCCTATAATTTCATGTCCCTTCATGTTCTTTTTCGGCCTTCTATCCCATTCCTTCTACCTCGTTCCCCTTCTCCTTCTATCTTCTCCTTCTTTTGGTTATTACCTGCTTCCTGGTTAACACACATCGCGTCTCAAATGACTATACACAGTCATCGGCAAGACGAAACATTTTCCTGGTTATTCTTACCTGCTTCTATTGAAGCAGGCTTCTTTCAAGTGTCACCTCTCCATCAACTTCCTGCAAGGGTTGGAGTTCTTCCTAGAATTAGATCACCTCGTCATCCTGCAAGAGGCCTTCTTCATCAGAGTCACTGCTCCAGAAGTTATCTTGAGCAGCAGCAGCATCAGCGGCCTTATCTTGAGCAGCAGCACCCTTGGCGTGCTTCTTACTCTTGCAGTAGAAGTAGATTCCAATAGCTGCCGCGACGACAGCCAAAGTCGGAAGCACCACGATCAAAGCGATTTGCCAACCTGCAAGACCTTCATCGCTGGCTGGAGGAGCAGGGTCGGCGATCGGAGCAACGGGCTCGTCTTTCGCCGGTTCCTCAGTGATCACAACGATTTCACCTTCAAGCGGGACAAAAAAACGCACCTTGCGAAGTTCGCGCACCAAGAGGGTAGTTGGCTCTCCGTTGATGCGGAAGATGACCAAATTGTTGCGGATAGAGTGGTTGCGAACAGCGTTGAACATGCGCGTGAGATTCTTTTTTATCGCCGCCAAAAAACCCCCTTCAAACAGCTTGTTGCGGTTCAATTGGTCGAAGACCAATTCTTTGAGCTTTTTCACCGCCTTAGCACCATCTTCAGTGGTGAAAACACCAAAGAAGCTCTCCGCCTGCAAAGCGTACATCCTCATCAAAGTCTTCAACAAGTGACCCTTATGGGCATCTACAAACTGACGCTCCGCCTCAGGACGATCAAGGAGTTTCCCTTCCCCTGCCGTTAGAGTGATTTCGCTTCCATCAGCTTCTTGGTACCAAAGACCACCCGGAAGCTTGATAGATTTGCCACGCACGTCCACCTGTCGGCCACTTGGTGCACCACGGAGGTCCAGAGCTTCCGGCGTAATTCGCGATCGTCTCTCTTCCTCTGCCTCTCGTGCCCACTCAGCCGTGCGATCAGCTGCGGCGCGAGCACGCTGTTCTGCAATTGCCACAATGCCAGTTTCCAAGCCCATATCGTCACCCACTGTGTGCGGGATTCTGGTACGAACGCTCGGGACGCCTTGGGCGTTCAAAGGGACAATGGCAGCACGGAATGCACCTTCCCAGGCGTTTTTAAGCACGGAGTCCATCTCTTTGTGCATGTTGCGAATATTGGCGTCATTTGCACGTTCCGCCAACATAAACTGCGTCATTTTATACGTAACGTGATGCATAGCGTCAACGAGGTAATCCATCTGGTTCTCCGAAAAAAGCAGCTCCTTGACGATCAATCGGAGCACAGCAGCAGACTCCTTCAGTTTCAACAAACGCAAGAGAGCGAAGGTGGATGTCTCGTCGAAGCGGAAGAGAGAAGAAAAGGTGGCTTCGAGGAAAGAGGTACGCATCTGGTGCAACTTGCTGTTCGAAAGAACGTAGATGGTATACTGGGGAGTAGAATTCTCAGTCTGGGCATACAGCATGCTCTTGGCATTCTTAGCGAAGAGCTGAGCAACCTCCTGCACCTTCAATGCAAATTCTCGATCGAAGATATCCTCGAAAATGCTCAAGTTCTGAGACACAACGCGTTCAACCAAGTCGACCAACTCCAAAAAGTATCCACGGTTGTCGTGGGGGACGTCCTGTTGCCCTAGGGCACGTCCGAAGTTATCTTCGGTGATTTTTTTCTCCAGAGCGTTCCAAGCCTCTGCGTACGAAGTAGCACCATAATCGCTCTTAGGCACTGCGACCATGTCTTGGACTTCATTGGTTGCTCCGTCGATTGTGAGGGTGACTTGATCATTTCCCTTGACAGCAGCTCCCGGGGCCCCTCCCGTCGTTCCAGCGTGTTGTTCAACGCGCGCGGTCAGCATCTTTCCGAAAATACCAACTTGAGGGTCATTATGGTCCTTTGTTGCCTTGAACAACACCTTTGCCGCATGCCAGATCTTCTTCCATCCCTGAGTGCTGGAGGAACCGAAAATCTCTTCCTTGACGTGCTTCAGCAAGATCGGAGCAATCGGACTCTTTGCGAGTTCGTGCATCTGGGTCAAAAGGTGACCCAAGCCGTGCTTGCGCATGGCGGCAACGTCCATCTTTTGGACGCTCTCGAGCAAGGGGAGCATACCATTGGTGCCCATGAACTTAACCAACTGCAACACCTGGAGGTTTTGTTGAGTACAGCGGTAAAAAGATGAAATCGCGATCACATAGAATCACATAGATATCGTCTTTTTTACTCCTCAGAAATAAAGAGCTGTATAAAAAATATTAGGTTATACCACAGGCGTGGCCTTCTCAGTGAGCTCTTCGGTGATAGTGCCCTTGAACCAATCCGTTTCCACCGACGGCGCTCCGACTTTGTCTGCGATAGCGCTCACAAACCCCTTCTTGAAGCAGTCGACACCTCCGTTTTCTTTGCACACCTCGCTAGCACTCACCATGCTGTTCACAGACGCCCTCACCTCGTCAACCTGCAAAGCATTTTTTACAGCAGCAACCCACGAGTCTTGGTGCATGCGACCACTGCGGTTATCGACGACGCCCTTGACTTGGTCATTGGTGAGCAAAGTGCCATTAAGAAACATAGACGAGTAGGTCTCCTTCGATTGAACCCAACCCTTTTCGACTTGCTCGTACGGAGGCATCGCGGTCGAGCTCGGAAGTGCCAAGCCACAAGTGGTTGTGGCGAGCAACAAAGTACAAGCAGTCTTCATTTTTTTCCTCTTTATACACGTTGATGTAGGAAGATACAAACGTTGTGCTAGTAGTAGCAGCAGTAGTAAACAAGGTCTTTTTGTTACAAGTAGAAAAAGCGATAAAACTAATAGCAGTAATTCTCCTTCCCGATGATAAGTAAATTCAAACGAAGTCAAAGTCTTGATGAAGTTTGAAGCTAGTTTTAGTAGTTGTTTTAACAGCTCGCAAGCGAGATGCTCTCTAGTAAGCGAAAGAGTTCAAAACAACGAAAATGGCTTTCTGCATTTCAGATTTATAGAAGATGCACATATTTTTGATTGTTTAGATCCGCTTTTTTCTGTATGACTACAATCTCAAATGATCTGTTGATAGGGCGGGATCTTCTTTCTTCTACCCAAGAAGGATCTTCGTCGTGCTGTGCTTAGCAACCACTTCAATATGGGGATCTCAGCTTCTTGATGATCTTGAACCAACTAGGGATCGAATTTTGTCATAGATGTAGATCTAGATCTCCTTTTCTTCAAGGACTTATAATAGGAACAATCGGATCATATTCGTCGTGATCTTCACATCTACATACGTCCTAGAAGCGGATCTTGTAACAGAACAACAATGTCCTAGAAGTCCTGCTGCGGAGTCACATAATGCCGCCAGCAGGAAACGACCACGAGTCGCCCTGGATAAGATCTTCTTGATTCTCCACCTTCATGCGTAGTTCCTTCCCCCGAACTGCACATCGCTTACAGCAGCTTCTTTAAGTCATGTCACTAAAAAAAGGACTAGGATGAGGATCGATCAAATCTTCATGCTCTTCGAAAGGTTTTTGCGCCTGTGCAACATCGATCTGCAGTTCAGTCTGCTAGTATAATGGTTTATTTACTCCTCTACTTTCATTCTTCTTACTTAAATAATACTTCTTTATTAATAGCTTGTAATTAAAAGTCTTGTTGTAAGTTTGGTGATGATCATTAAAAAAAGTCGTCAGATAACTCGTGGCTGATATAGATAACATCGAGCCAGCCAATATAATATTAGTCAAACAGGTTTTTTAGAAGGTAGGATAGATTGATGTTCAACAAGTAAGAGATGGATAGATGGTCATGGTTCTTTGAATGAAGAGAATAATTAGAAGTCTCCTATAATTTCATGTCCCTTCATGTTCTTTTTCGGCCTTCTATCCCATTCCTTCTACCTCGTTCCCCTTCTCCTTCTATCTTCTCCTTCTTTTGGTTATTACCTGCTTCCTGGTTAACACACATCGCGTCTCAAATGACTATACACAGTCATCGGCAAGACGAAACATTTTCCTGGTTATTCTTACCTGCTTCTATTGAAGCAGGCTTCTTTCAAGTGTCACCTCTCCATCAACTTCCTGCAAGGGTTGGAGTTCTTCCTAGAATTAGATCACCTCGTCATCCTGCAAGAGGCCTTCTTCATCAGAGTCACTGCTCCAGAAGTTATCTTGAGCAGCAGCAGCATCAGCGGCCTTATCTTGAGCAGCAGCACCCTTGGCGTGCTTCTTACTCTTGCAGTAGAAGTAGATTCCAATAGCTGCCGCGACGACAGCCAAAGTCGGAAGCACCACGATCAAAGCGATTTGCCAACCTGCAAGACCTTCATCGCTGGCTGGAGGAGCAGGGTCGGCGATCGGAGCAACGGGCTCGTCTTTCGCCGGTTCCTCAGTGATCACAACGATTTCACCTTCAAGCGGGACAAAAAAACGCACCTTGCGAAGTTCGCGCACCAAGAGGGTAGTTGGCTCTCCGTTGATGCGGAAGATGACCAAATTGTTGCGGATAGAGTGGTTGCGAACAGCGTTGAACATGCGCGTGAGATTCTTTTTTATCGCCGCCAAAAAACCCCCTTCAAACAGCTTGTTGCGGTTCAATTGGTCGAAGACCAATTCTTTGAGCTTTTTCACCGCCTTAGCACCATCTTCAGTGGTGAAAACACCAAAGAAGCTCTCCGCCTGCAAAGCGTACATCCTCATCAAAGTCTTCAACAAGTGACCCTTATGGGCATCTACAAACTGACGCTCCGCCTCAGGACGATCAAGGAGTTTCCCTTCCCCTGCCGTTAGAGTGATTTCGCTTCCATCAGCTTCTTGGTACCAAAGACCACCCGGAAGCTTGATAGATTTGCCACGCACGTCCACCTGTCGGCCACTTGGTGCACCACGGAGGTCCAGAGCTTCCGGCGTAATTCGCGATCGTCTCTCTTCCTCTGCCTCTCGTGCCCACTCAGCCGTGCGATCAGCTGCGGCGCGAGCACGCTGTTCTGCAATTGCCACAATGCCAGTTTCCAAGCCCATATCGTCACCCACTGTGTGCGGGATTCTGGTACGAACGCTCGGGACGCCTTGGGCGTTCAAAGGGACAATGGCAGCACGGAATGCACCTTCCCAGGCGTTTTTAAGCACGGAGTCCATCTCTTTGTGCATGTTGCGAATATTGGCGTCATTTGCACGTTCCGCCAACATAAACTGCGTCATTTTATACGTAACGTGATGCATAGCGTCAACGAGGTAATCCATCTGGTTCTCCGAAAAAAGCAGCTCCTTGACGATCAATCGGAGCACAGCAGCAGACTCCTTCAGTTTCAACAAACGCAAGAGAGCGAAGGTGGATGTCTCGTCGAAGCGGAAGAGAGAAGAAAAGGTGGCTTCGAGGAAAGAGGTACGCATCTGGTGCAACTTGCTGTTCGAAAGAACGTAGATGGTATACTGGGGAGTAGAATTCTCAGTCTGGGCATACAGCATGCTCTTGGCATTCTTAGCGAAGAGCTGAGCAACCTCCTGCACCTTCAATGCAAATTCTCGATCGAAGATATCCTCGAAAATGCTCAAGTTCTGAGACACAACGCGTTCAACCAAGTCGACCAACTCCAAAAAGTATCCACGGTTGTCGTGGGGGACGTCCTGTTGCCCTAGGGCACGTCCGAAGTTATCTTCGGTGATTTTTTTCTCCAGAGCGTTCCAAGCCTCTGCGTACGAAGTAGCACCATAATCGCTCTTAGGCACTGCGACCATGTCTTGGACTTCATTGGTTGCTCCGTCGATTGTGAGGGTGACTTGATCATTTCCCTTGACAGCAGCTCCCGGGGCCCCTCCCGTCGTTCCAGCGTGTTGTTCAACGCGCGCGGTCAGCATCTTTCCGAAAATACCAACTTGAGGGTCATTATGGTCCTTTGTTGCCTTGAACAACACCTTTGCCGCATGCCAGATCTTCTTCCATCCCTGAGTGCTGGAGGAACCGAAAATCTCTTCCTTGACGTGCTTCAGCAAGATCGGAGCAATCGGACTCTTTGCGAGTTCGTGCATCTGGGTCAAAAGGTGACCCAAGCCGTGCTTGCGCATGGCGGCAACGTCCATCTTTTGGACGCTCTCGAGCAAGGGGAGCATACCATTGGTGCCCATGAACTTAACCAACTGCAACACCTGGAGGTTTTGTTGAGTACAGCGGTAAAAAGATGAAATCGCGATCACATAGAATCACATAGATATCGTCTTTTTTACTCCTCAGAAATAAAGAGCTGTATAAAAAATATTAGGTTATACCACAGGCGTGGCCTTCTCAGTGAGCTCTTCGGTGATAGTGCCCTTGAACCAATCCGTTTCCACCGACGGCGCTCCGACTTTGTCTGCGATAGCGCTCACAAACCCCTTCTTGAAGCAGTCGACACCTCCGTTTTCTTTGCATACCGTGGCAGCCACAGTCACCATCCTGTCCACAGATTCCTTGACACCATTGTCAATGTTCAGAGCATCTTTTACAGCAGCGGCCCACGAGTCTTGGTGCATCCGACCACTGCGGTTCTCGACGACACGCTTGACTTGGTCATTGGTGAGCAGAGTGCCATCAAGAAACATAGACGAGTACGCTCCCTTCGATTCAGTCCAACCCTTCTCGACTTGATCGTACGGGGTCACCGCAGTCGGAGTTGCCAAGCCACAAGTGGCTGTGGCAAGCAAAGTGGCTGCGGTAAAAGTAACAGTCTTCATTTTTCTAATGGTCTACAATCCGTGCACGACCCACCTCTTTCTGTTTGTCTTCTCTAACAAGTGAGAGTAAAAACTTCTCAAAAATCTAGTAACTTTTTATTGCTTGTTGATTTGCTTTAGTAAGCGAGATAATACTAGTTGATTTTCCAAGCGAAAATGTAAGTGGCTTCCTGTTGCATCATGATTCATTTCGATTGATTGATTGATTGAAGATTGATTGGTGTAGTACCCATTCACAGGGTATAGCATCTTTAATTATGGGCGCCTGTGTGAGCTAATGTCGTAATGTCAGCCAATGTCGTATACGTGGGATCTTTTGCTTTTGAGCTTGAGCTGGATGTTCAGTTGCATTTGGATGATGAGGATCGGATCGTAATAGAGTACGAAGTAGTGGATTTCGATCTTGACATACATTGAATGATCATGCTTGACGAGTCATGGTAATTCTCATGCTTGAGGAGCCAGGAGGATCGTCACCATGCGGGCAGACTAGAACTGTTCGAAACATTAGATCCCAGAGTCTCTTCCGATGCAAAAACATTTTGATCTAGCACAAGGGCAAAAGATACCTCAAGACCATGCATGCTAATGTCCCTGTTATCACCTTTCATAGTGACCGTAGAGACGTGGTCTGACAGTGTTTCTGTGACACTGGCAGCTCTGGACAAACCTTGAGGTAAGCGAAAGTGCAGGGAGCTACTTCTACTAGAGCAAAACTCATGTAGGTGCCCACTGCCTCCACAATCATCCAGGCCAATTCCTGATAACTTTCCGTGCGGGAACGATGATGTGGCACGAGGAGATGACATCTTGTGCCCACTCTCTGACCGGCTATACACACTACTTGCGAATGTACCCCCAGCCTAAGGCACTTCTGGATCCAATCGTTCATAGACGGTTCACATCAAAAACATCAAAGACGTGGTGACATGCCGCGTATGCCGAAGAGACCTCTAGATCATCAATATGTTTAATCCGGGCACATCATCAGGAGCTGTCTGTACTTGTTTTTAACAGACACGACGGGCAAAGCACGTCAACGAACACCCACAAAACCAGCAGAGAAGGG